AAAACACAGAAATCGTAACCAAAATAACACAAAAAAAAAAAAAAAAAAAAAAAAAAAAAAAACCCCATCTATCTACAAACTATAATTGTCACACCTTTCTAAAAGTATCTCGAAAGTTGAAGGGCAGATCGTGCTAGCACGAACCTTAAATGATCCAAATGTCCACTGTACAGTTGGCTGTCTAGAAAATAAACTCCTGTGAACTTTAAATGTAAACCATAAACATAGAGTCCTCTCTTTTCTTTTTTTCACCAAAATAGAGTACAGTTCGCTCCCCTGTCTGGATGTCTCATTTAGAGAGAGCTTAGCAAATGTCAAAAAAATAGCAAAACGGTTAACATGCACATGAAACGACCCAAAAATTTTCGTATTATGCTGGCAATTAACTTGGCACACTATCTTCAGGGAGAAGTATATGTGAGTGGGGGGCACACTTGTGTTGGGGGATAATTTGTTTTTTTTCGTATTATAGAGGAAGTTCCACTTTTAGCGGTGATGCATGGAAAAAAGTTCTATTTTTCGTCCATCTGCACAACAAACAATAGGTAGAATAATTCTTTACATATTGATGCGAAGCCACTCTATGTGTATGAAAGATGTAGTATGTTCATGAAACCATCGTCGTACCAATGAATCTAGAACTTTGATCTGGATGATGGGCACTCGTCTAGGTTATTAGGCAAGACCCGGTATTGGAAGGTTACCCTTCCCAGAAAAAAACTGCCGAAAGCTTATTCAAAGGCTCGACTATTCGACAGGTTTGTTGAGTGTTTCAGCCTTTCCGAATGGCTAGAGGCGGCGAATTGATTTAGCATATCGAATGTTTTTGATGCATGGTGAAATGAAAAGCTGGGTTGCTGCGAGTGCGAACGGTAACTATTCGTGAAGAAGGAGTTTCTCTTCCATAATATCCGGCCCAAACCTTATCTTTCCAGCTTATTCATTATTTTTAGCGAATCCACTTCGGCTGCACAGGTATTTCAGGTCACCAATTAAAAAGACTAAGTTCTGAAGACTCTTCCTGATATAAATCCCACTAGCACTATATTTTCAAGCAAATTGAAAGCTTGCATCGGTTTTCCATTTTCATGCACCAAGCAATTGGGATGTAACGCACCACAACGACGTTATTACAATTCCGTTAGTCTCATTGCAATAAAAATTTTTTCAACATCGCAGCTCATCGGAATTCCCCAATTTGTCTGAGGCGAATAAATCCTGCGGTATCTTTTTTTGATCTTAACGTTTCTGGGTGATGCAAAGGGAATGCTGATAACCGATCGGCTCCATATATCAAGCCGGCTTTGTGGATAGTATCCCTATGTATTCCTGTTTAAACTGGCACTATCAACCTGAAAAATGTGTGTCAGAATTTTATAAAATATAACTGCCATATGTGTCCCAGGTGCAGTACACTTCTGAGATGGAAACAAATTGAAGAATGGTTGCATTTATACAATATAGGCACCAAATCATATACAATCCCTGTGTTCATTATTTCCACTTTATAGTCGCCGACAAATTTCCTCAATATTTTCATTTCATTCGGCGTTTTCTTGGTCAGTTCAGAATGTCTGCTTAGTTGTTGCACTACGTCAACCGTGATCACTCTGGCAACCCGACAGTTACATCTTGCTTCGCATCGATTTAGTCCTGCATCAAACAAAAATAATCAGCTTTTTCGCAGCTTACGAGTTCTCAACTTTCAAAAAGATTGTAACGTCCTGCACACATATCACATTTATGGTTGCAGAGTACTACACCATACACATAGCTAACTTCTAGTTCAAATCTGCCCTCTTTGCGAATGAAGTTTGCCAAATCTCGCTTCATTAGCCTAGCAAAATTTTTTCAGCACTTCTCAATCTTCACCCACCCGTATTCTGACCCTTCTTTTCGCTTCTCACCTCTTTTACCTGCGCTGGACCATTTGCGCACCTCGCTGATCTTTTCGATTAAATCCGAGCTCCCTCTCTGCATTGTGACACAAAACCCCTGATAACAGATCATATCCCCTTAATAAATATAATAGTTGCCGTTTACTGACTACGGTAAAAGGAACGTGAATTTCACATAATAACTAACCTTTTGGTAACTTTTGAGAATATACTTATCTTAATTGGTCCACATTGGTCTATCTACTATTTTTAATTTGCAATTTTCCTACTAGAATCGTTTTGTTCGGGCTTGAACCATGGCATTGAGATATCTGCTAAGGAAATCATTTCCTTTGTGGGAACCAAAATTGTTAACGCAGCAGCTAGGCTATCGGTATAAATGTAGCCCAGTAGTTCGTGGCCTTGCTACATCAGCAGGAGGAGCAGGAGGTCCCCCAGGAGATGGTGAAGCAGAGGACGATTTCGAGATAGATTTGATCTCTATGAGAAGAGCTCCCAAAAGCAAGAAGAGAAAGGAGTTTGTTGATCCAAACTCCTTCAAGGGGAACAAGCCCTTCAAGTCAATTAACATTACAAAAAGCAGCGTCAAGTCGATCATCAATAGCCATAGCTTAAGGGTTTCGGGTGAGCAAATCACCGTGAAGCTTGACCCTAGCAACAGACCATACCTGGCCGAGGCTGCAGCACTAGTCGATATCGACTTGAATGCCCTTGATAAGTTTGTTGCGAAGTATAAGTGGCAGTTGGACCAGTTCCAGAAGTTCGTCAGAACATCCTATGGCGGGAAAGTCTCTAGTTTTGGTCAATTATCAACAGAAGAATTCAAAAATTCCATTCGTATCTTTGACGATTTGAACAAAAGAGGCAAATTCTTTGTTTACAGCGAAGGGTTTCAAGAGATGATTCAGTATCTCCGTAGATTACTTTTAACCTACAAGGACATCCCAATCTATTTAGAACAAGTCTTGCAGAAATGGGACTTGGACGTGGATCAGAAAGTATTTAGGTTTATGCCTGAATTGAATAGTGTTTCGGAGTTTGTCGACTTTGAAACATCCACTGGACAAGAGGTTTCTGACTATATTATGAAGGAACTTGGGTACTTGAATATCACCAGAGATACAGTTTTTGAAGCAGAATCATTCCCCCATGGCGAAGAGATATGCCCAGAAGAAATGCTGATAATTGTGCAAGCTCACAGATACAGTAACTTAAGCAAAATTTTGGAATCGCTAGGCGATCGCTCCCCCATTGGTTTGTTTTATGCAATTCAAGGAAGGCTCGGATATGAAAATGGAGAAGTTGATCTCTCCCAGTCACTGAGCCAATTTCATCTGTATTCGTTGATAGATCCACAGGGGTTTCAAAAGTCTATATTGAAAGACAGTGAAAACTTGGACTTCTTCTTAAGTGAGATTTATAACAAAGGCTACTTGAAATTATTTGAAATTGTGTATCAACAAGCTTGTTGCGGCATTTTGAATAACAAGAATTTCATTCTGCAGAAGCAGTTTTTGATACAAGAGAAGGGCCAGGGCGGTGCATTGGCTGTAGTTGATTTGGTAGGTAGAGGTCCAACCCAGAGTACAAGGGAAGTCGAATTTTCTAAGTTTCTTGAACATTTGAAAACTTATCAAGGCACTAAACCTTATTATACCTTTAGATCCAATGAACTCTTGGAGAATATGTCCAGATGGACAGGTAAACTCTCTATTTTTAATGATGGCCAAATTGGCTTTGAAGGGTTTAAGAAATGGGTAGAAAGAGTATTGATATATGAATTGAAAGATCCTTCTTACTTTGATGGGTTAATATTTAATGGAAAGTTGGATGAAATCTTCAATAGAAGGATCGAAGCTGAACCAAAGAGAAATACTGTAGTAGAAAACCATACAGAAGACATCGCAAAGCCCTATGTCCAAATTCCGGATCACATTAAACTTCACAACTTCGTAAAAGAATTGACTGAGGTTCAAGAAACCTTAGGCTGCAAATTTGGTGACATGAAAAGTGATGAAATTATAGCAGCGTGCCACCAATTGAAGCCAGTAAGTGAAGAATTGGACATGAGAAAATTGGCATACAAATTGAATGAACTTTTCAGAATTAATCATGGAGAAACATCTGTACTTGACACAGTTTTAAACAGCCACAGCCAATTTGAAGCCTTCGAAAAGAAATTGGCACAGTCTAAAGCAAGTGCAGCTGCGACCAAGACTGAAACCACTAATGATAACACTAGTGCTGGTGTCGTTCCTATAGAGAACCACCAAGAGAGTGAATATAGACAGATTCCTGATGGATTTATATTGGAAGAATTCTCTAATGAATTAAAAGAGGTCAAAGAATATTTAAAAATCAAATCTTACAATGATGTTGAATCTGACACCGTTTTAGCGGCATTGAACGATTTATCAAATGAACAGCTTACATTTGATATCGAGAAGAGGAATATTTATGCTAAGCTCTTTAGAAACCTCAGCTACTTGTTCAAGCATAACAATCAACATACATTCGTTTTGGATAATGTCATTCAAAATAATGAAGTGTTTGAAAAATTTGAAAGTAGTAAGATTTCTTCTGAGCCATTTGAAAACGTTGAAGAAGTTGAAGATGAACATCTCTTGACCAATTATGGTTCGATAGCGAAAATCCAGTCTCTTTTGTTTTGGGAGTGGCCAACATTGGTGAAAATTATTAACTTGAGCAATTGGGACCTGTTCACCGAGTTAGAGTTCAAGAAAGTATCATCTCGTGATTTCAAAATTGCGTTGAATGCCACTTTAGAAAGAATTCAAGGTAATGAAGAAGTAAATATAGAAGATTTTAAAAGAATTATTAGCCAATTGCAAGAATTCAACGAAGAATTCGCCCAATTCCCATATATTCTTCATTTATTGATGTCGGAAAGTAAAATTGAGCCAAATATTAGCTTGAAATTGATTGAAGATATTATTGAATTTGCAGAAACTGAGTCCGAATCTATTTCATTGGCAGCTCCAAATGATCATGATGCTCACATTCCTACAGCTAAAGAGGCTGCTACAGTTGAGACGGACAGTATGCCACTTAGAAATGAAGGTGAGAAGACAAATAAGTTTGACATGAGTGAGTTCAGAAAGGACAGACAGCCAGTTTCAGTACCTTCCAAAGAAAGTACTACAGCTAAGTCCAAGTTTTCGTACCACAAATCGGATGAATTACTCTCCTCTTTAACTAAAAATGAAGAACGTGCTGATTTCAACCCAGGTAAGTATGATTTTCCCAAACTTTCAGAGGATATCTTAACTGGTAAGGAACCATCATTAGAAAAACTTGAAGGGTATTTAAAGGATGCCAAGAAGGATAAAGAATTCAAAAAAGAAATGAAGTTTCGCGAAGCTAAGGCTTACGAATGGAGTAAGAGTATGTGTAATTCCAATAGATCATTGGAGTCGAAGAACTTCTTCAGCCCATTATCCTCATTTGGAGGTACATCTTCAAGAGGAAGTTCAAGACACTTTAAACCTGAAGCTGATGTTGAATCTGGAAGAGAAAACTTAAAGAATCAGTACCTTTTACTTACTAGGGACGGACAGACTATTATTTCAAGAGAAAATCCATTGGGTGCAAATTACATCGCGGAAGATATGTTTGTCACTTTGAATAAGTTTCCTAAAGAAGATTTACGTAAATTAATCAAAACTGTTAAAAAATTTCAAAGAAGAAATTGGAAACTTATTGGCGGAGGTGGACAAAGAGAAATCCTTGTCTTCAGACGTAGAAAATCAGCTAGACAGGCTTGGTTCTACAGAAGGGTGAAATCCATGTTTGCTACAGCAGGTGCGGTGTTTATTGCATTGGTAGGAATAAATTATTGGTTAGAAGACGACAAAGTTCAGTACGGGCCCCGCCAAGCGAATGACCCAAGGCCATACGCTGTAGTCGCCAAAAAGGAGCCTCAACAAGATTTCGCACCACAAGTAACACCTACTACCCTCTCAATCGAAGATATAATTGAGAAGGATTTGAAGGAGATAAAAATTCCAGAAGTGGCTACTGTTTCTTCTGGTAGAAAGGATTCGGGATGGAAAAATTGGTTCTGGAAAACCAAATAATTAAGTTTGGAGTCGGATATGGTTTGATTGGATATGATCGGATAAGATGGGATGTGTTGGGTTTGGCACCGAGAGAGGGAGGCAGGAAACCTCGGAAACCTCTACATTTGTGCACTGTACGTTAATGAAACGTTCTTTTTTTATAGTTTTTATGTTTCGTTAACTTTTATACAATTATATACTTTGTTTTTCAATTTGTTTTTATTACTAAAATGAAGATGCTATCTAATGTACATGTAGGAAAATGCTGAGTTAAGTAATTACAAACCTTAGCTCATCTCTTGATCTGCCTTTACTAAGGTAGGCATATCCTTGGAAACATGAATGAACTTCATCACAGTGGTTCCACCGCTGGATCCGGTCCAGAGTCTTAATCTCTCTACAGTGTATCTATCTGAAAGATCAGGGCACTTGAATCCAGATTCATAAGTTTGCAATTCGTGCTTTACCTTTTCTTCCAAAATCTGCTGCCTACTAGTTGCGGCCCTGCCAGGTCTTCTACTGTCTCTCAACTCCTTCAACTCATCATCATATCTGGCAAGATAACCCTCGATGAACATCTTCATATCCTCAAGAGTGAAAACTTCACTTTCTGGTCTGTTCTTAACTGCCTCCTGTATGAATTTAACACTCAAAAGTTCTCTATCTCTGAGTTCTTGCTTGTTCAACTTTCTAGAAGTCAACTTCTGATCTCTTAATGTGGCCCTGTTTAATTGCTTGAATTTACGACCCTTAATATGCAACTGCCCCTTGGACTTGGATATACTCTTGGAAACTTTGTTTAAACTGTGAGCGATAGGCATCTTGGTATATATCACTTGACTTGCTGCCGGAAAGAGAAAGAATCACTGAAGAAGTCGTAGTTCTTCAAGGTGTGGAGGGAGATACTAAACTCATCTCCTGTCCTGCACGTGAACTTTTTTTTTTTTTTGTTTACGATAGAATTTTTTTTTCTACAACTATACAGAAAGGGTCGTGCCCTGCCCGAAACCACATTTTTCTTCCATCAAAATGTTCAAGGATTTTTCCATTTCACCAGCTGTACACCTTCAGTGCAACAAGTGTCCACAAGCAGATCAGACAAAAGTCCTTTCATTACAGAAAATGGTTAAATACACAGAAGAACAATTAATTGAATACCAGGAAGAAGCTCATGTGCCTCAACCACAAATTCTCGACGCCTTCAACAAAATGGTTGAGCTGGTGAAAGAACATGCCGCTGCAGAATTTGAAAAACAAAAGAATATCAAATGGGGAAATGGTGATACCTATATTGATGAACGTGGTAACGAAAGATCGTACCATCACATGAACAGAAGAAGAGCTTCGCGTACTGGAACCAAGCCAAACTTAAGAAAGAAGAGTGTAGATGCTGTCCACGTCGATGAAGACGGTTGGGCAACCATGTCCAAGCCAAAGAAGTCCTTCGGTGCTGAAGAAGGTGTTGAAGAAAGAACCAAGTTCAGAGAAGGCTTAAAAGATGCCAGTCAAATTAAGGTCAGACCAAACAACAAGAATTTGGGTTCCTCGAAGGCCGTAGACCCAAGAGATATAATCTCTGACAAACCAACCACTTCTTTCAATGCCTTCGCTGCATTGGGCGATGACAGTGACGATGACGATGAAGACGACGAATAATTGTAATGGAAAATTCTTTTATGTACATATAGCTTTCGAGTGATATTTTTTTTTTTTATTTTGAAATTTTTTTAGTTGAAGCTGGAACTAGCGTCGATTATGAGCCTATAAGACAATTAATGTAAAGCTTTGATTAGAGATAGTGGTAAATGTAAGTAGTAGAGAGTGTTCTTGGATACAGTAGGTGTAATTCGAGGTCCTAAGTCATCTGTACGTCGCATTGCTATGTTGTCTGTCCAGGCTTGCATTCTTAAAAGAGGAAAGAGACTCACAGCTCACGCTTCAAATGCTTCTCCGCTTGGATAGAACTATGGTATACCACTCCACCAATTGCTCTAACAAGACAGAGCTTGTTACTACACTGGTTTTTTGAATAATATATATACATATATATATATTGTACATTATACCACAATTTTAGAATCGTCAGACTCCAACCCATCTATTATTAAGTCGATGTCTGTTTGAACCAATTGCCTAGACAATACGGACTTGGCAGAGTTCGGAGCTTCGTCGAAGTTAGGACCAAATGAGATTTTTGGAACTGTTGCAAATATTTCTCTGGTGCTCATCACATCCTTCAAGTCCGAAACCTTTGGAATCACTACATGTCTGTTTTCGCTTACAATTGATCCATCGGTACCACCACGTTGAAGACTGTACCCGCTTCTTTGGTGTGGTAAAGAGTTGAACAAGTGAGAAATTTGTTGGTGGTGGTTAAGAATTTCCGAATGGATTGAAGTGATGTCTCCCACAGTACCCAAACCAAGACCTAAATGCTTGCCACTAGTTGTTGTACTCAAATTGTCTTCATTTGAGCCAGCATCGTCAAATAATTCATTATCTGCATCCTGTTCTCCATCGGCAAGCCCATGCCCATTTCTATGTTTGTTGCCATTTTCATTCTCACTAATGATTTCGCCTCTGCTCTCAATAGTTTCCAATTTACTACCGGTGTTCAACTGAATTCTAATACCGTTTCCTCTGCCGTTGTGGTGATGGTTCTTCTTTCTTGTTTCAAGTAGCAAATTGCTGTTAGGATTTATCCAATTAGATATCCATTCATTATTAGAAATAAATGAGTAGAGTCCTTTTTTGTTAGCACTTATAGGTGATTCACTCATTTCTTGTTCTGCAATGGAAGATGTATCATATAGTTCTTCTACCCATAAACCCTTACTCTTTCTGTAAGTAATATCCGTTTCAACGCTTTTGAAGAAGGTCGAGTGGATGCAATAATGATCATCTTCGAGATACTGAGAATATTTGGAATCTAAAAGAATCAATGAATAATGCATAGTAGCGTACGCTAAAGTTTCTCTAATGTTACTGCTGCTATCACGATCAGAAATATTGCCTAAATTGGCAGCTGATGACTTTTTAGATAAGTCAGGGGAAGAATTTTCACTACCTATCTTAATCCAGTGGAAGAAAAATGGTATGAAATTGGCAAAAAAATTAATCCCTAATAAATTGATCAAGTCTTTCATACTTTTGAAAACTAGATCATACACTTCTGCGTTTTCAACCAATGGCCTGTGTAACAATTTGTCCAAATGAGCAAAGAAATGAGTTAGGAAGTTGTCTGATTCAGTGATCAAATTATTGGAGTTGGGTGTCAAGAATGTCCTTGCATCTGATGAGGAAAGGACTTCCTTGGAGTCAGTGAAGTCTTCCTCATCTTCTTGTGCATAAAATTCATGGCTCAAGAATTGTCTAAACACTTTAAGGTATTCAACCTGGATACGATTTGTGATTTCTGGAGCCATCAAGTTGGTATCAAAACCATCAAAGCTGGAATAGGGGGAAATGAGCGACAAACTGACTTCCCAGTGTTCAAGTTGAACATGATTACGAGCAATGGATGAGGGCTTCTTTTTCAAGTTGGTAAGAATCTTAGATATATTCTTGAGAAGGGTCAAGACTAACCTTTGAAGTTTATCAGCGTCAATGTCGGACAAGCTGGTAGATAATGATGTAGTAGTCGTACGCTTAGTTGGGATAGATGATGAGGAAGGTTCAATTATCGAGGAGGAAGAAAGTTGGCCTGCACTTGGTACTCTGATATGGTGGGGTGCATTTACTGGTGCAGTACCATTGGCGCTACTTGGAGATATTATTCCAGCAGTGTTTTTCTTGTTGGCCAATGCACTTCTACTCACAATTGAGTCCAATTTGATCAATATCTCTTGGACTGAATCTGGAACTTGGTCAAAGTAGTATACATGAGTTGATAAACTGCATATACATTCGGAATATACCTTCAACAAGGACAGGGTTTGTTTCTCGTCCAAGAACAGATGCTGCTTTAATACTACGTTGGTTTGTAAGGAAAGTAAATGTTGAATGACGTCAGAAACAGAAAGACCAATCATGTTCACTTCTGATGACATGAGTCCCAAAATATAGTTTGCAAACTGAATTTGTACTTTATAGTTAGGGTTCAGGGCGTCCGCCTTATCCAGGACAGCAGTCAATTTATTCAACAAAGTAGAAAGTAATACAAATCTTAACTGCACAGGCACCCAGTTGATACACAACTCTAAGAGGACACTGATCCACGCGTGTTCCTTCGGGGAATTATAATGCTGCACCACAACTTTTGTACTTTCAGATATTTGAGAGATCAGCGTGGTGTCGAAGAAAGACTTGAGAGCAACGAATGCTCCTTCCTCTAAGTCTTCTTCAGTGATATTGCTTGAATCCAGATCGTCAATCAATTTGGCAGTGATTGAAGCTATCACCGCATTTTTAGGAGGGATAGGAGCGCTATCATCGCCTCCAACCGTGCTATATCTTTTTAACTTGGTAGCTGTAGGCGCTACGGGCACCAGTGAGTCATGGTTGGGAAGTTTGTCTTTCAATTGTTCAGTGGTATTAGCTACCTCAATGGTGCTAACACATAGGGGGATACAAACAGATGTGAAATACCCAGCAAGCTTTCCATTGTAGCCAATGCAGTTGGATACATGACCACATGCCAACACTGAAATGATTTTCCAATCCAAACTGTTGGGGCTGGAGTCTGCCTTACTTGTTTTAGTTTTATTTATGAGCGACTTAGATAACTCGGTAAAGGAGTCGAGGAAAAGCTTATCCCCAGAAAACAACTCACCGTCCAATTTAGAACACAACACGCCATACGTTCTCACCACACCTTTGGCCAATGCCACATCATTGATGGTCAAGATAGACGATAAGATGATGCACACAGCATTGGCGAAAACATTCAAGTTATCTGAGCATTTCTCAATTAACGCGGATATTATACTTAATGTCACCTGCAAGTTACCGGCACGAGTCCTGTTTACGTCCGACTTTGCTTTCTGTTGAATAAACGTCATGACCTTCTCCAATTTCACTCTTCTAGTCGAGGCATAGTAGAGAAGGTAAGAAAGTTCCGAGGGGTTGGGTTTCTTATCCACGGCCTTCCCGGGAGGGTAACACTGTAGGATAAGTTTCTGATGTTTTGAGTGAAGAAGTCCCATGGTCTATGAAAATTGATAACAACCAACAAAAGTAATCAAAAAAAAATGTGAATATAATGTAAATCTATGACAACCAGATAAATGGGGTATGCAAAATAAAGATCAAAAAAACAATAAAAAGTAACCTGAATAACGGGACGTGTTTTCCCTTCAACGGTGTTGGATGATTAATGTGAACTCTCAATTTCAATCACTATAGTTTTTTTTTTTGTTTTTCAATCCCACGGGCTTTTCGATTTTCGATTTTTTGCGTATCACACTAAAATGGCAAGAGCTTTATACTTTGGCGTGGGTAAAAATCTCGTAATTAAGCCTATGATCGGTACCTTATATATTCGACAATCTTGTGATGTGATATGAAGGGAAATAGCACCAGACACCTTAACAATCCTGGAAGTGGGTTTCCATTAGGCTGTCGTATTATGCAATTGGTATCGAGCCACCTTGTGAACTTTGCTCTGTTTGTCCTGTTTGCTCTATTTGCTCTATTTGCTCTTCGCTTAGTTCGGCTTTCGTTTTTGTCCCTGGGAGGAAATTCTGTGGGGGCTTTGCGGTGAGCAATTGTACGGTTGAATATTTTTCGGTGGCTATCGTTTCGCGCTAGGGCGCCAGGGGAGAGAGTCTTAAGGCAATCCTTCAACCTCATTCCACCAATTATTTGCTACAGCACAAGCGGTTAAGGTGGGTATCTCATGCTTGTGAAGATCCAGCTCGTAAGGCTAGATATAGGAGTAGTGTATATAGCGGGGCACTCTTTTGCACTTTTCCTAGGAACAGTAGAAGCGAAGAGGAGATGGTCTTTTTTTGGGTTGCACTCCCCACTTTCCTGTCATTTGTTTCATATGATTTTCGGGAAATGGGTGAATTAGCTTTGAATTGATCTTGTGCCTTAATGGGCATTTCTTGATAGGTAACCTGTGGTATGCCGTGTGTATGCAGTATTTTCGATGTAAGGACTCACTTCTGGTGGTGTCTATATCCAGTATACTCTTAGCCTATTTCTCTCTGTTGTTCTTTTCTGTTGCATTTCCGCTCTGGCCAATCTACTCTTAACTCCCAGATAGGAGTATGTTTAAAATGTAGATTAGTAGGGTGGGGTGAAATAAACCGGTATTGCAATAATCTTTCGCTCTCGACCTCGATCTGAGCGTAGACAAGTATCAGTCCTGAATCTAATCTTCCTCTGCCGACCAATCCCGCCCAACTTGCCTCTCACAGTCACAAAATGCGAAGTCACTGTTGATGCACACTATTCTACTTCAATTCAACTTCTTGTGCGAATAATCAATTGGTCCCCTCTTATTGGAAACCTGATATGTGTGAACCGTCAGTGTATTGATCTTTGGAAATACATCCAGCTCGAAGTTTATTCGAGAAACCTCTTTAGTAAGCTTTCATATTATGCCCATCAATGCGTATCTTGCACAATTACAAATATTGGTCAGTGGTACGTTCCGAAGCACCTATATTTGACAGGGCGGTGCAAAACCATTATACTCTACTTCCATTAACCCAGTCTTTGCATTGTCAAAATAAGAAAGAGAGGTATGGTCGTTAGCTTCAGTTAATATTTATTCATCAAATTCACCACACCCCACACCCCGTGCATAAATACCTAAGAAATGGCGTATTCCGTAGCCTTCGACTGGACTAGTGAGATGACATACCCCGTTCTTTATAACATTTGCAGCCATTTCATTCTGATGTGCAGGTCGTCAGGCTAAGAGCAACTAAATAGTACACGTTACTCCAATCTAACGTCCTACTGGTCCAAGTATCATCCCAGCCGATACTCGCATACAACCAGATCTAGAATAGTCTGGTGTCTCGTACATTCTTCAAATAAACATGAACATTATCCATCTCCAACGTTATCCATCTCGAAAACCCATTAGCTCCCCCAAGTGTGCAACCGATACGACGTATATATGCAGGAAAACAAAACATCATAACTTTATCCATATGCAGGCCCGCTCCATCTGTGAAGAGCTGAAATGAATGAAGCAGTTAGCACGTTTTGTAGAAGTGGAAATATACACACGTAAAGGAGTTAGATGCCTCCAATTTATGTCAAAGGTGGTCTTTGGACCAATGTTGAAGATGAGATTCTCAAAGCGGCGGTGTCTAAGTATGGTCCAAACCAGTGGTCTAGGGTTTCTTCCTTACTAGTGAAGAAGACTGCTAAACAGGCCAAGGCAAGATGGCAAGAGTATCTTAACCCTATTGTTAACAGATCAAATTGGACTCGTGAGGAAGATGAGAAATTATTGAGGCTAGCCAAATTGGTGCCCAATCAATGGAGAAGTATTGCTCCCATCATGGGACGTACCGCCACTAGCTGTGTTGAAAGGTACCAGAAATTGCTTGACGATGCCAGTGGCTATCAAAGAGAACAAGGTGAAGATGACGACGCTGAGGATGAACTTGGTTTGGCAGGAGCCGGTATCGAATCACTTCCAAGCACTGGAAACAATATAATAGGAGATCTTAACATCCATCCAGAGAGTAAACCAGCCAGGCCAGATGAAGAAGACATGGATGAGGAAGAGCGTGAGATGCTTTCAGAAGCCAGAGCTAGATTAGCGAATACCCAGGGTAAGAAAGCTAAAAGAAAGGCTAGAGAGCGTATGTTGGAAGAAACAAAGAGAATCTCTCAGCTTCAAAAGAGAAGAGAGTTGAAGGCTGCTGGTATCAAAGTATCAATAGAATCCAAAAACAAGAAGAAGAGGAAGGAGTTTGACTATAATGCAGATATTCCCCATGAGGTTACTCCTCAGCAAGGTCTCTATGACGTAGAAAGTGAGATACGATCAAATTTACTGGACCAGAGTAAGTTCAATAGATCAGTCCAAGACCAGGGAATACAAGTGAATGATAACGATAAAAGGAATAAAGGAGACAAACGGGATAAGAAAGAGAAGAAGGACAATCGTAAACGTGAGGTAGAAAGCATAGAGGGAGAAGCGAAATCTTACACTAATGACTTTAGTTTGAAAAGACAAAAATTAGATTTGCCTGCACCAGACGTAGAAATGGAAGAGGGTAGTGACGATGATATTGATAATAGGATATTGAAGGCTACATTAGACTTGAAGTCTAGCCAGAAGCAGAAGTCCAGTTTAATTACTGGCGAAAGCACTTATTCAAAAGAAAGAGAAGAAGATGATGTTGATGATGTAAAGAAAGAAAAGGTAAAGGAAGACGTAGAACGAAGTACAGCTGTGATGAAATCAAGAACTGACAAAGTTAAATCTAGCTTGAGTAGTCTTAAAAGGTTGTTGCTTTCCCTGTTATCGAAGTTACCACAGCCCCAGCGAAACCCTGAGATAGTTTTACCTAGTTTAGATGAAGCTGAAGAAATTATTCTAACTTCCACTGAGGATTCGAGTACTGAGAGATTTAAAAATATTGAAATCTTGAAGCAACATGATCATGAAAAAGCGCTTAAGAGAAGATCCCAGGCTGTCCAGTTAGGACTTAGTATACCTAATCCAAGCATAATAAAAAACCCTGGATCAAACGTACGGGGTCTTGATTTATTGATATTTAACGAAGTGAATCTGCTCTTAAGGTCCGACTATAAAAGGTATCAAGATATGGCATATGATGCTGATCTTGTTGAGGACCTAAATGAAGAAGAATACGAGAAAGTACATCAAGAAATACTGGAAGAAATGCTTAAGGTCTCACAAGGGCAACTGATTCCTCTGGAAGAAATTCTAATCAAAACCTTTGAAGCAGCAGAAGCTAGTATCTACAAATTGCACGACTTTGCTAACAAAGCAACTGAAATTGAGTCTACCATCAGCAAATCAACCCAGTATCAAGATCATTCGGACTTATCAGAGAAACTACGTAATAATATTGAAGCGTTATCAGCAGAGAGTTTGGAACTCGACATTCTGATTAAAAATTATTCTGATATGCAGAAGGACGAAGAGTATGCGATCGAAGCTAGGAACTCTAGGTTGCAAGGTTTGGTAGACAAGTTAGTTGAAGCGGAACAAACGGCCAGCTCGATATTGAGGGAAAACCGAAGATAGCACAAACTACAATCATGACTACAAATTATATTTAGGTCTGGAGATTTATATTAGGTGGTGTATTTTCTGTATTTTCCTTTACAGGGTAGCAGTATCCAATATATAAGCCAGTCCCGGAAAGTAGCATCAGGGACGAATCAAAATCAAAATTTGGGGTTTAGAAGTATCTGACACATAAGCCGGTAACCAAAAAACCAAAAAGGCAAAAAAAAGGAGGGACAAACGAAACACACTTGTTGTTTGAATCTTGTTGTTTGAATGTCCCTAGGGATAAAAGAAATTAAACTAATATGGAAAGGAATTCGAACTCCTTTTATAGTGCAAAATGGAGAGGTACAGCAATAGAGGAGACCAGACCCAGAGAATGAGTCAAAGGGGAAACGGCGGCTAAAGGATAATGCAAGTGAGTCAATGAATAAGCGATTCAAGTATTTAGGGCAACTTTATTAGTCATACCAGCTTTTTGTCATGTTCAAGGGAGTTTGTTCTTCTACTGGAACTTGCCAGCTTCTGACCATAATGTGTTCTGCAGATTTTGGTGCATTCAAAATACGTAGAGAATTGTTAGTTTCTGAAGCAGAATGCGGCCAGTTCGAAACTAAGGGAGAAACAAAGATAGAAGGGATACTTTATAGATCTAGTAAATTACAACATGGTAATACGCTAAATATATTATCTCTAGTCCACAATTGTATGCCACGAAAGTTTTCTTACAATCTACAATCATATTCTACATTCTATTTGAGTCTGGAAATTTATATTGGGGTAGTATTTAATATGTAGAAGTATCCAATAAGTAAGCCAGGGCCGGAAAGCAGCATCAGGGGTAATTAAGATAAAGGTAGACAATTTAGAAGTATCTGACACGTAAGCCGGCAACAACATCAAAAAAGCCAAAAAGCGAGGAACAAACCAACCACACTGGTTGTTTGAATGTCCCTAGGGAAAAGAAAATTAAACTAATCTGGAGAGGAATTCGAGCTGCTTTTATAGTGCGAAATGTGGAGGTGCAGCACGATACGAGACCAGACTCGCAGGATGAGTCAAAGAAACAATACTAGGAATGGGGGGCAAAAGAGATTGCAAAGGGTAAGTAAAAGTAAAATTAGTCACCATGCGCAATATGGCATATGTAATAGTCATATCAGCGTTTAGATTTCAAGAGGGTTGGGGCTTCCATTAGAGGCTCGCCAACTTCTCTCAGCTGAAGTACCTGCAGATGGTTGTACATACCAAATTCACAGAGAAGAATTAGTACGTGTGTATTTATCTGCAGGAGAAAACGCAGCACACGCTTCTCGATGTTAGAGTACTTTCTCACTTACTATAATGTACACATGTAACTTTTGGCCTATTAATTTTTTGCCTTGGGTGTGTCTAGTGAAGTTTATCACCTTAACTATTTCATTTTTTGCTTCCTTGTCTTCGACTACTATCAAATTATGCATTATGACTGGATTCCATCAAGACCTTGATCTGGTCACGCTTTTATAATCCTGTGTATAATCTGATCACGTTTTAGCAAGTACAAACATCAATACTAGATCAATCTTCATCAGAAAGGGTTTGATTAGAAGGGGTAATTCATGCTCTGTAGCAGCTTGGTAAAAGATGAGTAATAAGTTAAGTATTCCTCTTCGTAAGACCTCCGACATTGACTTTTCTTGTAGCTTGAAAGACATTATCAGGAAGGAGTTTTTTCAATCTCTGAACCAATTTGAGAAGGATGCAACATATGTAGGAAAGCTTCGTAGCGATATATCTAATTTAAGAGACGAAAATGTTTCATTGCAATATGAATCATTATTGAAAGAATACTATTTGCAATTGGAAGCCATTGAAGTGAAATTTCCGGAAGATTTTGCAGTTTTCCCTTGGTACGGAACTCTTAGCTATTCGCTACTGGGGCCCTTTGAATTCCATTCTATCCAGGTGGAGAAAATTAATATAGTGTATCAGTTAGGTGCTATTTACTCTCAATTGGGTTTAAAGGAATCACAATTCACAACTGAAGGCTTAAAGAAGAGCTGTGTTTACTTTCAGCAAGCTGCGGGATGCTTTGATCTCATTCTGAAGAAGTTGGTGGAGAATATTGGCGATGGTCATTATGTTTCGGACTTCAACTCAAATACAATAAACTCGATACGCTATATAATGGAAGCTCAGGCGCAAGAGTCCATCTGGCAGAAGGCTATATCAGACGAAATGAAGGGGTCTGTAATAGCGAAACTTGCCATTAAAGTGGCAGAATTGTACGAAACGGCAGCCAAGCTTGGTAGCTCTAAAGATACTGCCTTAACGTTGGAATGGGTGAACCATTTGCATTTGAAATGTTGTCATTTCAAGGCTGCAGCTCACTTAAGAATAGCCTCGAATATGCTTGATTCATTTGAGTACGGAGAACAGGTAGCACACCTTCGAGCTGCTCAATCAATTGTGCTGATTGGAAAGAAAAACTACACTAAATATGTAAGCAAATTTGTGTTGGAAGACTTCGAAGGTTTGGTAGAAAGCGTCACATCGACTTTGAGAGTTGCAGAGAAAGACAATGATTTGGTTTATTTGAAACATGTACCGCTGGTGAATGATTTAAAACCTATTCCCAGTGTTTCCATGGTCAAGCCCTTACCTCCTAAGGAGTTAACTGAGACGCTAGAATCCATTTCAAGTGAGCTTCCCTTCAAGTTGATGTTCAAGGATCTACTTCCATTTATGATTATTCAACTGGCTCAGGCATACAGAGAAAGACAGGACAATTTTGTGCAAGACCAATTGATCCAACCCATTGAAGCACTCAATAACATGATCCGCAAATTTATAGGCGAGAGAAACTTGCCTGCATCGATCGATTCTATTCAAAAGCCGGAGAGTATTCCAGATTCTATAGTGCAGCATTCTCAGGAGATCATCTCCTATGGCGGAATCGAGTTTGTTGAATCTTCTTTTATAGAGCTAGACAAGCTATGCGAAAAGTCTCAGAAGCTATATGAAGGAGGTTTAGAAAGGTTAAAAATTGAAAAAGAAGAAGACAATATCTTGAAGGAAAGATATGGAACTCATATGTGGAATAGGTTGTCATCAGCCGAAGCGTCGAAGAATTTGAAAGAAAGGTTCAATAAAATGGAATTGTATCTTAGACAAGCTACCGAAGGCGATGGATTCATTGAGGACAAGTTCCAGCGATTGAAACCGTACATTAAACTACTCTGCGGTGGGTATGAAAGCCTATCAAAGTATATCCCAAATTCTAATTATGTTGAACGTGATTCGAAAGTAAACCAAATTATTGTTGATTTAAGGAAAAGTGTCAACGAGATTACCAACTTGATTGAGATAAGAAAGCAATTTATATCATCAATCGAGATCAAATCGAGAGATAATAATATCCTTCAAAAGATTATTTCAGACTACAAAACTCAGCACCAAAGAGGTGGGGGTGGTTTTGATAAAATTGATTCTTATACCTTTGAACCAACCTTCAATGCCCACATAGCTATGTTTAATGAAGATTTGTCATTTATCGACAAGACTAAAACTCAGCAACAGGCGTTGGAATCGGAGATTGAAAAATTGAATTCTATTTTCATCGAAGTGGTGGGATCTAGTCGTGATACCACCCAAAGTCAAAGACAAATTGCATTACAAACTTTAGAGTCTACATATGCCAGCTACCTTGATTTGATTTCGAATTTGAGTGAAGGCTGCAAATTTTACACAGAATTCATATCCAAGGGTAATGTGGTCTTGAGAGAATGCGACGAATATGTCTACGAGAGGCGTATCGAAGGCAGAGATTTGGAAAAGTTAATTTTAAATCAGCAGCAACAGTACGAGCGAGAGCAATACCAACAACAACAAGAACAACAACAAGAAGAAGAAGAACAACAACACCACCACCACCACCACCAGCAATCAGAGAACCACAAGCTTGAATCTCCACAGGGTCGCACTCCCCCAATTCATAATGTTAGAATCGAAACTCCTACACCACGTAGTGACGCATGGGATCCCTCTAAAGGTATCAAATTTTCCTAAACAGGTAGAATTTTATATAGAGAACAATATATAGACAATAATACAAGTAATATAGATGACAAGCAACAAATACATCGAATGGTTGCAATATTATAGCGCTTGTTTGTGTGTCCTGCATATACCTCTCATCGATATGGAACATCTTTAAAATCTGGTACCTCCATCACTCTAGGCACTTCGTTATACCTTCACTGGTTAATGATCCGAAGACTTAAATTCCTTAAAAATATTCTCATGAGTCGCCCGAAGAAAGATATTATAGCAATAGTCGGAACGACTGGAGTGGGAAAGTCTCAAGTGAGTAAAATGTAGGAAATGAATATGAGATTTGATTTGAATTGTGTACTAACCATAAAACTAGTTCAGTATAGACTTGGCAAAAGCGGTGAATGGAGAAATAATCAATGCAGATTCAATGCAGATGTACAAGGGCTTGGACCAGATCACAAATAAGCACCCTTTAGACGAGAGAAAAGGTATCCCTCACCATGTGATGAACCATGTCAATTGGAACGAAGAGTACCATATTCACAAATTTGCACAAGATGCAAATAGAGCCATAGATGAAATACATCTGAGAAACAAGGTACCCATTATTGTAGGAGGAACTCACTACTACCTTCTGAGTCTCCTATTTGATAATAAAACCATTGGTGCCACGAAGGAATTGGAATTGATGGAGCAAAACGGTTCCACTCAGACCAATGAGTTGAAGACAGACCAAATCCAGATCTTGGATGGACCAGTGGATCAAATTTTTGAAACTTTACAGGCAATTGATCCTATCATTGCCGAGAAGTTCCATCCAAAGGATAAGCGGAAACTAAGAAGAGCACTAGAAATCTACTACACAACCAACAAGAAGACGTCTGACATATACTTGGAACAGAAGCTAGATGAGCTTGAGGACTCCTCGTTGAGATTCAATACGCTAGTATTTTGGGTTTACTCGGACTCAGAAGTTCTCAGATCCAGGTTGGACACCAGGGTGGACAAAATGATGGACCAGGGGGCTGTCGACGAGATACGGGAGCTTTATAAGTTTTACCAAGACCAGACACCAGAAAAGCCAGATCTAACCACCGGCATATGGCAAGTGATTGGGTTCAAAGAATTTTGGGAATGGTTAGAGACAGGTACTGAAAGTGATTTTCAGAACGGTGTAGAGAAGATGAAAATTAGGACAAGGCAGTATGCGAAGTCGCAAGTAAAGTGGATTAAGAAACTCCTAGCTACTGAGCTAGTCAAGGAAGCTAGATTCAACTACAAGCACGGAGGGAAAATGTACCTTCTTGACGCAACAGACCTCAGTGAATGGAAGGAGAATGTATTCGAGATTGGAGAGAAGATCACGCAACAATTCCTCGCTTCTGGTCCGGCTTCAGTTACCTATCCACAGGCACCTGAGCACTACAAGGATATCTTCCCCACTGCAGAATATGTTGACGGCAGGAAGAGTAATAAAAAGATTGGTGCTGAGAGTGACTGGAAGCACTTCAAGTGCGATATCTGCAAAGACAAGAACGGGAATCCATTCGTGGCGATAGGGGAAGAACAATTCAAAATACATACTGAAGGGAGACGCCACAAAAGGCAATTGGGAGCCAAAGACAAGAAAAGAAAGCATGAAGAATACATGACTGCTAACAAGACAAGGAAGGCCGAAGCAGTAGGAGCCGAAGCAGCAGCAGCAGCACTGCTGGACCTGTATATAGACTAATATCAACAGAGTGAAAATTCGTTAGCCCTAGAAACGTTTTTGTGTAACTTCAACTACCTCATTCCATGAAGTATAAAACTTTCCTCCCAATGAAAAACTTTTCAAAACTTTTCACTTCTCTTTTCTTTGATACGAAAGGTTCCTATTCACTGCACCGTTCACTGCAATGAATGACTGGAGGGGAAAAGGAAACCGAGAATAACTTTCGGATAACGACCTCATACTAAGTTTGCTAAATTTTCAATAGCATATTCTTGGATTCTGCGTTCCCGATACACCCTTTATGAAATGAATAATGTAAAATGTAAGATGTAAACTGTAAATTGCGAAATGTGAAATGATAATTTTCGTCTCTTGAAAGTATCTCCTTTTCGATTACTCTCTTCACTTTCATTTGGTGGAATTTCATTTCTGTAGCATTCTTCAGCTGCACAGCATGGAAAAACCCTAATCGCACCTCACATACAAAGGTTGGACCATACTAATGCAAGAGCTGCAATTCAGCAAAGTTATAATAAACAAGAAAAGTTCAAAATTACTGTCATATCATAACCATTTCAATAGTCTTTCTAATTCCGCAATACCTAAAAGAGATAGGCAAATTCTACAAACGTATGCGTAATTTCTTGCCACACTATGGGGATCCTCAATGGTATATTGCTGAAGGTTTTAAAGTTATCGTTTCGCTTATTTGAATCACCCAACACAATTCTTATTATCACCCCACCATGCATCGTTGTTTTACTCTCATTGGGTCTTCCCTTCTCTGTCTACACTTTGCACTATTTTATCTATTATACATTTCTTTTTTTGTTAATAGTATAATTTTCATTGATACTATATAATTTATAATCTATTCGTGATCAAAGTCATCAAATTTAACCCAATAATAAAGCCGAACCCATTTGAAAAATAAAAACTATATCATAATGATATACCTTAAAAACACCTATAAATAAAATGAAAGAAAAAAAATGATATGGCGAAATGGTAACAACATAACATAGCAGAATTTAAAACTTAAAAATAAAATAAATTGGCTTGACTTGACTAGTCGAAATTGTTAAATTTTATTTTTTGATATTCTTTCTGTTCCCTTCCACCACTTTTTTGAGAATTTCATTTCGCCCTGTAATATTCCTAATTATTATTGATAATAATTTGTAAAATCCCCCTATCCTTTCATTATTTCTTTCCCTTCATCTTTCATTCTTTCCTTCACTCCTTTCTCCTATATCTGACCTTCTCTTCTTCTCTTCTCCCCTCTCCGTTTCTCTCTCCATTTTTTTTTTTAACAATGCCCCCATCTGTATAGGGCCAAAATTTCATTTCTTACGAAAAAATAGCCACCAGAATATTTTGGTTTTTATTTTTTAATAATTTTCTTTTTTTTTTTGAGGCACTTAGTGTTCTGGAATTATGTCCCAAAGCACCTCAGTCGTGAGATTATGACTCAAGTCTAGATAGCTAGCGACTTGTCCTTTAATCAAGCTCATAACGAATTATCTAGTAGCAAGATGTTAGTTCTTGTACGGAGCTCCGCTGTAATATTTCACAAGGCAAAATATTTAAACTCGCTCGAAAAATTTATTTCCTATTTAGGAAAATTGAAAAATCTAATCATTCAAAATTGTAATTTCAAGTTAGTTTCTTCATTTAATCTCTGAAAATGAAAAGCATCTATTCTCTAAAACTTTCAATGAGGGACTTGATGTCTGTTGCTTTTGCAAAACCTCAAATCCATTAGAGTGATGTGATGCATTGTTCCCCTGGCTATTGATTGTGCTCTCATTGAATAAAGACATATTAAATTCGGTATCTAATCTCTCTTTAATTTGCAACAATTTCGTATCCAATTGACATAACGAGGAGTCTTGTTGTAATTGTAAGTTATTTAAATCATGCTCTGAACACCACCCACTCTCTTTCAACTTCCTTGTCGTAACTTCAAATGCATCAATTACCGTCTTTTTCTGTTCCTTTAAGAACATAAAGTAGTCGATTAATTCACTTGGTTTCAGCAATTCAGAAACGGAATGAATAGGCGAGTTAGAACTATGTAAATCATCGTCATAATCAAATCTTGCTGATGATGAGTTTGATGAATTAGATTGGGCTCCATGAATGTTATTTAAAGTGTGATTTTGTGATTTAGATACATTCAAGGCATCAAAGTAGCTATGTTCTATGTTTAACAAGGATTTCTTGGAATTCTGTAAGTTATCTGATAATGTAATGACAGGTGATGAGTATGGTGGTGTTATGGGGGTCAATGCTGATCCTGAAAATGCCCTTGATCTCTTTGAAATGCTCAAAGGATAGGACGAATTAGTCATTATACTAAGGCTATGACTATTCGTGGTACTGCTAGGGTTATTATCTGTATTGCTTGACAGTTCATACAGATCAGAATTGGTGCTGCTACTATCTTGACTTAAGCTTTTTTCTGAATTCGCAATTGACGTTTGTATAGGTGATAAAATTGGTCTCTGTGAAGTGATTGGTGTTGACAGATTCGTAGCAGGAGCAGACTTGCTTACTGACGAGTTGCTATTTAACGAAGAAAGAGACAATTTTCGAATTCCGTTTTTCAACGATTTCAACCTTTTTAAAGGCAGTGTACTCTGTTGCGAAGATGATCCTACATCCTTGTCAGTATTATTTTTCCCTTCTTTACCCTTTGCGGGGGTACTGATAGAGGGGAAAATTTGAAATGGAGCTGAAGAATCAATCGCAAATACTCCTGCCCCTCCACTTAACGAACTCAAGTCGTGCGAAGATAGACAAGAATTCAGTAATAACTCAGAATAGTCAGATTCTTTAGCTTCAGATATTTGGCTGTTAGCTTCAAAATTTTGCTTTTTCTCGTCGCCCAAGTATGGGGAATTCATCCCCGATACAGAAGCTGAGCGAGACTCATTTTTGCTCTGTGTATTTGCGAAAATTTGATTATTAGCTATTTCACTTTCATCGGGAAGAGGTGGTAATAGTATTTCTGAACATGCCTCTGATGAATCTTCTATGAATTCGGTTTGAACAGTATCGAACTTTTCATCGATCGTGCTCGATTCTTTTTCCTCTACTAATATTCCTAGTCCGTTGAAGACACTCATGGTTGTATGTATATCGGTAGGGTGTTTTATGATGAAATAATTAAGTTGTTGGAGAGCAAAAAAAAAAAGAAGAAACTGGATTACTTTTTTGCCACTAGTGTATCTCTTTCCTTTATGCCTATGATCCTGGCTTTTGATGAGCTTTTTGTAGATAAGTGGTGAACTGGTAAATACTAGTCAAAGTTTCTACTGTTCGGGTGAAAAATGTGGGAGATGTGCAGATCTTCAGTACCGTGAAAAGTTGATTTACTGACCTCCAAAATTTTTTCGTTGCCACTCTCTATTTCAAAGTTTCTTCAGATTTTCAAGAGTTTTCGAGGTTTACTCAGTCTATACCCTCTTGTCTTCTCTATTGGTCTTCTCTACAGCCCTTTTTCTTCTCTATCAATATCTAATCCTGGTGCTTTCTTCTGCACTCTTATGATATGAAAAGTTTTCTAAGTGCCTCTGAATTTTTCTCACTGTCGCTAAAGCAAAAGACTCACAGAGGAAAAAAACTTACGCTGAAAAAGAAAGAAAATTTGAAAAATCCTGAATTAGTATGCGAACTGTAGGGGAAATGAATCCGAGATTTTTGCTAGCTGCCTATAGTCGTTCTTGAATATATGAAAGTAGTAAAACGCTTGGGAAATGATGGTAGGTGATTTGTCTGTCTGAACTTTTGACGGAATGATTAGTAAAAAAAAATCCTTGGACGCTGTACTGGTAATATAGGATTTCGAGCAGTGAGAAAGTAAACGCGAGGACTCAAGATCTTGCGGCACATTTCATATGTCGGCGTACACTTTAAAGGGGGCGAGCAGAGAAAATAAGAATAAAGAAAAATAAAAAAAAAAAAAAAAAAAAAAAAAAAAAAAGAAAGAAGGTAAAATCCGATAGTTATGGATCACAAGCGGAAATAGCTGAAAATTTTTCACGCCTCACCATTCAATGAAACAGTAAATTTGCTGACCTTTAGGCTAGTAATTTAGCAAAAGGTGTACATCCCAAGAGCAAAGAAGTATATTGAGTGCTCTTGGCCGAGAATACCACTATGAATACTATCAGTCAACTAAGCGCCGGCTTTGTTATGCTTTTAAAATGCCTAATTAAAACCTAAATTGCACGCTTTATGGTACATATTCGTGCTTCTGCTGTACATATTTTTAGGCCGTTATTTGTATCGAATAACAGCTGTGTTCCCCCCTCCTCCCCTCGACATATGATAGGAAATATGTGCTTTGTTTTGAATAACTCCTGATGAAGAGGCATACCGGTAATATTTTTACGAAGCACTTACATGTATTTAGTGCCGTTTACATATGCACCAAAAGTAAGTTGCACCTTGGAGTGAGTCTGAAGCATCTAATTTGTGAGACAGAGACTACCAAAAGGAGCCACACTCGTAACCATACGCATACCTGACAAAAGGGTTACCTTTAAGCTTACAATTTAGGGCATGGCAAGTAGTGTTAGAAACATTCCAGTTTAGACGCAAAAGTCAATTACTAATCTCCTGGACTGTATCAATTCTTCGGACTTATCATCTCACACATCCTTTACCAATACATGGACAATTCTGATCGGTTACATTTTTTTCTAGTTGTAAGCACTAATACGAAGCACTGTACAAGCAGGACAATTGATTTAACCTGCATACTACAGGTCTCGATTGATAGGTTGCATGCAAATGCATAAACAAAAAAAACTTGAGCCTTTCTTTAAAAATATGAAATGCACCAAGAGACAAGAAATTAGAATAAGAATGGAAGTGTAAAGCACTACTACCCTTATTCCACCCTTTCATAAAATCCTACACCAAAAGGGAATCAACTCTATTTCGAGCTTATTGTATTCGCTATGTGGAGTTCCGTTTGGAAGAGCAATCTACTTTTTCTCCCACTGTCTAGCTGAACCAAAAATAGCTTCTTTAGCAGTTTTCTTTTTTTTTTTATTATTTCTCGCTCTGTAGTCGCCCCGTTACCCGCGCCGCATTGCATGCATCGCTAAGTACATAATCAAAGCAATTTGAAAGAAATATATGCCGAAAGTGTAGATTTTCGAATCTAGCCCCATTCGATCGATATACTAGCCAGTGAAGTATCGGCTTCTGCTTGCATTTTGTTCAAATCGAGCCACTCGTAACACCAGGAAAACTAGGCTCAATTCTTGACCTTTCTGTCGATAAGTAAAGCCATATACTTAGCCGATAGGAGCCATTCCATGGTGACTGTTTTTTGATTGTCTTAGGACGTTATGGTAATAAGCTCTAGCCATGTTGGCTTTGACATAAGCTCTTTTGTGGGGTGGTATTTTTTTCATTTCTTATTGTACTGGTGTCTAACATTGCGTTAGAGGTGACTCCATACATTCAAGATTGAAAAATACGTCCTCTGGCGCAAGCACTTTATTATTTTCAGTATTTAAGTTTGAAATTTAGAGTTTTGTGTAATGTCCGCCGAGTAGTGCTGAGGCGAAAATTGTCGAAATATGAACACCCGCACACCTGTGGAGCTGGTATTTCATTTGATTTCTTTCAGAAGTGGGAGAGAACTCTCCATCCCTTAGGTTATCGGGCCATGTACTGTATCTAGCATAGGTGAGAAGTTTAAACTAAAAAAAAAGTTAATGCGATGTAGGTTTTCGCGAGGTAAGCGAGTTGTATCTGGATTTGAAAGTTTTTAGTCCAAATAAGGTATGCATTAATTCATTTAAAGTATCCTTTCGGTGCTTAAACTAGATCGAAATTAGAATGGTTAGCTTACCACCTTCAGCATGAAGTTTCACATTATTATTTGTTGAAATAATTGGCATCAATGATTTTTGTGAGGGTGTGTGATTGACAATATTTCTATTGGACTTACTTTAACAAGCGCATTGCAAGTTTCACATCAAAGAAAGTTCTGCAATCGATAGCTAACAGAAACAAGAGGAAATGAAATTAGTATGAAGATAAAATAAAAAATAAAATAAAATAAAAACAAAAAAAAAAAAAAAAAAATATCTAATAGGTAATGAATTAACATACAGTGTTAGTTCTTATGCTGCATTCCCCCTATTCTAAATGTGGTAGATAACAAGCTATATTCATTAACAAAGTGGGCTTATACATTTCTTCATCTGCACAATGTTTTTCTTTCATCTAGTTATATTTTCGTATCTGTTTTCGTAGATCTCGAGCCGAGAGTCGAAGTGGCTCGTTTTTTAGTGCCATAGGAGAGTAGTTCTCCTAAGCTGATAGTTGTAGTTAGATAAGCCCAATTCTCTTAAGGCTTGGACTTTCTTCCGCATTCATTAAGTCTATATCTTAAATTGTAATTTCAAACATTAAAAGTTAAGCTTCAATCTCCTTGATTTGATATGTCCAATAATTCTTCCGAATTGGATCGTAGATATCCTTCAAAAGGGAGTATATCTCAATTGCTTTAGGTTTGTTATTTTTCTTAACGTTAATTTTCCCCAACAACTCAAGAGCATACGATGATTTGATTACATTCTCTTCGTTGATATTTGCAAATTCTTGACAGAATTCTTCCAAGTCAATTAATTCGTCGGGTTTCTTGAACTTTTGATAAATTCCAATCAAGTAATTCCAGCTAGACGCATTTTGAGGAGCTTCTTGAATCTTCTGCTTTACGTAGTCAATTTCTTCATTAATAACATTCTGGTCCACCTGTTCGTCACCAAACTTAATGAAGAATCTATGAGTCCATGCAGAATTGTTTTTAACATCGTATTCAATTCTCTTTGCAACAAACTCTATTTCTCGTTCGTCCCTATACAACTTGAATCTCTCAACTAACCATTTCCTGTACGACCACACATGATGGTTCTTACTATCTTGTGAGAGCATTTCATCAACAATGGGGAATTCATGGTAGGCATTAAATTTTTTCACCGTATCGCTGGTTTCTCTGCTTATTATCAACTCTATTATCAATTGTCTATAGTTCCAAATTTGATAATTTTTTTCATTATCTAGAGCCAATTGTTCACACCAGTCCAATTCGTCATATAAGTTTTTGTCCAAGTGAACAATGATGTTGTATCTATAGTTCCAGATAGTGTAATGCGAGGCCAAAAGTTCGATTCCTGCTTGGGTCAACTCAAAGGCTCTGTCGCTGTACTCTTTTTTTGCGAGAAGTGCCAATAGTATGCCCATTACTGACTTGTACTCGTCGTCATATAAGATTTGGCACAACTGAGGTTCTTCCTGGTTAAGCTGCACGGGCGTGATGTCCAGGAACTGCGATAAGTCAGTCATTTTATTTTAAGATACGATTGAGGTTCAATTGTTCTTTTAAATATATTTGAATCAGTTGTGGAAAAAAAATGACTACCGAAAATGCAGCTAAGTTAGAATAACTACGATAGAATAACTATGGCAGTATGAAACTAATATGGAAATAATATTCTGCAATATGCTCGACGTCTGACACAATGGATGAATTGCTGATGTACTGCTGATGTACTGCTGATGTACTGCTGATGTATCTCAAATGTGTTTCTGCCCCGCTTGAGCCCTTGTCTAAATACTACGGTTAAATACCCTCCTCGGACGTACAGCCCTGCTCCAGCCCTGTTTCATCAAATAACGTATTTTTTCTTCTTTTGATCTGACAAATAGGCGTGTGTTCCTGCATCTTGAACCTGTCACTTTCAGTGGCCTCTGCCTAGCACAAGTACCATTACACACCGCAGAACATGAAACAAAAGGCAGTTTACGGTGAGTTTTCCCATGTGGTTGGGTGGTGTGACTTCACTGGTGCCATGCTGCTCCATTAATGCTCCCAGAAAATAAGTTTTTTGCATTTCCTTCCTCTCTGTTGGTGCCCCCATTTTGAACCCTTTAGCACCTATTGCCGATCTGCAGTGCCTAATAAGCTCTCACTAACGCCCCTAAGTGCACGCTCTTAGGTCCGCGAAATCACAAGATTATTTTATTACTTTCTTCTTGGTACGGACATATTTACCTTTCAGATAACGATCTTTCCCCCACCTCAGGAGTTCCGCATCTCGGGAAACTCATATTGTATATTGTTCATGTCCAATCCAAACATCAGAGACAAAGACATCCTCTTGGTTATAGCATTATCTTGTCCCGTAATATATATTACCACTTCGTTGGTGTTTACAAACTCACAATTGCCGACACTACTTGTGGTATTTTTGGGCTGCAACATGTTTTCGAGAACCAAGTATTTTACATCGTTTGTTCAGAAACTAGAACCCCAGGTATCGAAGCTACTCGAAAATGACTTCATACCAACGATCTTCAATGGACCAGGCAGTGGGCTGCTCTCTGGCGTGATAAATACTGATGGATCCACCCATGCAGGTAACCCCAACCACGCCCAGTATGAGTCTTTATCAGAAACTTCTAAGATCGAACTCATCTCTGCCGTGAAGTCGCTTCAGGCGTATTCTGCCAACTCGAAGAGGTCCAATGAAAGGCATAAGAAGCTTTTCAAGATGATGACCTGGAGACAGCAGAAGCTTTGCGAAGATGTGGGTTACGTGAAACGGTTGAGCAAGATCGATCAGGCTGTAAATAAGAACCAAACCTTTATGACCGAGATTGCAAACCACGCCATCGATAAGTACGGGCTCTCATATCAGGATTTCGAAATCTTGAAAGATAGCAAGAACAGTAAGAACAATTCTTCTTCTCTGAACTACAGGGTCGTTGAGGCCCTTGGGCATTTTGTCAGAGATTGGACCAAAGAAGGCGAATTGGAATTAAAATTCTTGATGGACAATATCAAGACAGAATTGGACAGGATAATTCCGTCTGACCAGAGGGGAAAGACATGTGTGGTAATTCCAGGTTCAGGTTTGGGTAGAATAGCGCATGATATCGCAAACTTGGGGAAGGAGAGCGGTTCGCAGTTTGCTTCTGTTCAAGCCGTAGAGTACAGTGGCCTCATGAATGTGTGCAACTCGTTCATGTATAATACTTATCAGTCGGCTGATAGAAAGGGATCCGACCTTGAGATCTTCCCATATATTCATTCGTCGTCAAACATTGTGAAGAGCTCATCTCAGTTCAGATCGTCCAAGATCGATCGTCTGATCTCCAAGCCAGCAAATCTCCAAATAAATCATGACGATTTTAGGTACTTCGAAGTCCCCGATAGCTCCAAGTATGAGAATGTAGTGGTGTTATCTGTGTTCTTCGTAGACACCGCGGAGAACTTGATTGAATATTTGGATGCCATCAAGAACATAACCTGTAATAAAAATGTTAAAAGGGGGTACTGGATCAACTTGGGGCCCTTGAAGTATGGTAGTGCAGCACAGGCTGAATTGACTGCTGAGGAGTTGTGTAAGGTCAGACTAGCCATGGGCTGGAATGATTTAAGGTATGTGAATACTATTGAGGACGATTCTGATGAGGCTAACAACAGTTTGGTAGGCTACATCACTGATACAAAGAGCATGTGGCAAGGATACTACGGACTAAGCATGTGGACATCCGAAAGGAAGGAGAATAACCTGTAGAGATAGTGAAAAGGTACGGTTATTATGCATCACTATATACAATTACTACGTTATTTATTTATGACTCTTATTTTATTTATTTATTTATTTATTATGGCATTATATTAATATACATTCTATCTACTTAGAAATGCCAGAACCTTTGTTTATTTGGATCTTTTTATCTTGACCTCCACTAACAATACCAATTTCGTTATCCCATGAAACACCAAAGACTTTATCTTGACCCTTGGCAGCTTCTTTGGACTCTCTAGTGATTGTGTATAATGACTTCTCGGCTCTGACATCCCAAACCTTAACAGTACCATCATGGGAGGCAGATGAGAACATGTAGTCGTTAGTTGGAGAGGCACTCAAGCCAACCACAAAGTTGGAATGTCCGACGAGTTTTGATGCGCTTGTTTGCTCAGTCGTTGAGGCTGTGACCCTTGGATCGTGTAAGTTGATATGACGAGCTGAAGATCCACTGACAATAAGATGCAATTGAGGGAGTTGCAAAGCTGAAAGCAACGAGTAACCAGTTGTTCTGGTGTCCACACAACGAGAGACTACCAAATCCCAAGTCTTAATGGTGTGATCTTGGGAAACTGAGTAGGCAACTGTGGAGTCATTGGCATCGAATATAACATCTTCTACTGGTTGAGAATGACTCTCAAGCAATGCAAGGGGAGATCTACGTCTAATGGTAGAATCTTGTACTGCCATCTTTCTTCTCTTCTTGGATGCAGTAGATAACACATTTGAATCGTATTCTAATGGTTGAATTGATGTCATTTCTTTGTAGTTGGTCGACCAAACCCCTATAGAATTATCATACCCTGCTGATAATATACGGTTTGTCTTTTGTTCCACTGCTAAGGAGACAACTGGAGCTTTGTGTCCTTCCAAGATGGCCAAGGTTTTACCATCTTCAATTTCTTCATCCTCGTCGTCTTCTTCAGCCACCTTACTGTCTATGGAAGTTTTCCATAATCTTACTTGTCTGTCGTTACCAGATGAAACGATTCTAGTTGGAGAGATCCACTTGACAGATCTAATTGGACCAGAATGTCCGGTGTATTGCTTTTCCACGGCCCCTGACATATTGTAAGTTCTGACTATACCATCGTACGAACCAGAAAGTATCTTGGGTTGTAAGATGGACATATTAGAGGTGGTAACGGCTGCTGACGTGCTGTTGATTGTATCTAACGACAGGATCCAATCTTCATTGTCGAAAGATGCTAAAAACGATGGAGGTAACACAGCTCTTGTATATTCCAAGTTTAAAAATGCTTCGTTGGATAACCCATTTTTAGTTAAGTACTCACTTAATGAGGTTCTGAGTAAGGCACCGTCAATAAGGAAATCGAATGGGATTGCTTTGGATTCTTCATCGTCTTCCTTTTCGATTAAATGGTTAACAACTTCTGACAACCCGTATCTTTTCAAGGACACTGGGACGTACAAAGGAGCCTCAGAAACTTGTAAAGATTCATCTTCATCTTTGGTGAAGAATTTAATCTTGATTTGGGCTTTCTCCTCGGCCATTTTTCTTATTCTATACTTGTATTTTTGGAGTAATGGAAGAACCTCTATTGTAGTGGGTTTTTTATTTAGCATATATGAAAAATTCATCTCATCTCATTGGCAATATGCAGGTGCATCTCCAAGTCAGTAGCAGGCAGCATCGAAAATTGGGGCACGTAGTGGGTAGTCTATGGGAAGGGCAGGTGGAGCAAGTACTTAGCAATAAAAGTGAAACGTTCGAAACAGCATAAAGATCTTGATATAAAGTGTATGCTTCCGAACTGGAGGTTCCTGGGCTTAAAATAAAGTATCTATTCAGCATTGGCTGTGCCATCGATCAATTTATGTGGTTAATTTAGGCGACAGTGAGAAACATTTCGCAGCCGCTCCAGCGTATTCACAGCATTTTATTTTCCAGACGTCCGAGGAAGACCATCCGATAGAAAGGAGTAGTGACCTACAAAAAGCAGTAATTCTTAGTGTAGAAAGGTCTTTCTGTATACTGGTAGTGTTTCCATGGATACAAGTACCTAATTCCTCTTTTTATTTTCTATTTCAGTCTACGAGACAAGTCACTTCCTGTCTCAGCTGCATTAGAGTAACTATATTTAGCTACATTTTTCGCAGAACTAGGTCAAAAATATTGATTGGAACCAGAACTAAAATCTCACAGTCATATTCAACAGACTGCTCTTTCCACGAACTCGACTGAGTATAGGCATAGAGGCGCGTGTGGCTATTTTGCGCACAACTGTAGCACTATGTATGGCCCCATGAGAAGGAAATTCCAACCTTCTTCTTGTTGCAATTGTCGTTGGTTTCTTTTTTCTTCTCCAAACAAATGCCCCAGGGTCAGAAACATCACCGCTAAAGATCAATGCCTTTAGTGCCCGCTTAAACCTCTTCCACCGTCTTTTCTTCGTAATTCTAGGATGTGGCAAAGATCTCATTTGGAGTAAGCTACAAAAAATATAGTTAGAGATAAGAAGGGGGTATCGTTGGTAAGAAGCAAAAACGATAAGCATTCTTACAAAGTCTGCGCTCCACTATGGAAAATTGGCGAATGGCTGCAAATGGAAGGACTTGCACTAACCACAACGGACTGCATGGTCTATCCACAAACAAATCGAAAATCAGATGATATCGGATTACAAACACGGAATTCACGCTCAACCCCATAAAATATACCTAACACGTCTTCCTTCCAACAACGAGTCATAGCTTAACACCCCAACTTGAGTCAATGATATCGAGGTCTATCACCGCGGAGGAGTCACCTTATCGATGTGCCTATGACACAAAACCTGCACAGTGGAGTATTGCAATCAATTAGCCTGCCTAAATTCCATGCAAAAAAAAATATTGTTACACAAAACCACTAAAGCGATGAGTTTTTCACTCCCAATACGGCCCACATCATCACCCTAAAATTTTTATATATATACATCTATATCGGGTTCTGGTTTTCCTATTCCTTTTCTTTTTTTTTTTCTTTTCTTGGGTGGTATCCTTCCCCATATATCATATACATATAAGTATATATCCTACAACTCATTTTTGCAGAAAGAAAATGTCTGACGCTGTCGTTGAAGTCTCCGCTGTCTTTGACACCATCTTGGTGCTTGATTTCGGTTCCCAATACTCCCACTTGATCACTCGTCGTTTGAGAGAGTTTAATGTCTACGCTGAAATGTTGCCATGTACTCAAAAGATCTCTGAGTTGTCTTGGAAGCCTGCTGGTATCATTTTGTCTGGTGGTCCATACTCAGTTTACCTTGAAGGATCCCCACACGTTGATCACGATATCTTTAAGTTGAACGTTCCAATCTTGGGTATCTGTTACGGTATGCAAGAATTGGCTTGGATCAACGGTAAGGGTGTTGCTCGTGGTGAAAAGAGAGAATATGGACCTGCTACCTTGAACGTTGAAGACGCCTCTTGTCCATTGTTCAAGGATGTTGATCACTCCAAGGTTTGGATGTCCCACGGTGATAAATTACACGCTTTGCCAACTGGTTTCAAGATTGTCGCTACCTCCGAGAACTCTCCATTCGCCGCAATTGCCCACGAAACTGATTCCATCTTTGGTATCCAATTTCACCCAGAAGTCACACACACCGAAAAGGGTAAGCAATTGTTAAGAAACTTTGCCATTGATATCTGTAAGGCTCAAAACAACTGGACCATGGAAAACTTCATTGATACTGAAATTGCCAGAATTCAGAAGTTGGTTGGTCCTACTGCTGAAGTTATCGGAGCTGTATCTGGTGGTGTTGACTCCACTGTAGGTGCCAAGATTATGCATGAAGCTATCGGTGACAGATTCCACGCCATCTACGTTGACAACGGTGTCATGAGATTGAACGAAACTGAACAAGTTTACAAGACTCTTACTGAAGGTTTAGGTATTAACTTGACCGTCGTGGACGCCTCAGACTTGTTCTTGGGTAGATTAAAGGGTGTCACTGACCCAGAGAAGAAGAGAAAGATCATTGGTAACACTTTTATCAACGTCTTTGAAGAAGAAGCTGCTAAGATCAAGCCAGCTTCTGGTCAAGAAATCGAATTCTTGTTGCAAGGTACATTATACCCAGATGTTATTGAATCTATATCTTTCAAGGGTCCATCCCAAACCATTAAGACCCATCACAACGTTGGTGGATTGTTGGACAACATGAAGTTGAAGTTGATTGAACCATTGAGAGAATTATTCAAGGACGAAGTTCGTCACTTGGGTGAGTTAATGGGTGTTCCTCATGATTTGGTCTGGAGACATCCATTCCCAGGTCCAGGTTTGGCCATTAGAGTCTTGGGTGAAGTTACTCCAGCTCAAGTTAAGATTGCTCGTGAAGCTGATGCCATTTTCATTGCTGAAATCAAGGCTGCTGGTTTATACAAGCAGATCTCTCAAGCCTTTGCTGCCTTATTACCAGTTAGATCTGTTGGTGTTATGGGTGATCAAAGAACTTACGAGCAAGTTATTGCATTAAGAGCCATCACCACTGTCGATTTCATGACTGCTGATTGGTTCGAGTTTGATTACTCATTCTTGAAGAGAGTTGCTTCGAGAATCGTCAACGAAGTTGATGGTGTTGCTCGTGTTACCTACGATATCACTTCCAAGCCTCCAGCTACTGTCGAATGGGAATAGAGAAATGTAACAGATATAAATAAGTAATATAGTAGAAAATGATAAAATAGAGTCTTATATAATAGAATCTCATAACGGAGTCAGAATGAAGAGAATGTAGTACGTGTAGAGGGAAGTAGACGAGAAGAGGTGGTAGAAAGGTGTAGATCTCAGAGACAATAGGGGGAGATCAAAAGATAATGGATAAGCTATAAAGTCTAGAGAACTACAAATAAAGGGTATGTACTTTGAAGTACAAATGTGGTTTATTACTTCATTACTTCATTTCTTCATTTCGTCATTTCGTCGTTCTGGTATCAGTCAGTCCACTAGCTAGTACTGATTCGTGGTGTGTGCAATCTCACTTCTCTGCCCCATCTCCAATCACTTCTCTTCAACTTTAGCAGGTGATATCTGTTTTAACGCATTAGCTGATACCTGTCTCAACACATTGGCAATAAGGGTATCACCATCATGCGAAATGCTCAACAAAAATTGCTCCCTCTCGTTATAGTCATCGTTCCATATATGGGGCTTACCGAACAGATCTTTGTAGCGGTACCAATCCTTGAATTGGAAGATCTTCTGATCTTTCGGGTCCAAAGTCTTGAATATAGCCTCTTTAGCTGCCCAGCTCCCCGCAACGTATCTCACACGGGGTTCAATTGAATCGTTTTGCCTGAGTTCTTCAAACTCCATCAACTCTTTGGGATGGAGAACTCTTCGTATAAACCTACTAGTACCTGTTTTACCATTCTTCCCACCATCCTTCGCCAAAAGCAGATTAAACCGAGAAATTTTCACTATATCAACCCCAATCCCCAAAACTGTCATCTCGTATACCAGCAGCTCCACAATCTAGGTCCTACCTATGGAATAAACTATGTCTTCCCTCCTAAACACTGTACCCAGTCTGATCGCTATCGCATTTTTTTTTTTTTTTTTGACTCATGCCAGTGAAAAATTTCTCCAGAATAAAGTTTCGAGGACAAGCAACGTTGATTCTCCTGTTTTGTTGTTCACCTTTTGCCATCTGAGTTGAGAAGAGGATACTCAGTTCATTGCTTTGACTGCCTTTAGTTACTTCCCCTTTTTTTTCGTACACGTTTCGTTATGGCATCATCGATTAAAGGTCCAGTTGAGCTTCCAGCTTCCAGGTTCGATCTCTCCACATACTGGGGTAGAGTACAGCATTGCGCCGAGATTTCAGACCCAACCATGCTCTTGAATACATCCAAGGACATTGAACAAGCCAAGAGATTGGTCTGGGACTACAAGAACGGAGTTATTCCATCTATGACTCCTGAGTTATGGAGAGCCAAGAAGATCTTGGACTCGGCCATCCATCCAGACACCGGTGAGACTGTTATCTTGCCCTTTAGAATGAGCTCATGTGTATTGTCCAACTTGGTGGTTACTTCAGGTATGTTGACGCCAAATTTGGGGACAGCAGGGACTCTCTTCTGGCAGGTAGCCAACCAGTCTTTGAATGTTGCTATAAACACGGCTAATGCAAACAAGTCTCACCCATTAACTACACAACAGATCGCAACCAGTTATGCCTTGGCTGTGTCTGCGTCTTGTGGAGTTGCCCTTGGGTTGAATCTGATTGTTCCACGCTTGAAGTCGATTTCTCCTGTTACTAGAACCGTATTAGGTAGATTGGTACCATTTGCTGCTGTTGTGTCTGCTGGTGTAGTCAATGTGTTCTTGATGCGTGGTGAGGAAATCAGAAAGGGTATCACTGTTACGACATCAGAGGGTAAAGACGTCGGAACTTCCAAAACTGCTGCCTTCCATGCAGTTGGAGAAACCGCCGCCAGTAGAGTTATCAATGCAACCCCCGTTATGGTCATTCCCCCATTGATTCTTGTCAGGTTGCAGAAATCGAAATTCCTAAAGGGTAAGAGCAAGAAGGTGGAAGTATTGACTAACATTGGTTTAATCTTCTCCACTTCGCTCGTAGCCTTACCGTTTGCTTTAGCTGTCTTCCCACAAAGAAGAGAAATGTCTGTGGAAAAGTTGGAGCCAGAATTTCACAACTTGAAGGATTCAAAGGGTGCCCCTATCAGCACATTATTCTTCAACAGAGGTATCTAGATTTCTCTTTGGGAGCAAGTATTTTTTTCTGACAGAGAGAGAGAGAGAGAGAGAGAAAGAGAGAGAGAGAAAGAGAGAGAGAGAGAGAGAGAGAGAGAGAGAGAGACAGACACATAACATACCTTGTAAATAAGTTTATTAGATATGCAATACAGTTTATATATAGGTTCAATATTAAGTATTAATTTAATGGTTGGGTTTCATCTATGACTAGCTACTCTGTTATTTCAGTTTTTGATTTCTACTTTATCACCAAAACTTCCATCCTTCCTGATTTTCGACTCCAAGTACTTCAATTATCTCTTCCCGAGTACCAAATCCTGAAAATCTCTTTAAATCAAACACCTTTTCTCTAACTTCTTCGGATACATTTTCAGCATATAAAGCTCCCACTCCTTTACCTCCAAGAGAAGTCTCGAAAGTTTCAAATCCTTCATCCTGAAAGCATTGCACTGCCTTCTCAATGGTCTCCTTACTACATTCATCGTTTACTAAGGTTATGGCACACCCACCACCACCAGCACCCGTCAATTTAGTTGCACCTACCTTGAACTCTTCAGAAATTATTTTAATCTTTTCCAATGCTGGATGTGAAACCCCAAGACTAACCAAAAGCCCATGATTAATATTTACAAGTTCTTTCAAATTATTTAACTCATCAGATCCGAAAAAGGGTCTAATCATAAGGTGATAAGCTTCATTGGTCAAATGACCCATTGCGTCCAAAATACAGCCGGATGTCTTTGGGTATTGCTTATTTAAACGGCCAACGCCCCCCACCAAGTCTGCAGTCAGTCTAGGGATCTTGGTATTTGTCAATAACAACTTAATTGGGGGTAAATTGGGCATGGACGTACGCACAGATGGCATAGTTGGGTTGTCCTTTCTTTGGTATAAGACAGCACCACCATGTGTAGCAACTGCGTTATCGATACCAGATGGATTACCATGGAAACACTTTTCACCTATTAAGGACCAGCTGTCTATGAAATCAGCAGATCTAGGATTATGGGTGGTCTTATGCTTTTCTGAATATGTCAAAGCGGCAGGGTCGATATGTCCTCCTAAAATAGCGAGCGATGATGCTAGACAAACGGCAGTGGAAGCAGAAGATCCAAGCCCAGCACCAATTGGTAAAGTAGATCTCACGCAGAATGACATTCCTTCGGTGTGAATATCACACAAATTCATGTATAAGTAAAGGAAACAATGACAGGCGGTGTAGTGCAATTTTGATTCCAAGTCCAGCAAGGCGTCGGTCAACCCATCGATAATTTCGGGGACCAACTCATCGGTGGTATCAGGAAGCCCATCCGTATGTGTGACATGTTTTTTAACCTCGTCCCACGGTAAGTCGTTTTTGTTCCAAGAATGTGAAAGCCCAATATCTGGGAAGTCCAAAGTGATGGTGTCACTGGACGTAGGAGAAGGTGTTACAAGTAAATACGCTCTCAAAGATAAAGCAGCAGCAATTGCAGGCTTGTTGTATACAGCAGAATGCTCACCAAAAATAATGACTTTTCCTGGAGCACTAACATAGAATGGCTCGGACATGTTTCCTACCGTCAGAAAGCTAAGATGCTATGTCTATGCTATCCGTAATGGTGTATGCAATCACTTGGTCTTTGTAAACGAAGCTAGCTGGAAGAAAGTTTAAATTTTCAAATCGCGTCGTATAAAAAAGATCAACAAAAGTGAAAAATTCGACTAGTAGTTAAGGGAGCTAGAGCTACAAGAGATGCCTAAGGAGTACTAAAGGTCTTTGGGTATTTATGCAGAAAATAAATGGGGGACTTACTTGATTGTGTTTTAAAGGTAATTAATTTTTTTTTATTAGGTCTATGTTTTCTATACTTTTTTGAGTGGTTGTTTAACCATTTTGTTTCTTTTGTTTCACTCATTTTTCAGTTTCAAAAAAATCTTTTAACCCTCTTATTTCATTCATTACCTCCTTCAAAAACATTTCGTTGCCTTTACCTTCGAGGATTTGCTTCTCTTCTGCTGAGCTCCCAAATATCCTCGAGGAAAGAAATTTCGGATGCTTTAAAAGGTTAACTAAATTGTTTGCAAACTCTTCTCTGCTGCTGTTAGACTCTAAGCCTGGAAATAATACCATATCTATAACTTCACCTTCGCTGGTGTATTGTGTAGGGGAGCCCATTGATTTCAAAAAGTCTTCGACATTAGCAAGCTTCAACATTTGAAATAAGAAGAGTATCTGTCTAGTTTCTGATATAGACACAGTGGTAATTTCAATAGACGACAGACTCTTGGACCATCTATCAATGCATGTAGCTATCTGTTTTTGGAAGGATTTCATAAACATGCACACTTCAGGTAAGATCTGGGGGCCCAAATTTTTAAATGTAAGTGATACTAAAGGTAATAAACCATTGCACCAAATATAATAGTAATTAGCATCTTCATCTGGTGATAACGATGAGAGCGACCCCTTTTGAATATGGGCAGATGTCGAACTACCAGTTAATATTAAGAATAAGCCAGCTTCAATAAAGTCTTGAGCAATTGGATCAATTGTCATTAATTCTTGAATGGTCATTAATGTTAACTGTGAAAACACCAATTGGCCCTCCTTGATCAAATTCAGCGTAGAGTATAAGTTCATCAACCCCTTTACGATATCATTAGTGGAAACAATCTTAGACATTTCCAATTCGGTTGATGCTGAATGTCTCAATGAGACAAACTCTTTCAAAATGGAGAGGATTAATGACAAATTTTCAAACTTTTCGTCTAAGTGCTGTGGAACAAATCTTTTATCAGTACGAATTAAATAAGCATCATTTTGTAATTCCACTAATATATTTTTCATCCCTCTAGAGATAATTAATTCGAAAAGTTTTATGAATAAGTTTGCGTTGGAAGCAATGGTATTTGAATCATTTTTGGTTAATGCAAGCGACAAATTCAATATGCGAAGCAAGGATTTGTAATTACCAGTTCTTGAATGGCCAGTTCCAGTTATATTTTTAAGCAAGTCACAACTGAACTTAATTATATCAAGAACATTTTCTGGAAGTGGAGGTTTCACATCTGGGTTAATGGTCATTGTATACAATATGTAGAATGACAATTCAATTCTTTCCCTGTAGACTTGAATGAAAATTTCTGAAGGACTGTCAATAACTACATTGAAAAATAAAAGTTGTGAGGCAAGGAAAACCCAATCAGAGCTCAACTTTGATCCAAATCTTTTGCAAAATGCAGTTAACAAAGCGCCATGCGATTTAACAACAGCAATTTGAGCACTCAGATATTGAATATTTGCGTTACATGCTTTCACATGTTCACGGAGCGATGGCCAGATTTCTGTATAGTCAGATTTTCCAAAAATTTTGTCCATCAAATCCAAATTATAAACAATAGATTGGCCAAATCTATTTCTTTTAACAAGTGAAGAATTGAACTTCGAAACATCTAAGTTGAAGTTTTCTGTGAATAAATGTTCCAATTCATCATGTAATCTTTGGTTATACCCAATAGTGTCAAATCTTTTCAAGAATTCGAATTTGAACTCTCCATCTTTGGCAAAAACCTCAACTAACTTATTCTTAATTGACTCACTTCTTGTAGTGTATGCAACTACTGACAAAATTTCAGTAACTTTGGACAACACCTTCAACTCATAACATTTAGTGATATACTCATCAGTAGTACGTGCCTTGATATCTTGCGGTTGATTAAATTTGGTTAACAAGAGGTTGACAAACTCCATGTCATCGTCATTACCACGAATGGTGGTCCACGAATTGAAAGCGAGTGAAATTGCATCAACTAAATGTAAGGATACATACTCAGGGTAGTATTTGATGTTACGAAGGCTCTTCTTCAATATTGAAAGTATTGATTTAGAATGTGTAGAATTATCAGCATTATTCGTAATCTCTCCATAAACATCTCTACCACTGATGAATAACATAGATAGTCCTTCTTGCTGACCATTCAAAACAGCACATATAAAATCATACAAGCTAATTTTCATATCATAATCATCAAAAGAATTTTCTAAATCGGAGATCAAGCTATTGAGCAACACTTGAGAATGGCCCCTACCCATGTGAGATAATAATGATGGTGGCGGAGAATTTTTCATCATAGCAGCACCATTGGTCAAGTTAGTAATAAGATCAAGAACCTCCTTTCTCAAGTTTTGATGTGAGGCATATATATCGACCAATTGAGGTAATTTTATGAACAAGCTCTTTACAAATGTCGAGGAACTAAATGAAAATGAGGATGCAAACGAAGAAGAAGAGCAGATGGTCAATATCAACAGGGAATATTTCAAACTTGATTTCACCCACTTTTTGAACCAGTACCCAGACAAGTCTCTTGATTCATACAAGTCAAATTGCAGAATGGAATCAATAACCGAAAGCAAGGGGTGACAAGTTCTTGATGTTGAGATTGTCGCACTGTCTATGGAAAATGACTTCAAAATTTTGATTGAAGGTTCTGCAAATATCTTAGTTACTTTATCAACAGGTAAGTCTGCTTCGTCAATAGAGTACACATTTTCCAACACATTACTGAAGATCCCAACAATCAAATAACCAATTTCCATTTTTTGATAAGCCTTATTGAATCTGCAATGCGAGAAACTTTCAAAAATTTGAATTAGATACTCAATGAATCTCGACAAAAGTATGGACTTATTCTTGTTGACTTTTTCTTCCAATCCTAAGCAATCTTGCACCAATGCATTTGCTAAATTAATCAAAGCAATAGTCAATTGATAATCACCGTTTATCATTTCAATGGCACCAAAGATGATTGAAGCAAAACCTTCCTTGCTCCCATTAGACGACAACAAAGCTGATTTACTCAAATAAGACCATATTTTAACTTCAATCAATGGAACTAACGATGTGAATAAATTGGTTAACGAGACCAAAATGGTAATATTTCTTGAATGTAAATTTTGTTCGAATAACCTGAAAAGAATCTCAATAACATCCGAGTCATCCATGTAAGCAGACATAGAATCCAATACATCCAAAACGGTAATAGCATCACTACCTTGGTTGTCTTGGACTACCTGGGTCAATAGTTCAATCAAGTCAATAATTAGCTCTGTCTTATCATTGTCATCATTATTCAACGACGACCTTACTATATTTTGCAATATTCTGCCTAAAAATGCCCAACCATTGTACTTGTATAAGAATGTTACAAGCACTTCATCTTGTAGTCCAGAGGGTAACACCATAGCCTTTGTATTGGAGTCTAGAAATAAGGACAATTTCTTATTCGATTCATACGGAGGGTATAAATCAATGTCCTTGGTTAGCTTTACCAATTCTGTATTTTGGTCATCGATTTCACTAATCATTTCGAATTGATCTTTTTTAAATGAGCTCATAAAAGATTTTAAGTTATTAAATTCATTTATCGCAAACTGCCCGTTAATTGAACTCAATTTCAAGTATGGAAGAATTTGAATGGGGAATTTTGCTCTGGTTAAAATGATTAGTTCAATTATTGATTCATCATTAAAGAATGACTCAATAACCAGTGCTGGAGCTGATTTAACCACAGAATGTATGGTAGCTGCAATTTTTGAATCAATGCTCACTAATGGGATAGCCAGAACTATGACTTGTGAAAGGATGGCGGCATATAAATTATCGAACTTGAGAAGTTCATTCAAGTTTGTAATATTTTGGAACACGTCCAACGATGCTGCTCGCTGGTTAAGGCTGTTGATAGTGACCAAATGGGTTGTTTTCTCTTCAGAGATGTGTTGCCTGTACAATATTATAGACCAGACATACATGATTATGGAATTAATGTTCGAATCATCTGCAATGCAAGAGTTTACGGTAGAAAATGTAGAGCTGTCTTTCATAAACTCATTCGAACCGAAGTTTCTAGACACATCAAGTAACAACACTGATGTTATAGTGGCAAGACCTTGAATTAAATTGAAAGGTTCAGTATGAACTACAGCTGGTCCGACTATTAACATGAAGTTGGTTTCTGCCATGAACTCAAACCATTGGGATACTAACTTGGGCTTGGAGTCTGGAGACGCAGAAATGAGCTCTATAAGTACCTTCAACAATTCAGTGATTATCAATATTGATTCGGTGTCAACAAGTAGATCTAAGTTGGAGATCTCTTTGGGGCCATTGTCCTTGGAACTACCGAGTCCCTTCCTCTTAAGTAAATTTCTAGTGCAGTACTTGAGCTCGCTGACAACGTCGTTTATATATTCATCAGACAAGAATATCTCCTTACCCAAGTTCCTGATAACCATAGACTTACTAGGATTCAACTTGTTATTCAAAAGTTCCAAAACTATGTCGAGTATAACTCTCCTGTCCCTTAAGATCCTAGTTGTGTACAACACTATTCTCTCTTCTTCCAAATGGTTATCCAAGTCGTCAGGTATCTTGGATTTCAACTTTTTATTTACATTAATGCTCTTCTTTTCTGGGATACGTTTACACACTTGACTTATAGTTCTCAATGCTTCCTCATAATCTATAGAAAGCGTTTCACTAATTTTTTGAGCGTCACTGTTGTTTGTTGGTGAGATGTTAGTGTACAAGACGTCTCTGATGGAAAGATCTTTCACCACCTTATAGTTAGACGGTTGATCACCCTTTCTCTTGAATGGAAGGGCTTCGAAGAACAATTCCTTGTTATTGAGCAAAAACTCATCTAACGCTTCCAAAATGTATTGGTCTTGACCATTTCTCAATAGAGAGAGTGCACTCTCGAATGTCCACAACTCAGAAGGCTCGATGGGTTTCAATGCTTGAATTTCGTTCAATTTAGCCATTTTGAAGTGGGAAAAGAGCTAAAAGGATAGTGAGTGACTTCACTAATGGAAAAACAAAGACTCCTAATCAAACACTTTATCAAGAGCAGCGATAAGTCTCCGTTTAGCTTGGTCTTCGATCCAATGTTTACAAGAGGAAGAAAGAAAAAAAAAAAAAACTACGGAAAATCAATAAGAGATATCCTGCGTATAAGGCAAAATGTTAATACCATAGATGGCTATATAGAAGCTGCAACCATTATATGGGTAATGCCCTTAAAAGTTGTAGGTTATCCAGATTGGATCGGTTGGAATGATTCTGAAGTGAGAGAGTCTTAAAGATGAAAGTTTTCGAAAATTCTATTCAGATACTTCCGATACTAGTTGGAATTACGCCCATGATGTATTCTAGGATAACAGTATTTGAAACGACAATAAATAACATACATATTAGAATTCCATGTGAAGTGACGAGGTGACCACGTGGAAGGTGTGGTTAAACTGATATAAGGGAGCGTATTTACAGTAAGCACTAGTGTGCAAAACAGACTAGGAGATATCTTCGTGAATACCCATTCCTTAACAGAGCTCATGAAGTCAATATCAGTTCAGTGATGTTAAGTGATAACACAGACTGAAATGTCCAAGCAATATTGGCAAGTATTTACCAAATTGAATGATTTCTCAAACTATTCAGTAGATCTGGGACAACCCTATCTACTGTGCTGCATTTCTTCTTTACTTAAACGCATTTCCTTTATCTCAGTCAACCTGTTTTCGAATGTAGTCTTCTTCATAGTCCCTCGAGTTTTCGTGCCCTTGCTTCTTCCACTCAATTTTGTGTGTTGAAGTGGTTCTTATGCACCTCAACTCCCAACTCCGCCTCTTCCATGTCTACCTTCCCCGAATCTATAATAATATCATACTTCTCGACAAAACCAGGACTGCCTTCTAAAGTAACGTTCTCAAGCAGGGGCAACTCTACTTTATCACTTCTAACCTCTCCGTTCACTAATCTTTTCCACGCTTCTACACATTCTTTGACTACTTCTAAAGTTTCTTCTTGGTTCTTGTATACCGCATTGAAGGCAAACTTATTCTTTGGCTTCCCGTCAGGAATCTTGTAGTCCCTGAACCATTCTCTAGTAGTCTCCAACAACCCAGGGCATTGGACAAAAACATCATGAATGTCGAAAAGTTCCTGAGACAATGGGTCTGTAACATCGATGGCAATGATTTTCCAATCCAACTCACCATCGTCAATCAACGCCAAAGACCCTAAAATCTTCACGGTCTTAACTTCCCCCAATTTTCCTACGTTTGATCCAATCTCGCAAACATCCAACGGATCGTTGTCACCATACAACTGTAAATCTTCATTAAGGTGGGTAGGATCTTCCCAAGTTTGCGGGAATGCTCCGTAATTATGGATATATCCATGGTTTGGGAACAAATTCTTAACAAATCTCACCTTCCCCTTCTTCACATCTTGAACTATGGGGTTACCAGGAAGTTTGGTATCGATTTCAAACTTTCCATTGGTCCAACGAGGAATTTCAACTACCATGTTCGCAGTTTTATTAGCCAAGTCAAATTGCAATGGTATGTCGTGAAGATATGATACGATTTTATTATTGTGAGTGGCATAATTTTTGAAATCCGTGGTGTACTTGGCACCTTGGTTTACAGACCCAAGGGACTTAGCGTCTACCGCACCACCACTGTAGAGACGGTTGGGTTGTAAGTGTTGGTTGGTGAGCTTCAACCTGGAGGACATTCTTATCGTATTTACTAACAACAACCTTCCACTTGCCATTGGTAAAGAAGAAGAAAAGCAAAAGCGAATGGTTTCTATTATAAGTACCCCCAAAACTTAAATTACGGGGTCCAGCTTGAAATTGTTCACTATCATGGTGAAATTTTAGTGTGTCTCGGGCGGCATATTTTTTCTGCACTTCGTAAACTTACCGAGGCTGCCCTATGAAATATCACACGCTATGAATGGTTGCAGTTGACAAGACAAGGCATATGACATTCAATGTACGAATTAAGGTAATGGTAGAGTAGGAATGAAGATAAAATAGCTCGTAAGGCAATGGATATTAAGGATGAAATGTTCTGATTAGTTTTCACTTCAAAAGAGGGAATGTTTACTTGAGCTTAATCTACATTGGTGGAGAAAAATTGAAACACATGCTAAATAGTCTATTAATGTGCTACTTCAATATATATGATATGTATGTACATAGATATTCTTGTATCTATTTAGGTGGGCCCAAGTATACAATGCTACCCTTCTTGTTGAATCCAGCATTTTCATCACTAATTTCTATGACCTTGGATATCTTCTCTATCTCAATTGTAGAAAGTCCCATGGAGTCCCTTGGAATCCACAATTTTGGCATCTTGGCAGATACATTTGGTGCATCATAAGCATGCTTATTGTCTTCTTCCTCTGGTTCAACGTAGTAAGTAGCAGGCAATAATTTCTTGACATGTCTGAAATTCAAGTATACGTCTGGTCTGATAAATCTAACTATAGGATTCTTAGACTCGGTGGACTTATGATCACGGTCTGCTAACAACGGAACAAATGTATTGCTGCTGTGATCTTGATCTTCTTCGTTCAATTCAAGATCAATAGTTTGCATGACCCTTTCTTGCTCGACATGGTCCTCTTCGAGTTCCTTATCCAATTTCTTTTCTCTCTTATAGTCTCTCAGCTTTCTTTCCAATACCTTCCTTTTGTATTCTGTTTGGCCTGAAAATGAGCTAGTTGAGGAAACTCCATCTAATGGTCTCATACAATCAATTGGAACAACCTGTACTAAATGCGAAAAGGCCTCCTTCATATGCAAATGACAGAATATAGTGGCTCCTAATCCAATCGCTTGTATTACAATTGGACCCCATCCTTTACCAACAATGAAGATACCTAACATACAAATTTGACCAATATACATACCAGTAAAACTTTGGAATAAAGCTCTAGGGTAATACGAACCTCTTGAATCTGGAGCTTCTACGAAACAATATGTGATATTATGACATATTGCAACATAACATAGAAGAAATGCACCACTAGCGAAAACTAATATAATTGGCGAAATGATTGCGAATGCTAATGTAATACAGGCCAAGTTCGTATAAACTGGGAAAGTTGTACCCCAAGCCATGGTACCCAAGCCACTGAATCTAGCCCACTTTTTTCTAACTGTACCATCCAAAATGTAACCTAAAATGTAGTATAAGAATAAAGTAACGACTTGAAATAACGACCCACCTGAGATAGTCAATCCTTGTAAGGAAAGGTATGATATATAGAAGTTGGAAGAAGTGGGCAATTGTGTAGCTAAAATGGACATAGCTTCGGAGGGTTTATTGATAATTTCAACCACGGTCGAGGTAGCAGAAGACGAGATCATCGTTATCAAAAATGCATTAACAATTAAATATCCGAAGTATGCCTTTTGGGTGAATTCTTCAATAGCTTGAGCGGAAGGAGCACCAGCTAATCTTCCCATAGCCCTAATGAAAATAGGCAACATGGAATTGAATATAGTTAACATGACTGTTGGTAATAAACCGGTTATAATACCCTTTAAAAAGCTAGGCATATTGTTAATAAAACCCAACCAAGGCAATTTGGAAATAAGGTAAGTGACGTTGGAAATAACACCTATAAATGCAACAGGGACGGCCCAAAGCAAGATAATTGCAATCACAGCAGCAAAGGCAAAAAATCTTCTGATAACCTTTTCCCACCAGAAGATTCTTAAGTTGGACCAAACAATGTCAGCAGGCTCCAATCCGGGAGCAGTGGCTTGCATTCTAAATGGGTTGTGGTGAGTAACAGACTGGTATGCCAATTGAGCAGTGTATTGATCTTCAAATTCAACGAAAATTGCATTCTTAGGTTTTGCAACAGCCTTATTTCTTTTCTGCAATCTTTTCACTTCTTTATCCAATTCCTTAATCTTAGTTAAGCAATAGTCTACGGTATCAATTTTAGTCCTAGAGAAAAAGCCACCCTCTTTCACCTTTGGTCTTTTCTTTTCTGGGACATAATCATCGATATTATTACCTTCAATAATGTCACCCTTTCCCTTTTTATTTATCTTTTCACTCTTCATTTTCGATTTTGTTGCTAGTCTCAAGAGCTTGTTCTCTGCCTTTTCCAATCTCATCGCATATCCTTCTCTTGCACGAACCTTGGCATCCAAAATTCTATTAGTTCTATTGACGTAAACTCTCTTAACCCCATTGAACAACTTGAAGAACTGCTTTTCGTCTAACAATTCATCTGGAACACACTGGAATAATACAGTTCTAGATGAGAGCTTTTTAGCATATCGAGGTGAGGAGAGTGCAGCAGCTCTTAAGCTGTTGAAGAAAAACAACTCTCTATAGATATTATATGTGAAACCACCATAAAAGACCCATCCCATGAAACTATGAGCATAGTAACGTTTGCTGTTATCAATATTAGAGATCGATAACAAGTCGAATCCTGTTTTTCCTTTACCATTGACAATATTAATTGGGAGTAAAACGACATAGATGCATATTCCAAATAAAAATGTGAACGCTAATACTAAGAGGTATCTAAGAAAGAAGTAACCATCGAGTCCCGCTTGCTGTATAATAAATGAATGAGGTTTTGTAAGTAAAATGAACACCCAACGGAAAGGATCTTTGGGCAATGGTTCCGGTTTCTTTTCCTCGGGGACTAAATCAAACGATGACTTTGGCGAGTATATTCTACTGAACTTCAATCTGAGAATTAAAAAGCTCACTACGAAACATCCGAACAAAATCAAGTTTGCAACCAAAGTTGAAATGACTGCCGATGTCGAAGTACCGGCTGAAGAGGCCATTTTTGCAAAGGTTTTCTTATTCGAAGTGAAGTATTAATTACCAGAAGCAAAAGAAGAAAAAGAGAAAAAAAAACAGCAAAGAAAGAATAAAATTCTTAACTAATCAATCCATCAAAAGCATCAAACAAAGAAAAAAAATTATTCGTTGTTCCTACGTCATAACACAAAATAATCTTCGATGGAGTTTTGATCGACGTACATGGAATTGTAAATAAAAACAAAGGTAGTCAGCCGTGGCAAGATGAAGGCGGTAGAGAGCAAGGGAAAAACGAGAAAAAGTTAGAATTATACAACAGCACACAGGTTGTAATGACTACTTGAAAGGCTATATCGTTATCTCGGGAGACTCGTGACATCTCTGTCCTTCTCTCCTTGGCTTAGAGACGAATTGTAGGAGAGGGAATCCTGGGTCAGTGGCTTGTAATACAGGTGGTACTTCGGTTGCGAGCAAATGCACAGTTGCCTATTTTTTTTATGAACTTTGTTATTGCAGTTGGAGTATTTGCATTGAAACCGTGAGGGATGTGACTCTTGACCTTATCTTTGTACATAATAAATCCTTTAACTCTGGTAGTAATGCAGCACTCTAACAATAACTGACTATTTGTGAATCTTAAAGTAGTCGTTATATGTCTGAGCGAAGTAGAGCAATTATTATCGCATCGCGTTTGCCTGTGAAGAATGCATGTTTCCGATGTACAAGATCATGCATAGCAAGGTTCCTGTATATACACTCCAAGATGCACCCAAACTGTACGTCTCTATCCAGCTGTTTGTATAGCCACAGGCTGCCTAGAGGGCACATCGAGCTGCTTCGCTTTCGGCAACTTCTGCGTTCGACACGAACAGACCAAATGCTGTGCATGCTAAACTCTTCTTCTTACTCTCAATTTCGAGCTTCAGCTATGTTCCCTACCCGTCTAACGTGGCGTGGAAAAAAAAGTTCTGAAATATCCGATATAGTGTAATGGCTATCACCCGGCACTCTCCATGCTGTAATCCGGGTTCGATTCCCGGTGTCGGAGTTTTTTTTTTCATACCATCAGCTCAAGACCAGGCTCTTGGCAGTACATCTAAATGGTTACAAGAGCTGGGTAGGCAGAATAAAAGCGCAAGTCAAGTATGGCGGCATCAATCGGCGCTCAGTATTACAGAAAAAATGTTGAGAAGCACAAAGCAGGAAGAGTAAAGGTGCAACTTTCTGACAATCTGCCCAACTAACCAATACTTTATGGCTTGTATGTTAGAAGTTTCTTACAAAGTCGTCGATCAATAACTTAATTGTTCCCTTTAAATATACCGTCAACGGTACATGTCTATAAATATACTAATTTTGTTCTCATAACGTTCTCTTCAAACTTCATTCGATTGATATCTCTTGATTAGTGATTGCCAGGGTGCTCGAGTCCATAGACCTTACAGAAATCTTTGGAATTAGATATTGCACATTCCACGTTATCATTGTTGTATCCAATTTGCTGTGAAGGTTTTGTTGACTTTGGAATATAGGGCAACTTATCTCCTCCGAGAAAGACTCCATCGAATTGAACTACTTCAGCTAATAAATTTTTAATATTGATTCTCTCAACATTGTAATCTGATACCGAAACAGTTAAAGTTAAATAGTCTACGATCTTATCATTTGTGTGGACGTCCTGGTTGATTACCCAAGAAGAAATTCCATTGGGGATTAAAATGTTATTGCCCAGACAAACCATATGTGGTTGCCACAAGTTCCACCCAAAAACATCAATATCAAAAGATATCGAAGATGATACATGACTTATTTTGTAGACCACGTCAAATTCTGTTTCTGAGTCCTTCTTTTTAATCTTATCCTTCACTATCAACACTAAGTTTGGTCTATACATCACTGGCCCACATCCACAATTATCAATATGAGCTCTAGCAAACCCAAGCCACACCTCTCTTTCTGGAGGTAAATAGTATTTGATATCAATACCCAGTTTTATCATTAGTTCATTTATACTAAGTAGTGCAGTTCCACCTCTTAATTCACCAACTGGAGTGCTGGGAAGCAATGTAGGGTATAATCTGTATTCAAAATCACATACCCCACTTACCACATCACATCTCAATACTTCCAAATTGGCCCATCTATATATGAAGTACAAGTATCTATTAAAGGTGTCCTCTCTATTCTGCACTTGTTCGTTATAGCTTAAGAATGGAGTCCAATTCTTTTGCTTTTCTTGCCTAGGCCTATCTTTAATCCTTAATTCTTCGATTTTAGAATAAACTGTACTACCGTACATTTCGTCTATGTTACCATCAGTATTGAATTTACCTCTTTGAAACTTGAAGGGGAAACATACCCACATGGATCTGTAAAATTTGGCCTCAATGTTATTTGTATGATCCTCATCATCATCAAATTTCTCAAATTTACGATGGTAGGCATTAAATATGATCAATGGCTCGTAATGACCAAACTTATTTTTGTATATTGTAATTCTAGGATCCTCTGGCCCATAGTACCTATTGTTTAGTGTGTCTACATCATGGTAGAAGGGAACTGGTAAGAACTTGGGGAATTTAACAAAATCATGGTCAGACATACCTGTATCATCTGGTATTATCAAGCTTGTTTCTTCCAATTCGTTCCAACTTTCATCAAATATCTGTGCATAGGTAAGTGATATACTGGGTGCATTCCTTTTAGCAGTGGGACAATATATGACTCTTCTGATCATAAAATGAACCCCATATTCTTCTAACCATACGGAAGAGCCCGCTAATTGGAACCAATATTCAGGAATCTGCAATTCATCTCCATTGGCAAATTGATCTTCCAAATGGTCAATGAAGAATGGAGCGATTTCCTGATAGTACTCACTATTAGGAAGATCTTTCATGAAACTGCGCATAACTTTTATCATGTCTAAGTCAATAACTTTAGCTTCATCTACGAATACCCCATGAGTCTCACGGTACAATTCGGGACATTTCTTATTGTCTTCGTTGATATTAAGATTAGAATGATACACTGAAATGTCATGCTGGTGGAAGTCTTCTTCCTTAGCTGTCTTGAAGATGATGTCAGGGAATTGACTCCCATTAAATCTGTAGTAAGTAGATCCAGAGACCTTATATTTGAATTCGCTAAATCGATCTTCATCGAAAGATTTGGGGAATATAAACCTTACTTTCTGGCTATACCTGTTGATTGTTTGAACTATCGATGGAATGTTAGCAGAGTCGGAAAAGGATAAATATATCTCAACTATACTTAAGATGCATAATATAAATACGAGGACTAATATCTCCTTGGTAATGCTCTTCTTGAACAACATGCTAGAATGAGGCGAGACTTTGAATCTATATGGTACTTGAATTAATACTAGAGAGGTGTGATCTTCCATGAAAATACGTAACAGAATTGGTCGAAAAGAATTCAGTAACCATCGGGATATTTTAAGATATGCTACACAGTACACACATCTACACACATATACACATATATATATTCAGATATATAATATATTTAGACTTAAAGATAAAATTTCATTTCAAGAAAACGAAGACTAATTTTTTTTTTTTGTGCCTCTTTGTATGCACGGAATACTGGAAAGGTAAAAAGCTTGTAAAGGGGATGGTTTGGAGCTACCGAGCTGATGTTCCTCCGAGCTTCCATAGTTATTCTCTCAAGCAACTTTTCAAGGTGCATATAAAATTGTACGAATTTGGCTAGAAGAATATCAGAGCGCATATGCATCTTTTCAATTTGACAGAAATAAGAATGCTGCGTGCGATTATATTCAAGCAGCAATATGCTCTTGGTTATTCCTATGATCAATGGAAGGGAAGGGGACATTAGACTCCCAGAGCACTGAATTTTCAGAGATGTAGGAGGATTTAATATCTGAATTCTTTGCCTTTACTTTTCCATCTGTAGATCTTCGAATACACCAAAGCATTTGATATTGGTATACCCATGTGCTTGGATTGTATGCGGAATCTCAAAGCCCTTCAATAGTCTAACTATAACCGGAACGCGAGCACATATTTACACGTAAATGAGATGATCTTAATTCAAAACGCATTACGTTAGGAACACCGCTGAAAACGTTTTCAGGAAATAAGCTCACTTTGAAAAGCACATACTGGCTAGTATTAGGTTACCAGGGTTTATCAAAGACAGGGTCTAAGCCTCTTTTCAATAAGAAACCGAGAATGAGCTTCTGCAGCACTATTCTGACACTCTTCCGATGGTCCTTAATGAACCTCACTCTAATTAAATGCTGCTCAGTACTGAGCAAGAGGGTCAGCTCGAAAATTGACTTTTTTCCAAAAAGCTGTTCGTCCACTTCGATCAGCCGCAGATAGTTTCTTCCTCTGAAAGCTGTAGCTTATTCAAGTAAACCTAGATTTTCTTTAAAGATTGCGTACCCCTAGTTTTGTATCTTCCCCTATATCCAATCTTTAGTTATGTAAGCTCTATTGTCTTGTGTGGGATTGACTAAATGGGCGAGGGTAATTTTATTGTTGTCTTCTGCACCGCCTTTATTTTTATGCAGAGTTTGTTGAATAAAGTTTATATTCAACCTAAGCGTTACACTGTTGTTGTGAATCTCGGTAGGAGCATAAACACTGGGCCTTGAAGGATGCTTTATTACAATTTGAGAAGCTTGCTATGGTTATTAGCTTTGGTACCTAGTCTACATTTCAATAGTATTTTACTTTCACAATGACATTATATTTATGCTACTTATTTAGATCTAAATTATTCATGAGCTGACTTGCTTTGATAAACTTTGGGTCTTCTTCCAGTATAAGCCCCAATGACGCTTGTGACTTTTTCGAACTTATGGAACTTCCATGTTGTAATAAGCTAATTGGAGAAGATTGACCATGCTTTTCCAATTGTTCACTAGGAACACCATCTTCCAAGTCACCATCAACATCTAACTCATGGTCAACATCTAATTCATGGTCAACATCTAATTCATGGTCAACATCCAAATCTTCATCATCCTCATCAAGATCTTCCCCTTGGTCTTCTAAGTCGTCTTCATCGTCGTAATCATCTTCATCTTCGTAATCATCGTCGTCTTCTTCTTCGTCGTCTTCGTCATATTCTGCTTCCGTGCTATAGTCATCTTCGACATCATCTTCGTCAGTATAATCGGACTCATCCTTAGAAATCATGCTATCGTTGGGCGTGAAATATTTTTGATTCTGGTTGGATGAATCCTTATTCTTTTCAGGTCTATTAGGGGAAACAACAGGTTCGGATTTATTAGACCCTGCAGACATGAAATGTTTAAGTGGTGAACTGAAAGCACTCCTAGAGGCAGGCTTTTCCTTAGTGTTTTCGCTTTCATCTTGTAGCTCGATTTCTCTTTTAAGCTGCTGGGTCAAAGAAAGTTGATCTAGAGCGACTGGTGGCAGTGTCTTGTTCTTATCATCGCTAGACAAAGTAAATGATCGAATTGAAAAGACAGATGGTGACTTTGGCTCTGCGACTTGGGCAGGACTGCTACCACCAGTAGCACCAGCTTTATCGTCTTCTTCGTCACTGAAATCGCTCAAATTTGGTAAGGGTTCCCTCCAGTAATTGACATCATTATATCTCTCATCCGTCTTCAACCCCAAGACACTATTGTATCCTCCTTTCGCGTTCTTGGAATTGGGATATTGGAAATAATCTTCACCTCCTGAATTAATACTTCTTGCTTCATCATAATCTGGTGATCCCGGTGAGTTTGGAATATTGGGATCTGAACCTTCTTGTCCATCATCTTCGTCATTTTTATGAATCATATATTCGTTAAATTGGTTATCGTTCCAGTAAGCATCTGGAACGGCCTTCAAGGGTGGAAAGAAATGATCCACCAACTCTCCAATATGGAGGTAAGAAGATCTATAACCAGCCAACTCTAACAATTCCATATGAACTTCTCCATCAGGATTGATTGTGAAGATTCTGTGTGATGGAATTCCTACAGATCTATAACTAATAGCATCTGTAATCCTATTACCAAAACCAGCATAAAATGGAGTTCTATCATCATCATTAAGTCCCGTGTCTCCCTGTGTATGTTTATTGTTATTCAGGTTTATTTCAAACAGGTTTAAATACAAGTTCTTGATATCACTAAGACATGACATTTTGAATACTTCAGGTTTCTTCAAAATCACTTCTCTTCTAAACGCTGCCATGGTTCTGTCAGGTGACAAGATAACCGGACCTGGGGGTAATCTGTGACCATCTTGGTCAATATTCTTGAGGTACTGTCTAGTTCCCTCTGCTTGACCTGCAGATCTTGCTGTAAGGTACATAATGTTGTAGCCATTTGCCTTGATATCCAGAAAGAGATTGGCTACACCAGGGTGTGTCCAGTCCCTGCCAATGAGATTTAAGACATGACCAAGAGCATCAGACTTTGTAATAGTTCCATCGATGTCTGAGATGACTATTGGGGTTGTAGATTTCCACAAATATAAGTTAGATGTAGTTTGACTAGTTCCCTCGTGGAGCTTGAAAACCAATTGATTCTCTCCATAATGCAAGTTCATATTCTTCATTTGTTCTGAAGTAAGACGAAGTGTCTTGAAGTACGTTTTGGATGAGTCTCCTTCAGTGTTCAACGCAGCTTCGAGATCTGAATAACTCTCTATATCTGAAGAATGTTCAGTATCATCTTCATCTCCAATTTCTCCACTCTTCTCATCTTCGTCTTCCTGGTCATCATAATCTCCTGCAATAATTCTAATATTACCATTTTCATCCTTGCTGATAATCTTATCCCACTGATTCTCATCAAACTTATAGCCTGAGTTTCCATCAGCATTTTGAAGATTCTCCATTTCTTCAGTGAAAATCTTATTGAATAATTCATCAGAGTTATCTATATTTTTCTGCGAATTGGGCTTATACCCATCCATATCTAATACCATATCACCGTTTATATCAATCTTAGATGGAATATTTAACTTTTGAGTAATTTTTTTGGCTTTTTCAAAAGCTATCTTCGTATTATTCCTTGGGGATTTTGGCTGCACTGGTGTTGCAGGTGACGAGGTCGATAATTTAATCTTGCTTTCAATATTACTGGCAGTATCATTATCTAATTGCAAGTTATCAGGTTCATCAGAGGTATTTAAATTTAATGCAGATCCTGTTATTGAATTAGAGGTAGGTAAAGGAGACAACGTGTTTGCGTTGGTGGACGAAAGCCTTGGACTATCAGGTGGACTTCCAGGAGCTGAGCTTGAAGCCGAGATGACAGGAGATGTTAACACCAGCTTACTTAACAATTCAGCTCCGCTATCTTTGTCGATTTCGAATACAAAGAATGCTTCACCACCCTCACCTAATTTCATGGGCAAATCGGTTTTCCTTCCATTGACATAGACATCGATTTTCTTCTGCAGAGGTTTGATGATTTGAAATTTCCCAAATCTGATATGCCACGGAGAACAATGTAAGGAACCATCAGGTTGCTCTATAACGATGATATCAATTGCCCCAGACAACGTTGCCGGGTTTAACGAGTTCCATTGATTGTAGACGTAACCTCCTACTTTTCCAACGTACTGCATTTTGGAATTGTTATAAAAGCGGTGTGTGTAATTGGAAATGCAGAAATACTAATACAACTCAGGGTGAATGCAATTCTTGCCTTTAGAACCCTCTCTTTCAATTGGTTTGCCTCTACCTGTCACTATGCACAATCTTATTTTTGGTTTGCTTGCCCAAGGTGGTAAAGTCAGATGCTAGCAGTGTGTATGCAGGATAATCCCGAGAGTTCCAAAGCTTCTCCATCTTTACATACAGGACATGGCTAAGGTTAGGTAAATTGCTTAAAGAGGAAGAAGACATGAGGAGAGCCAAAGGGTTATTTACTGGTCATAGAAGAGACGAAATCAAAAGGGCTGCTAAATATTGACCACGAATATTGCCATCTTCGGGAGGACGGATTTCTTCATTTGGAGTCTCGCTCATTGCACATTCACTAGTCGATTGGTGGAAGCAATGCAGCAGGACAGTAATTGGGGGAGGAGGGCTCATTTTGAAATACATGATCTGGCATTTATCTATATTGATTCAACTCTCCTAAGTTTCGTAAATCCCATATAATATTCTATTACCACCTCCTGATTAATCATCGGATAATGCTGTGGCCTAAAATAGTAACTCTGTTTTATTTGAGTTATTCTATGCGATAAGAAAAATGTGTCTTGTTGACCTGAGAGATAAGATTAATTAGCTGCAAACGTGCATAAATAATAAAGCAAGATATAGGAACTATGCAGCATTCGATGTGCAGTCCAAGATCAAACTAAAGTAAGATGATTGGAGTATATCAATAGATATCCGTGGATACTTTTCCTAGACACCTAATTGGGGTTGATCGCTTCATCTTGACATGTTAGCAAACAGCCATTTATGCAGGCAATAGGTGGGGCGATAATATTACTGTGATTTATGGTTTATTCTTCTATTTATGATTTCTTTATATATACTCTACTTGCTGAGCCCATTGATATATAAGTATATGCTCAAGTGACTTAGTGCTCAAAAGTTAACCTCTATCTGTTCAAATATAGGATAACGGCCCATATTGTTCGCATCTATTACTGGTGGGTTCATCGATTTTTCCATCACGCTGGTTCTTGGATTTATGCACTTGCATTTTTAACTTTTGCTGTTTCATGTTATCTTAGCAAATTGATACTTCGGATATTTCAAGTTGATACCGATCTCAATTGGGTATGTGCAACCATAAATTTCTTATCAATATTTATCATAAACTGGGAAGTTCGTTTTCATGGTAAAAAGCACTTGATATAGCGTACACCTTACACTGGTAGCTAAAGTGAAGATAACAAATTATTGGTTTAAATGGACATGAAAATCCATGTAGTTTCCATTTAGTCAAAGTTACTAGCAAAATATTTCAAGAAGATTATCCACTCTGAATAATCTTGTTGTAGGCCATCCATAAGATAAAATGAGCTTGAAAGGAAAGAACACAGAGAGTGGAAACGACTCCATAGCTGATGAAATAGTACCGGGGACTATCCATTTACTTGATTTACAAGGAATTCTTGATGTGCAGAAAGATCCCTACTCCAAGCACAACATTATTTTGATTCCACAACCTTCATCTAATCCAAACGATCCTCTCAGATGGTCACTTGCTAAGAAGAAATGTCAATTTGCGTTCCTTTGGCTCTGGGCTTTCTTGATGGCTGGTATGTATTGACAACACCGATATCTCTTATCTTTTCTTCTTGCTTGCTTGGAAGCAGTTCCGTATCTCCTCTAGACTTATTCTAACCTTATACTAGTTACTGTTGCATGGTATGGTCCAGCCTTTACACCGTGGGTCGAACAATTGGGAGTTACATACGGTGACTTAAGTAACACTACTGCTGTGTGTTTCCTCTTCTTGGGTTTAGGCTGTCTCTTTCTACAACCTACTGCTTTGAAGTTAGGTAGAAGGTTTGTGTACTTACTTTGTACTGTCTTAGCAATAGTTGGAAATATCTGTGGTTCCCAAGCAAAATCAATTGCCTTATTGTATGTGTTTAATTTGATTTGTGGATTTTCTGCCGCTCCTGTTGACTCTCTTGTTGAGATTTCGACGACTGACGTTTTTTTTCAACATGAGAGAGCTCGCTATCTATCTTTCTTCATATTTGCATTGTACGCTGGTTCTGACTTAGGACCTGTTGCTGCGGGCTACATAATTGATAATATGTCTTGGAAGTGGGGGTTCTATTTTCAAATCATTTTCTTCGTGATTTTGCTCGTAGCTCAAGTCTTTTTCATGGAAGATACTACTTTCAGTAGATCTGAAGACAATGGTCAGAAATTGGAAGAGGAAATACTTCATCAAATTAAGAGCCACGCAACAATAATGTCATCTTCACCAAATGAGGAAGTGCCTTCCGGCCTCGATGGTAAAGTGAATGCTACTGTCTCAGAAGGTATAATTGCAGCCGACAACATTAGTTTAGACTCGTCCATCCCTAAAAGAACATACTGGCAAAGAATGAGGCTATTTGAAAGAGAGTATAACGACCCAAGATCATGGTTGACAATATGGTATAGACCATTCTTTTTAATTTCATTCCCTGCGATTATATGGGGAGGTTTGGTTTATGGATCCCAGATGATGTGGTTGTCACTTATTCACACTACCCTGTCAGAACTATACTCTGGAGCACCATACCATATGTCAACTGATGAAGTTGGATTGACTAATCTAAGCGCATTTGTTGGATCGGTTTTCGGTGTCTTATATGGTGCTACCTTTGTTGATTGGTTGACAATCAGGCTTTCTGAGAGAAACAATGGAATTTTAGAGCCAGAATTCAGATTATGGTCTATGGTTATCCCCACTATTTTGAATGCAGCTGGCTTATTGGCTTATGGATTAGGCCCTTCGTATGGAGCACACTGGTTTGTTTCCGTGGGTATTGGGTTATGCTTGATGGGATTTGCAATGGGTGCCACGGGAGGTATTTGTTTGACATACGTCGTTGATAGTTACCCCAAAGTTGCCAGCGAAGGGCTAGTATTGATGTTGTTTCTAAGAAATATGATTGGTATGGGATTCACATTTGCTATTCAACCGTGGCTTGCAAGAGATGGGGTTAAGTTAACTACATGGTTAATGTTTATGCTCAGTCTTGTTATCAACGGAAGCTTTGTTCTACTTATAAAGTGGGGTAAAGATTGCAGAAGATGGACAAAGGAAAGGTACTATAAGTACTCGGACCCGATGTTTGGCGAATTGTTTAAGTAATTATGATATTTATATGTGGAAATAGGATATGCTCTGGAACCGTCAAGAACTGTAGGCACCCCTGCCAACTGGCTGTTCAACCAGTGGCTGCAAATATGTGCAGCATATATCACGTGACAGAAACTTCCTCATTAGGACTCGGGCTCATGCACACTTCTCAAGGATAACAGGACAAGAGCCAAGACTATGTGAAGAAGGAGAAGAAGGAGAAGAGGAAGAAGAGCAACAAACAAAATTGAACGCATTTACCTCTTTGTACATGCTCAAACACGGCGAAGAAGATATTTTCCAATAATATTTTACTGTTTATCATTCATTTTCCGCTAATGAGCGGACTTGTATTTTCTGACTCCTTCGCCTCGAAAGAGTCAAGACATCGAACTGTCAAATGTCTGTCATGCTGCACACTCCAGTCCAGCAAACGGTGGCTCTAATATGCATTTGGCAAAACAAAAAAAAAAGAAATGAAGCCACTACCAAACTCTAACTTTAATCTTCGCTTACGCCCGTGTTTCATTGGCGTATAATGTCGTTCTGAATTTCTTTTGGCTACTTTTTATTTTCTTATTTTTTAACCCATAGCTTATACTCTCTACGGACTTCATCCAATTATATCATTTGATCTGTCTCTTCCTGAACGGCGATATACTTTCCAGTATTTTCTGTCCTGCACGCAACATCTGCCACCCAAAACGGCCACAATTAGCATGTGATTTTCCCATTTGTTGGTGACCCCAGATCGTCTTTGCGAATGTTTTTTTTTCTCGAGCCTCACAGCCTAAAAATTTTTCAGTTATTTCTTTTTTTGCACCTTTTACCTTTCTCTCATATAAAGACCAAGAAGGAACCACTTTGAACCAGACAAACCAGGAGAAGATATTTTTTTGGTCTTCATTAGTGTTTTTGAACTTTGCAGCCATTTCTTTGTTAGCACTCTAATCGTTCATTTTCTTTTTGCTTTAGTGTTTCATTAGCATGTCATCTATTGAAAAGGAAACTTCTGCAGAAGTGAAGTTACCTGCGTGCCATAATCTTGGTGGTGTTGCAGAAAAAGTAAAGTTGAGCACTTCTGATACAAACACCTCCACGACATCTTCACTTCATGTAGAATTAAAGCGTACTTTCTCTGTTTGGTCAGTCTTGGGTGTAGGTTTTGGTCTTACCAATTCTTGGTTCGGGATCTCAGCGTCATTGATCACTGGTATTCAATCCGGTGGACCTATGCTTATTATATACGGTATCATCATTATTGCATCTATCTCATACTGTATTGGTATCACATTATCCGAGTTGTCGTCCGCAATTCCATCTGCGGGGGGTCAATACGTGTGGACAAGAGTACTCAGTCCTAGAAAATACTCATCATTTTTGGCTTACTTGTGTGGCTCCTTCGCCTGGGCCGGTTCCATCTTCACATCTGCCTCTATGGCATTGGCAATTGCCCAAGAAGTCATGGGGTTCTGGAATTTAATGCACCCTGACCACGTTACTAAGAGATGGCAATTATTCATACTTTATCAAATTATAAATGCATTTTTGGTTATCTTTAACTGCTACGGGAAGTTATTACCAACAATTGCCAACTCCGCATTATACATTTCTTTATTTTCATTCACAGTTATCACCATTACCGTGTTGGTATGCTCTAGAGGGAACTATAACACTGCGCAGTTCGTTTTCGTAGAGTTTGAGAATGCAACTGGCTGGAAATCAGCTGGAATTGCCTTCATTGTCGGGTTGGTAAACCCAAACTGGTCATTCTCCTGTTTAGACTGTGCTACTCATTTAGCTGAAGAGGTTGCACAACCTGAAAGATTGATTCCTATTGCAATTATGGGTACAGTTACCATTGGTTTTGTAACATCGTTTTGCTACTCCATTGCTATGTTTTTCTCCGTCAACAACTTAGATGCAATCTTGAACTCCACTACTGGTATGCCCATCTTAGATATCTACTATCAAGCTTTAAATAGTAAAGCCGGAGCTATTTGTCTTGGGGTTTTGATTTTACTCACAGCATGTGGATGTACTGTGTCTTCTCATACCTGGCAAGCAAGATTGTGTTGGTCATTTAGTAGAGACCATGGTTTACCATTTTCAAAGTACTTGTCTATTATTGATCCTAAATTAGGAGTTCCATTAAACGCTCACTTGTTCTCAAGTTTCTGGGTGGCTATTTTAGGCTTGTTGTACTTAGCATCATCTGCTGCCTTCAATGCTATGGTCACGGGCTGTATCACTTTCTTATTATTATCCTATTTGGTACCAACTTTATGTTTATTGTTCAGAGGTAGAAATAACATTAAGCATGGCCCATTCTGGCTAGGAGGATTTGGTTTGGTTGCAAACATTGTAACATGTTTCTGGGCTGTTTTTGCTACTATTTTCTTCTCCTTCCCAACCTTTATGCCAGTTACTGCTGGTACAATGAACTACGTATCGGTTGTTTTAGTGGTCTACTTGGTTTGGGCTCTTGGCTACTGGTGGTTCCCAGTCAAGGGATGGAATTGTAGAGAAAAGTTTGCTGGTGGTAGGGGTAATGACGACGAAGAAGAATTTGCAGATGTCTGCTTATAAGAATTATACCAAACTGGCCCATTATTGGCTCCTTAAAAGTACTACCAATCATTAAAAAGGTAACATGAATATAGAGAGAAGATAGCCTTGATTCATTTCAGTTCATAATTTGAGTCTCATTTCAGTTCAGTATTAGTTGAAACTATTACCATAGGTTTCACAGATTATATTATTTTAAGTAAATACACCCACTAATTCGTTTTAATTATCTAGTTATGTAATCCATATTTGTAGAATTATTACTGTGATATCGACAGTGAGTCTTCAGTGTTATTCTTGAAATCAAGAGAGTACGGGATTGCATCGAACCATGTACTTGACGAGCTGCATCCGTTCAAAAAGCAGGTAGGACATCGACGTCATCTCAAGACATTGTGATTCGATTCAAAATAGAAAAGAAGCGCTTTACATATCCGTTGGTGAAAGTCACAGGCACAGAGAGCAAAACTACTAATAATGAGAAATGAGGTAACACAATAGCAGCAGGTTTTCATAATAGTGTAGCACTTTCGGTTACACTTACAATTTCGATCAGGCTGCTACTAGCCAAAATAAAGGGATTGTAGTCAACTCAGTTTACATAATTTTTGACGCTCCTTATCGTTTTGTGGAACTCATTTCCTCTAAAAACTTATTAACTTTCCAATTCAACTTAATTGTGCTAATGCCTGACGTTAGTCCATCGTCTTACCCCACATGTTCAGATCCACTCAATAAGTTCCAAAAGAACCGAAATCCATTTCCTAATTCATACTAAGAATTGTGACTTACTTACAAATTGGGAAAAAATATTCATATCACCGATTAGGTTCTAATGCCGATCTTTGAACTCGGTTCTTTTCACAGTTCTGCATTCAATTAAGCTTTGGGTATACTTTTTATGGATTGTTAGGCTCAAGGTGAGCCCCACGTAACAACCTTGGCTTGTTTCAATTTTTCGCAACTTTTCTTGGGAAAACTGAATTAAACATGCGTCTGCCTCGATATTGCGAGTACTTTACGAGAAGAAGAAGGTAGTGCTAGAGCGTTGAAAGTAGTGAAGCTATACCTTATATGCCTATATATAAACTATCTGATACTTATTATATTTATAGTTATTTTAGTTCGATACAATAGCATATATGCTCAACTGAACGTTAGAAGTTTATTTTTGTTCCATGGAGAAAGATCAGTTTCTTAACTGATTCTTAAGATTTCCTAATTAGGAAATTGCTGCATACGATTTTCACTATAATTAGGTGAAGATGGAACAGAATAAGAATGGACATGCAGAAGAAGAATCCAATGAAGCCATGTACGAATAATTATGTATAAATATAAAAGCCCCGCTCAGTGTAGTTATTAAAACTGTAAAACAAAATTTATTATCTCTTATCTAAGTGTTTGGGAAGAATTTGTGATTGATCTGGTCTATTAATTTGAGCAAATAATTATCCATTCGCTATGAAATCATATCCATTTCTTGTTCTTCTTTTCACTTTACTTGCATTAGTATCATCTGCCCCTTCAAGCAATGGGAAACCTTTAATACCCCAAGAAGACTCCTTTTATGATGACCCAGAAGATCTCCAGAGCTACGCTTTGGGTGAGTTGATTAAAATAAGAAAGACTCCACATCAACTCAGAGGAATTTACATACCTATCAGTGTTAAGGACTCATGGCAAATAATGGTGAGATCTTCCGACGTATTTGGTAATGCTACTGCAATTGTGTCGACTATTATTGAACCATTTAACGCTGACCCTAGTAAATTAGTTACCTATAACATTGCTGAAGATGCTTCTGCTGAAAACTGTGCACCTTCATATTCTTTGCAGTATGGAGCAAATATGGATACATTAATTGCTCAGATTGAAATGTATTTCATTCAAATGGCATTGAATGAAGGCTGGTGGGTCCTTGTTCCAGATTACGAAGGTAAAAATCTGGCTTTTACAGCTGGAAGGAAGGCCGGTAAAAGTGTTTTAGACTCAATCAGAGGAGCACTTAATTCTGTTGATTTCACAGGGTTAGACGCAGATCCTGATATTGTTATGTGGGGCTATAGCGGAGGCTCAATTGCTACCGGCTGGGCAGCAGCATTACAGCCCACGTATGCTCCTGAGTTAGGAAGCAAGCTTCGTGGAGCTGCTGTTGGAGGATTTGCAGCTAATATCTCCGAGACGATCTTAGTTTGTGATAACACACTATACGCTGGATTAATTCCAAATGGAATGTGGGGTTTGTCCAGAGAATATCCCGAATTAGAGGCAATAGTCGAATCGTACATGAATACAGATAGAATTCCGAGATTTAAGCATATTGCTGGGCTTTGCTTGGTGCCTTCAATTGTTGAGTCATTATATGCAACTCTATTTAGCGGGGCTCCGTCAGATCAACTTTGGTTCCCTGACGGCTGGAATGTGTTTAATGATGAAAAGGTGAAGGACATTCTTTTGAATACTACATTAGCAATCGATGAAACGGAAATGCCTCAGATACCATTCTTCGTTTACCATGGACTCGATGATCACATTGTCCCTCTGAGCAATACTTTTAGGGTTTATGACATCTGGAGTAAAGCAGGTATTAAATCCATGGAAGTAAGTATTAGTAACTCGACTCGTCATATTACAGAAATGCTCCTTGGCTGTCCCGCTGCCGTAACTTGGCTAAAGAAAGCATTCAACAATGACACTGTTGATGGAACTCAATTCACATATAGATCTAGCAATTTAGATTACCCCGATGTTGAGCCACAGATTATAGATTTAATATTTGGGGCAGGAAGGACTATTCTTGATACCAATCTTGGGCCAATAGTTTCACCAGATGGAACATTCATATCTTCATTGACTAGTACGCAAGGCAAAGGAAATGATACCATAACAGACAATCCTACTATTAACAAAAGAGGATTTGAAGACTTCGACCAATTGCTCGAAATGCACCTACATGATATGTACTTGAATAAGAAAAAGAGGAATGGTATGTTTTAATCTTTAGAAAGAAGGTGGGGGTACTAAGACACTCCTTGAATTACCTGGTCTACCATTCCCACTTCAAACGTAACGTCGAAGAAATACAATCTCTTAATATAGATAAATATAGAGAAGTAATCAAAGCACACCACTCATGACGATCCAATCGTAAAAATTGATAACTTGAAGAGGAAACTTGTACGCATACGAATCTCAGACACATTTTCTTTCCCTTTCTGTCAAATTAAGAGCCCTTATTATCTTACATCTAACGTTTCAGATGGGGTGCACACTTCTCTTTGTTCCAACAGTTAGTTAATTGTTCTAATCTAAGGTCCTTAGGGATTGCAACGATTAAATTACAGAATATGATTCTTATCGATCTATGACAGTTCATCCGTCATTCTTGAAACAATGATGTTTGCCATTCACTTCACTACTCTTGTTTACTATCGACCGAGCTGCTTATTGATTACCCCAATGGAAAGAACATTTTTTAAGTGCAGCCTATTTCCCAAATAGGTAATTGTTGCAACAGGAAAATGAGGAACCAAATTGAGGTGTAAGGAGAAAGGTCAAGCTTGACTACTTTGAAACTCTATTTAGGCTAACTTAATAAAGTCTATTGTATGTAAGCATAACCTCATATAAAGTGGCTTGTTCGCGTATGTGATGCACGATTTGCATTTCTACGCTAACGTATTTTGAAATATCTTGTTGTCACTACTCATACATAATTGTCTATGTAAAAATATTTGGGGGCCTGCGTCAACAATGAAGATATCGGTTTTCTGTGCATTCGTTTCGACGTTGCTATTGTTTGTTACATGTGCTCCTACTAGTGATGGAACACCTTTACGACCCGACGAAGATCCCTTTTATGATGACCCTGATGACCTCCAGAGCTACGCTTTGGGCGAATTGATTAAAATAAGAAAGACACCACATCAACTCAGAGGTATTTACTTGCCTATCAGTGTCAAGGACTCATGGCAAATAATGGTGAGATCTTCTGACGTATTTGGTAATGCTACTGCAATTGTGTCGACTATTATTGAACCATTTAATGCTGACCCTAATAAATTAGTTGCCTATAATATTGCTGAAGATGCTTCTGCTCTAAAGTGTGCCCCTTCGTATTCTATACAATACGGGGCAGACATGGGCACAATATTTGCACAGCTCGAGATGTATTTCATTCAAATGGCTCTAAATGAAGGCTGGTGGATTGTGGTTCCTGACTACGAAGGAAAAAATCTGGCTTTTACAGCTGGCAGAAAAGCTGGTAAAAGTGTTTTGGATTCAATCAGAGGAACACTTAACTCAGTCGAGCTCACAGGATTAAACGCAGACCCTGATATTGTTATATGGGGTTATAGTGGTGGCTCAATAGCATCAGCTTGGGCTGCAGCGTTGCAACCAACGTATGCTCCTGAATTATCAAGTAAACTTCGTGGAGCTGCTATTGGAGGATTTGTAGCCAATATCACTGAGACGATTTTAGTTTGCGATGGCACGTTATACGCTGGCTTGATTCCAAATGGGATTTGGGGTTTATCAAGAGAATATCCAGAATTAGAAGATGTAATTAACTCCTACTTAAGACCGGATCTTGCACAACGCTTTCACTATGTTAGTACCCAGTGCTTAGTTCCAGCAATTTTATACACTATGTATTCTTCTATATTCACAGGAAATCTGGATGCTGATCTTTGGGTACCAGCAGGATTGGATGCCCTCTCTGATGACAGGGCGGTAGAGGTTCTCTTGAATACAACTTTAGGAATCGAAGAAACAGAAATGCCTCAAATTCCGATCTTTATTTACCAAGGACTCGATGATCATATCGTTCCACTGAGTAACACTTTCAGGATGTACGATATCTGGGGAAAAGCTGGTATTAAATCCATGGAAGTCAGCATCAGTAACGGAACTCGTCACATTGGAGAAATGAATTTAGGAGTTCCTGCAGCAGTGACTTGGATAAAGAAAGCATTTCAAAATGATACCATAGAAGGAACTCTGCTTACTTATAGGTCAAGCAACTTGGATTATCCAGACGTTGCCCCAGAGATTGTTGCTTATATAATTGGTGCAGGAAGGACTATCCTTGATACCAACCTTGGGCCGATAGTTTCTCCAGATGGAACGTACATATCTACGTTGTCCAGTACACAGGGTAGAGGAAACGATACTATAACTCATAATGCTATATTGAATGAAAGAGGATTGGAAGATTTCGATGAGATACTCGAAATGCATCTTCACGATATGTCTATGAACAAGAAGAAGAGAGATGAAATGAGGTAGAAATCAAACACATTTATCTAAGTTGAGATATCGCTAGCGTGAAGATAAAAGTTGTAAAAATACGTAATGTTCATAAACATTAATAGCAAAATATTAGTAGTCTTCCCTGACACCTAAGTTTCAGGCTTGATTTTATTAATGCATATAGTCTATCAAACGAATCTATGATGCTATTGCAAAGTACAATATACAGAAACTTAAGAACTTCTTTAGTGCTTGATGGGTTAAGAACAACAGAATGTCTTGTACTCTTGATGAGGTACCCTGCATTCGGCAAGGCATGCGCGATTTGAAATGACTATATGACCAAGACCATTGCTGAGCAGAGTACGCGATGTAGAAAGTAAGATATGAGTTCCACAGGGAAATAAAAAAGCAAAATACAGTAAAATAAAATAAAATATATACACATTGATAATTTAGAATAAAGCATAAGTTGATATGGCGCTTAAATCAAATTATCCTCTTACTTTTACGTTTACAGTTTGTGTGAACCTTCTGACACCTCTCTTTCATTATTATCCAGACAAGTTCTTAAAGATCCAACATTTCTCTTTCCTACCAGCTATCGCGACTAACATGTGTGAGCATCCAATTAGCAAGCAGGACATAAATCTCCAAAAACTGGAGACCTAAATCCAAACTAAAGGGAAAATGTCGTTGCACTGTCTATGTGGAGGATTACTTTTGGACAAAGTTAATAAGAGAAAAGAGAAAAAGGGTAAACATAAATGTATCTAGAGTGGGAATTTTTCATTTCCCTTTATACTACGAGATGCCGTCCGGGTAAATTACGTTCTTCTTCACTCAGCTGTATAGGTCTGGCTAATGGACTGTGTGCAGGATTCTCAACTGAGATGAAAGAAAGAAAAAAGAAAAAAGAAAATAAATCAAAAGTGTAAACAGACCGTCAGTTCAAATACCATAAGCTCACAGTATACTAGATATTCAGTTCGTTATTCTTTAGTTAAAGATGTCATTATTTAGTAATACTAATAGTGGTAGCAATCAAAGCACAGGATTCTCGAGTGTTAATTCGAATGTAGGAGGTAACAATTCTGTGGGCACTTCGAACGCTTCCAGTACATTGCCAACTTCATCTAAGAAAATTGGAACTGGATCGCTTCTTAGAGATCTTCTTGAGTCTGCGAGCAATTTCCCCAAGTCAGATGGGATTTCCGATCTTGGTTCGATCCAATTGACAATTCCAGAGTTGCAAAAGAAGACGAATCAACTTCGCCATCACACCTCCAAATCACCATCTTCATTCACCAGAGCACATTACTTATTAGCATCAAGTGGTATATCAGCAGATGATATCGAAACCGAATTGAACTCCTTGGGCACTCAAGAGATTCAAAATCAATTCTATGGCGGCGGATTCGGAGGTGGATTTGGAGGTGGTTACCATGGCCCCAAGGGAGGTTTTGGAGGTGGGTTCGGAGGTGGATTTGATTGGGATGACAACAGAGGTGATGTCCACGGTCAACAACAAAGTGGAGAATTTCATAGAGCTTCAGACGGTAACCTAGACAATTACCTTGACAGTAAGAAAGACGAAAATATCTTGGCCGCTATTGAACTGTCCTTAACTTCTGCTTCTAAAGACTTCGACAGCTTTGTTGCTAGAAACATTTCTATTGATTGGAAAGTAAGGAAGGATGAATTAAGGAAAACATTTGGCATAGTAACATCTGCGAGTTCTCGGGGCCTCAGCTCAGCGAGCAACCTAAGCGATGACACCTTCAAGAAAAGCAGCAAAGGAAGCTTCTCGTGGAACCAACCCGACTCATACAACTACCATCTCCTTTCCGCCCTTACATCTAAACCTTCATCAACTTCATATTCATCTAAGCAATTGACAAGGGATAAGTTTGAAAGCCACGGCCAAATCGTGTATCAATTGAACGAAGCTAGAATATCTGAGCAATTCTTCCCCCTTGCTATGAGCTTTGAAGAAGTAAGCAAATCTAATTCGGATTTGAAATCAAGACAAGTTGGAGATTCTTGGAAGATATTGGTCAATTTGACCGACGAGAAGACTTCCAAATTGAATCAAGAAAAGAAGTTCAGTGATGTCCCTTACAAAAATCTGGTAATAAGGACCAGTAGATCATACTTGGAAAACCAATTTTACGATTACATTGATCATTTTTACAACAAAGACGAAGATAAGAATAAGTTACCTCCAAGCAATGTCAACAAGGTTATTCATTTTATAAACAAGGTAACTAAATTTGAAGGCAAAGAAAATAGCAATACTTTGCTTATCAATGGAGTACCAATTTGGGCTTTGATCTTTTATCTCTTAAGATCGGGTCTCTATTATGAGTTGAATGATATAGTTGCCAAGAACCAATCTTCATTCGACAAATTTGATAAAAATTTCCCCATCTATTTGAAGAAATATCTTCATGAAGGTAAAAACACGTTACCAGTCGATCTTGGAGAAAGACTTCAAAGTGAATTCAATCAACAATTCCAGTTTATCAATGAAGATTTAGTTGATACATATGATACTTATAAATTTAGTGTGTACAAGATTATTGGAAAGTGTGACTTAATCAAGAAATCATTACCACGTTCTATTAATTTGAGTATCGAAGACTGGTTGTGGTTCCACTTGAGTTTGATTAATGAAACTGAAGGCGAAAGTGGGAATGCTCCTTCGACCTCTTCTTCTACACTTATCTTTGAAACGTATACACTTGATGACTTGCAGAAGAAAGTTGTTCTGTTAGGATCAAAGAAGTTCAATGCATCTTCAAATAATCCTTTGTATTTGAAAAGTTTGATATTGACAGGTTTATATGAACTTGCCGTTCAGTATACTTATGAGTATATAGATGAATGTGATGCAGTTCATTTAGCCATTGGGTTGGCATACTATGGATTATTGAAGACAACAACTAACATAAGAGGCGCCAAGCAAGATAATTTAATGATCGTAAACAGCGAAGGCGAATTTGAAATAAACTTCAGTCGTTTACTAGGAAGTTACACCAGAACTTTCAAGATTTCAGACCCTAAGGTTGCCTGCCAGTATGCCATACTCATTGCAATGGAAGGTGGAAACAATGTTGAAATAAGTCACGAAGCCATAAGAGAACTTATTTTGATATCTAGAGAATTTAGCATGCTATTGGGTTCCATTAACTCATTAAACGGAGAAAGACTGGCAGGAATATTGGAAAATCAGAGATCATTGATTGGATTGCAAGACTTGGAAACTTTTTACCAAGTTATAATTGAAAAGCTGGCAAACAGATGCGAGGAGGAAGGTAGAATATTCGATTCAATTTTACTCTATCAATTAGCTCAAGAATACAATACTGTAATTGTGTTATTGAGTAAATTATTAGGAGAAATTCTTTCTACCACTCCCCTCGACCAAGCATTGCTAGTTGAAGGTGTAGACACGGCCGATAATAATGTTATTTTGTTGGCTAAGCACATCTTGACTACCTTCAAGAAGAATACACACATTTTGGACTCGATTTCGCCAACTAAAAAGGATAGCTGTGACTTGTTAATATCAATTGTCGAAGTGAGATCTTCATTCTTGAATAAAGATTGGTCAATGACATTACAAAAAATATTAAATTTGGAAATCATCCCTATCCATGCAAAGCTGGATTTGATCACTATAAGGAAGAACGCTGAATTGGTGTCCAATTCCTTGGACGAAAGTGTTATTAAGGTAATCCCATCGTTATTGATAATGATTATGACCAGTATATCACAGTTGCATTATTCCATATTGACGCAACGTTATAACACATCTGGCAACCAAAAGGAAGAATTGGAAAGGCTCCATAAGATGGCTAAAAACTGTATGGTTTATGCCGGTATGGTGCAGTATAAGATGCCAAGGGAGACCTATAGTCTATTAGTGAATCTTGAAGCTCTTTTGTAGAGTAAAAAGAAGAGCTAACATGAAAAGAAAAGATACAAGAAAATAAACAAGTAGAACAAAAATAGTTGATAATGTAAGCACCGGACCACACGATAACTTAACGAAGATTGCAAAAAAGACTAAAAGAAAATATAGAAATGAGAGTATAATTAGAAAGACATTTACAAGAATGGCCTGTAGACTCTGTTCAGATAAGACGCTATTTAGGTAAGGTTTTTTGATGTATTCAGATGTGGATAATGCACAGATTCTGGGGCAACTTTGGGTGCAAAAAAAAATTGGCTCCATTCCAGGCGTCTAGGTATGCGAAACATAGTGAGAAATTTTTCAGTATTGCGATTTTGTTTATTAATGTGAAAGCGACACACCAATGAATTGAATAGTCAATTCTAACGTAGTTGAAACCTCAAGGTACTGTGTTGCCATGTCGCTAGCCTGCCCGCTAATCTCCCCTACTTCCCCCTTTTCGACCGTATTTAACTACTTTCAGAACCCAAATTAAAATTTTTCAATGCTTCCAGACGCCTTGATCCAGCCTGTATGTAATTCCAATCACAAAATCGAATGTTTTGATTCCTCTCTCACGTTATTTTTTTTCACCACCACAGAAAGGCTGTAGAGTTGCAACACTAGAGATAGTTACATACATATACAGCTCCATAATTATTGTTTTGTATTTGTGTTAACTTCGTAAGCAAATGAAAAGGACAAACGATCCCAAATCGCTGTCGGTACCCTCAATTCCGGTGCCAGGCGATGAGGGCAGAGCAGAAAGTGGGGGTACAGAGGATATCCGAAGCCAGTTATCAGACATTCAAAAGAGACTCTTCAGCTCGCGTTCCAAAACGGCTCATTTAAAGCCAAAGAACAGCAATGTGAGCCAGGACCCTAAGAAATCGATTACAGGAAGAATTGGCTCTTCCGCTTCGGGCAGCGGCACTCTGGCCGGCCATTCTGGCAGTCATGTACCATCGATTCCTCCCTCTCATGGGCATGGGAAGCATATGATCCCTCAGCCATCGCCATCTCTTGGACCTGACAATAAGGGGAACGACATGAACTTCGTCGTGGGACTCAGTGAGAACCTTCTTGCCGAATGTAGAAGACTTACCGCAGATAATTCCAAGTACAAATCGAGATTGAAGTCAGCAGTGGAAGATTTAAATCGATATAAAGATGAGAACTCCCTTTTGAAAAACTCAAGAAACGCTGCCATTGGCGCAGAAGATGAGCTTAAGAACAAGAATTGGGAGTTGGAGGCTATGTTGCAGTCAGTTAGTGACAAGTTAACATTGGAAATCGCTGAAAAACAGAAACTTGAAAAAGCCCAAAGAGAACAAACCGTAAGGTTCACTGAAGCTCAAAAGGAGAACGATGAATTACGTGTAGAGAGGGAAAGATTGGAAGAGGAATTGAGAGAGTTGAAATCAAGTTCCTCTAAGGAAATACTGGAATTGAATGACACAGTAGAAGCACTTAACGACGAAAATGACAAGTTACATATGAACGTTGAAAAGCAGACTGCCAAGACCGAAGCTGCAGTGGCGGCATTCAATGAGATTCAAGCAAATGAAGCAGCTTCATCTTCGAATAAGAAAGATGGTAAAATTGACACCCAAATTACTTCCGCTGCTTCAGAATTTGACTATTCAAATATTGAAGATCTCGATAACGATGGCATCGAAAAGTTATTAAAGGATACCTTAGATCCAACTACAGTTTCATCTAACACATCTACTGACTCTGCTTTGGAATCTGAGACACTTAAGGCTTCATTGGCTCATTCACATAGGAATAATGCTAAATTGAGAGCATTAGTATTGAAATTGAGAGAAGAACAATTACTGTCAAAGGGCGATCACGATAAGTCGGTAGCCACTCCAGGTGGACAACGTAAGAAGTTGAGGAAGCCTGCTGCTCATGACCTTAGCAGTTCTATTGGAACTTCTTCAAACAGAAACTCTGCTTTTCTTTCACCATCCAAGAGAAATTCTAAATTTTATGTACTTGAAAACAATCCTGACCAAACCTTTGCGGAAGATGAAAAGTGGGAAGATTTTATCGGTGATGATATAACTCAAGAAACTAGCCCTTCAAAGGTAAAGGGGAAAATAATGGACAATTTGCCTACATTAATAAATTCCGACTCAGAAGATTCAGAAGAAGAAACTACAAATAAAGAAATCTCAACTGAGCTTCTCAGTGGAAAGCATCTGATCGAGGAGTACGCTAAACAAAATAATTTGGTTCTTCTCTCTACTGAGAGGTATGCAGAGCTCACTAAAATTGAAAATGAATTTGTTCAAGATAGTAAAATATCTGATGACAAACTCAATGCAATTGCTGAGAGTAGAGGCTTGGTTTTGCTATCCGTTTCTTCACATCAATCCCTTTTAGATGAGGAAATGATGAAGAAAAAGCTTGAAAGTAAAGGACTAGTAACGATCACGAGTAAAGAGCACATAGACTTACTTGGCACTTCATCATCCTTCCGTAATCCTACAAAAGAATTCATTGAAAAGGCTTCATCTAAATATGGGTTGGAAGTGGTTGATAAGGAAGAATTATCCATGTACAAAAAAACATTTGAAAACTATCAATCACCATCGCAAGCATACCTTACTGCTAAATCTCGAGATTTATTTAAGTTGAACCTTGTTTCGAATGATGAATTGGCAAAGTACAAGAAAATCGGCATTGATCACGAAAAACCAAGTAAGGATTACATTACTCACAAGGCAAATGAACTAGGATTAATAGTTTCTCCTACTTCATTTTACGATGAATTGGTTAAAAAAGCACATAAGCCAGACATTGAACATATCACGAGCAAGGCAGAGGAAATAAATATGGAACTCGTCTCAAAAGATACCCTTGCCGAGTTGAATAGAAAAATAAATAACCCCACTCCAGAGGAAATATCACGCACATTGGAAGGATCCAATCACATATTGATTGATAGAACTGAATTAGAAATTCTTAAATCACCAAGCATAAGCCATATCAAGAAATTAGCTTCCAAATATGATCTGCATGTTATTACAAATGAAGAACATGCACAATTAACTAAACCCAACATAGCAGATCTTTCCAAAACAGCAGCAGCCCAAGATCATGTATTTTTACCACAGAGAGAATATGATTCTCTCCATATGTTAGCTCATGAACCTTCATTAAGTCACGTAAAATCTAAAGCTGAGATACATGGATTGGTTTCAATGACTAAGGAAGAATTCACCGACTTATACAAAAAAGCTAATGAACCAACAATAAATCAATTGAATGAAATGAGCACTAAATTGAATCTCACTAGCATAACAATTGAAGAGTACGAAGCTTTGAAAGAATTTGCATACTCTCCATCTGTCAAGCATTTGACTACGAAAGCTAAAGAGCATGATATGGTGCTTCTTGGCAAAGTACAACATGATGATTTGCATAATCTCGCGCATAATCCAGATGAATCTCATATTCGTCAAATCCTTAAAAACAACAAATTGGGCCTCATCTTGTTAACAAACTCTGAGCATGACATATTAAGTAAACCGCCTCTAGAAAGAGTTAAGTCGTTTGCGGAAGCAATGCAATGTGTAGTAGTAGAAAAGGATGAAATTGAAAGTTTAAAGGAAGCATCACAAAATCCAAACCTTGAATTCTTGAAGAAGAAATCTGAAGAGCAAGGGCATGACTTAATCGATAAAAAGTCTTACCACAATCTCATCAATCCATCGTTGAATACCGTGAAAGATTTGGCAAGTGGCTTTGGATATACAGTCATAGAGAATGCAGAGTATAAGGATCTCTCTGCACTAGCTAAGACACCCTCAGTGGAGCATATAACAGAAAAGGCGAAGGGTCATGGATTTGTAATTTTATCCGGCGAAGACCACAAAGCACTTAATGAGTTAGCACACACTCCGTCGATTAAGCATGTAGCAGAAAAGGCGAAGGGTCACGGATTGGTAACTTTGTCCGAAGATGAAGTGAATTCACTTCATGAGCTCGCACATGCGCCAACAATTGATCACGTAAAAGAAAAAGCGAAGGATCATGGTTTGATAACTTTATCAGAAGTTGACCATAAGGAGCTCAATAAATTGGCACTAGCACCAAGTATAGATCACATCAAAGATAAGGCGAAGGATCATGAGTTTGTTGTTCTTCTGGAAAAAGAGCTTCAATCTCTCAGTAAACTTGCTCATTCTCCAGAAATTGATCATCTAAGAGCAAAATCTGAAAAATTGGGATTTGTACTCACTGATAAAGCTTCTCAAGAAAAACTTTTGAGAAGGGTCAATAATCCCAACTTAGATGAAGTTATAGAAGATGCTGACAAATTGGATTATGTGGCAATTCCTGTTAACGAGCATAGGAAGTTAATTGATATGGCGAACTCTCCGTCCTCCATTCATATCACTGAAAAGGCTAAGATACATGGTTTAGCAACTATTAATGAGGATGAACTTGTAAAACTTCAAACTTTAGCACATAAACCCTCTGTTGATCACATCAAAGAAAGAGCAAAGAATTTGGGATTTGTTGTGCTTCCTGAAACTTTGCACGACGAACTTTTGAACCTTGCAAATTCGCCAAATGTTGATCATGTCAAGGTAAAGGCCAAGGAACTTGGTCTTACTACCTTAAACAGTAATGAACACGAGAAACTTCTCTTGTTGGCTCACAATCCTACAATTGAGCACATACATAATGCGGCCGAAAAAGCTGGCCATGTAGTATTATCAGAGGAGGAGTACAATAAACTCAATGGCCTTGCCAATAATCCTACTGTTAGCCATGTGCAACTTAAGGCGAAATCTCTTGGACTCGTCCCTTTGACGACTGAGGAACATAATGCCCTCGTCTCTATGGCACACGCGCCTTCCGTTGAACATATCCGTGAGAATGCAATTAGTGCTGGGCTCATTGCGCTAGAAGCAACCGATGTTGAATCATTAAGAGAAAAGGCTAACTCCCCAAGTATAGAGCACGTCAATCAAAAAGCGAAGGAATTGGGGTTGGTAACCTTATCAGAAGAGGAATACACAGATCTCTCTAATATGGCACATTCACCTTCCGTCGACCATGTCATTTCACACGCAAAGAAGCATGGTTTGGTTACCTTGCAAACTGATGATCACTTAAAACTTTATGAGATGGCGCATTCTCCAACAATAAAACATTTAAATGAAAAGGCAAATAATTTTGGTTTAATCACTTTACAAGAAAAAGAGCATGAATCACTTTCTACTCTTGCTCATGCTCCTCCTGTGGAACACATACAGATGAAGGCAAAAGAAAATGGTTTGATTGCATTGAGTGTGGAGGAGCATAATTTGCTACATGGATTAGCCCACTCTCCTTCTCTTTCTCACTTGAATGAAAAATCGAAGGAGCTTGGCCAGGTTCTATTACCAAATGATGATCATGAAAATCTTGTTTCTCTTTCAAGGAACCCGCCAATTGATCATGTTAAATCAATGGCAAAAAAGCATGGCCATATTACTTTGCCAAATGATGATTATGACAAGATTTCCGCCTTGGCTAATTCACCAGGCGAAGACCATATACGTCAAATGGCTACAAATCTTGGTTTAGTATCTATTACTGCTGATGAACACAAGTCTCTCTCTGATCTTGCTCATTCTCCAAGTATTGATCATATAACCTCCAAGGCTAAAGAGCTTGGATATGTAGTTATTCCGGAAGAGGAACAGAAATCGTTACGCTTGTTGGCCGACTCTCCTTCTGCTGAACATGTTACCCTCAAAGCAAAGAACCATGGATTGATTGCTGTACCAGACCATGAACATCAAGAATTGAAGTCAATGGCACATAGTCCTTCTTTGGAGCATATCACTAAAAAGGCAAATCTTCTTGGATTGGTTGTTATTCCTGAAAATGAGCATAGAAGTCTTTCTGTCCTAGCAAATGAACCTTCAGCTGAGCACATTACTGCGAAAGCTGAAGCTATTGGATTGGCCACAATTAAGTCAGAAGATCTTTCCGATTTGAAAATTTCGTTGAGTAATCCGACTGAAAAATACTTAATTGAACATGGAAGTAAACGGGGTAAGATACTCCTCTCTAAAGATGAACATCATAATTTACTTAACCCTACTTCTGATTGGATCAAGCTGAAAGCACAAGGCTTCGATTTGGTTACTCTCAGTAAAGATGACCATCTTAATTTGTCAAGTAAAGCTATAAATCCAACTTTGGATCATATCAAGGCAAAAGCAAAGGACTTCGAACATGTAGTATTGCCGCTAGAGGAACATAGTGCTCTTGTCAATCCATCAAAGGAGACTATAACAAGGCATGCCAAGGACTCGTACTCCTCAATTATTCTTCATAAATCTGAGTTCGAACTGTTAAATAACTCCATTGAACTTCCAAATAAGGAATACCTTTCAGAGAAATCAGCAGCTATGGGTCTCTCACTAATCGATTCTTCTGAATTGAAAAGATTAACAGTTGATGCTAATGAACCTAGTATTGGCCACATTAATGAGAAAGCTAAATTGGTGGGTTTGATCACTATGTCTACTCATAAGCACGATCAATTGATTAGTAAACTTGAACATCCAACCAAGGACCATTTAATTGAAAAAGCAAAAAATTTGAATTTAACAGTCGTTGACAATGATAAATTCAAGCTGCTTGTCGAGATCAAAGAAAATCCGACAGAGGAATTTATTGAAAATAAAGCGGCCAAATTAAATTTGGTCGTCCTTCCAAAAGCTGAACTCAGTGAAATTCAAATGAAGTTAGCTGAACCAACGGCTGATTTTATTTACGAGAAAGGAAAAGCATTGGATCTTTCAATCCTACCCGAAGCAGAGTATAAGTCTCTTGTTCACCGTGTTGAATCACCCTCAGCAGAATACTTAGAGACAAAAGCAAAGGAATTGGACAAGGTTCTTATCACAAATAAAGAATTACAGATACTTGAAAAGACTTCAAAATCTCCTACTATTGACTTTTTGAAGTTACATGCTGGATCCAATGGATATGTGCTAACGTCCCAAGAAAAGTTTGAATCGCTTAGTGCTTTAGTTTCATCTCCATCTCGCGAACATATTCAAGAAAAGGCAGAATCTGCTGGTCTCATTGTTATTCCAAAGCAAGATCATGATGAACTTGTAAAGAAATCTACAAAACCTACTGCTGATCAGGTTTCTAATTTTGCGAAAGGATTAGGAATGGTAGCAATTACAGGAGCTGCACTTTCCAAGTACACGAATCCTACCTTGGAAGAGATCAACGCGCAAGTCAAGAAGAAGGGATTACATCTAATTGATGATAAACAGCACAAGTCGTTGAACCTGCCTTCAATTGACTACTTGACGAAAAAACTTGCCGCTCATAAGCACTCTGTGATTGGATTTTCTGAATTAGAGCTAATGAGAAAAGCAATTGATTCCCCTAGCGACTCTTACCTCAAAGAACATGTAGAAAAGAGTGGGAAGACGATCATTGAAAATGAAGAATACACAAAACTTAGGAATAGTCTCTCGAATCCGACACTTGAATACATCAAGGAAAAAGCCATATCTTTGTATGGACAAGTTGTTTTAGCTGAGTCTGACTATGACCAATTAGTGGATCCAACTTTGGAAGTTGTTACTGACCAAGCTTCAAAACATGGACATGCATTAATGGAAAAGAGCGACTTTGAAACACTCAAAAAGAATTATGCGGACCCTTCAATTGATTACTTAAAGGAAAAAGCAAAAAATATGAATTTTGTACTTTTGTCTAAGGGAGAATATGACTCGATTACCAAGTCACTTGAAACCCCAACACATGCATATCTTTCTAAAAAGGCGGAAGAGGCTGGTTTATTGGTTATTAATTCAAATGATCACTCCGAAATTCTTGAGCTTGCTCATAATCCACCTCAGAGTCACATTACTGAGAAGGCCTCTAAGCTAGGATTTGATTTGGTCGAAAAGGACCTTCATAAATCACTTCGTGCGCCTACGGTATTAGATCTTCGTAAAAGAGCTCAAGCTCATGATCACGTAGTTCTCTCAACTACAGAACACAAGGCACTTCTTCAACCTACAGTTGAAGATCTTCACAAAAGTGCTCAAGTTCATGATCACGTAGTCCTCCCAAGTACGGAACACAAGGCACTTCTTCAACCTACTATTGAAGATATTCACAAAAGTGCTCAAGTTCATGACCACGTAGTCCTCCCAAGTACGGAACACAAGGCACTTCTTCAACCAACCATTGAGGATATTCACAAAAGTGCTCTTACTCATAGTCACATTGTTCTTCCAATTTCAGAACACAAGGCACTTACTGATCCTAGTATTGAAGAGCTTAGTGAAAAGGCATCTGCTCATGGACATGTTGTGATACCAAGCTCAACACATGAATCTCTTGTTTCACCTACACTAGAAGATCTATCCAAATCTGCTCAAAAGTATGATCATGTTATAATTCTGTCCTCATCTCATGGTGCCCTTGTCAATCCTTCTATCGAGGCTCTTGACAGACTTGCATCATCTCATAAACATGTCATCTTACCAAAAAGTGAGCATGATACTTTGCTCTCCGAGTCTTCGAAGACAGTTGAGGAAAAGGCTACTGAACTGGGATTGGTCTTGCTTAGCGCAATCGAATTAAAAGACCTAAGGGAAAATATTGAATCTCCTTCTCTTGACTTTTTGAATACCAAAGCGAAATTGAAAAGTTCCTCAGTAATCCTGGACTCCGAATTGCAAACCCTTAAGCTTAGATCTGAGAGAAGTTTACATGACCTTGCAAAAGATAACATGGATTACAAAGTCATATCCAATGAAGAATATAATTCGTTGGTTACTCCTGATGTTGAGTATTTAAGAGAAAAGGCAGAATCTCATGGCTATGAAGTTATCTTTAAGGAAGATATTCAAGGACTTCGTAATCCAGCTCTCCATGAGCTAAAGGAAAAGCTTCAACAAGACCATGGTCATTCCACAATTCCTGAGCTGGAGCTTTTGGTACTCACTGCATCGATGAATGAGTCTCTTGAGGCCAAAGCAGAGAGAGCAGGGAAAAGTATTGTATCCAAGGAAGATTTTGAACAATTTCAATCTCCTTCCATTGAAACTTTATCGAAGCTCTCCGAGCGCCATGATCATGTTATTTTGCCAAAGGCAACTCTTTCTGAGCTTCACTCGCCTCCATTGTCTAGTTTAATTAAACTCGCTGAGAATCGAGATCACTTTATTCTACCAAATGAGGAATTAAAAATTCTTCGTGAGCCAAGTTTAAAAAAGTTAGCTGAGCATGCTGAGAAGAATAAACATGTGTTGTTAGGTGCAGATGAATACGAAAGATTAAACAAAAGCGCTTCCGAGACTCTTGAAACTAAAGCTGAGGCTGAGAATATGATTGTGTTGTCAGTAGAAGATCATTCGAAACTTGTAGACGCCGTCAATTCTCCTGAGCTTACCCATCTTACAGAAAAATCGTTGGCGTATAACCATAAGGTCGTTCCTGTTGAAGAATGGGATCAATTGAAGGCGGAGGCAAGTAAACCTCTTTCTGATAGAGCAAAAGAACAAAAGTTGATTTTAGTGGATCAATCTGAATATGAAACTTTAACCCAACCAATTGAAGAAAAGGCAGAAAAATTAAACAAACTTCTATTAGATAGGACAAAATATGATGAAATGGAGAATTCGATCAAAGAATCTTCTACATTGGAATATATTAATCTGCAAGCTGTTGAATTAGGCCACAACGTCATTGCTGCCGAAGAGTTGGTAAGGTTGAAAGAAATGGCGAATGAATCTTTGGAAGTGAAAGCACAAAGAGAAAATAAGAAACTTTTGTCTTCTGAAGAATTCTCTTCGCTTGCTGAACCATCTTTGGACTCTATTGGGTTAAGTGCTTCAAGATTAGGATATTCACTAGTAGACTCGTATACTTTGAAAACTTTAGAGCAAAATCATGCGGAATTATCCTCTAAGATTGAAGGGAAAGTATTATTGACGAATGATGAGTATAATCAGCTTACTTCACCATCGATTGAAAAGTTGCAGGAGTATGTTCAACGTGCTAATTTAGTACTAGTTACTCCTGGAGAAGCAGAAGATCTTGCAAAGACATTGGATGACAAAGCTAAAGAAAACAATATGTGTGTCATACCATTTGATGAACTTGAAAAGTTGAAATCAAAACCCTCGCTTCTGGATATAGCCAAACATGCTATGGGCTTTGGTAGTATAGTAGTAGCCGCAAGCGAATTAAATAACCTCAAACAATCCCATGAGAAGGTTCAAAATGGAGTTGTCCTTTCTACATATGAGTACAACAAATTGAAAGAACATGAAGAGTCATCTAATAAAGGTAACTTTGTATCTTTTGCTGAGTATGATGAATTGCAGAGCTTGAAGGAAAAGGCTAATATTAGCAAAATGGTTCCTCAGGACGTATATGACAATTTGAAGGCTATAGAATCTGAAGTCAACAATGGTAAGATTGTAACACTGGCTGAGTATGAATCATTGAAGAAATTGGAGACTGAAGCCAAAAATAGTAAGATTATTCCAGTAGAACAATATGATGAATTAAAAGGATTGCAGAGCAGGGTCGAAGGCTGTGAAATTGTGCCAAGCTTTGAGTACTCCCACTTGAAGCTGTTGGAAAACAGAGCATCTACTGGCAAACTACTTACCACATCTGAATATGATGAATTGCTTGTTCTTGCGAACAAGCCACCAATTAACCATATTCGTGAACATGCTGAGGTAAATGGATTCTCCATTTTGCCGAACGATGAATTAAATGCTTTGAAATTGAGCAGCAATAAATCTATCGTTGAGCACGCAGCGGAAACAGGTCACATTGTTTTAAGTAAGGAAGAACACTCTCAACTTGTGGCTGAGCCCACAGTCGAGGATTTGACTACAAAAGCAAGCGGTATAGGCTATCATATTATTACTCTAAGTGAAGCTCAAGAAACTATTCATGAAAAAGCGAAAGCGAAAGGTTTGGTTGCAATTCCTCTTGATGAACACAACAAGTTATTGTCTGCACCTCAAAGCTTAGATGACATGAAGAGAGAATTGAAAGAAAAATACGACTTGGAAGTTCTCGATAAATCTACTTACGAGGAATATATTAAGGACAAGCGAGCAGCTGCCAAGTTTGCAGACGCTGAAACTTCATTTGTCTTGGATAAGCAAGAATTGGTTCAAAGTGCTTCTAGGTTAGGACTTTCAGTTTATTCTGATGAAGAATTAAAATCAATAAAGGGAGATTTCTTTAATCAACATGCGAAGGATTTATCTTTAGCGTTGGTTCCTGAGAGTGAATACATTGACTTGAAGCAGCAATTGGTCCAAAGAGAGAGTGAGATATACAGTCTCAAGACACCTCAACAGGAAACCATTACAAAAGAAATTATAATAGAAAAGCTGGGAGATTATAATCTAGTCACCATCGATAGAGAAGAATATGCTAAATTGAAAGAGTCTTCTGAATTAGCAACTGAGCCTTTCGGTGGTTCATCAAGTCCTCCTCCAGTACTTTCCGAAGAAGAACTTAAGATCAGAAGTTCTGAATTGGGACTTACACTTATCCCAGAGGTACAGTACATGGAATTTAAGAAACAGTCGAGAGCATTGGAAGACAAGCTGATATTTACTTCAGCTGCTTCTAAACTTGGATTGATTACTGTTCCAGAGAGCTCCTTCATTCCTACAAATGTTTTAAGTGTGCCAGAGATAGATAAGGTAACACTTATTCCAAATTCATACTACGCAAAACTTTGTAAGGTGGAACAATTAAATATTGAAAAGGTTACCGATGATGTTTTCAGAAATTATGCAGAAAAGAGGGGCTTCAAGTTTGCAAACGAAAATGTGTCTCCTCCTCTTATAGATGAACATCTGGGAGGAGGAGCTACTCCACCAAACGGCAGTCCTGGTATTACGCAAGATAAACTTACTCCACCTCATCCTCGTATTTCCCATGTTTCGTCAACTGCGAAGATGAGAACACCTCAATCTTCAAATGGTAGTAGGCATTTAAGTATGTTGCACTTCCCTAATTCCTCTTCAGCCGCTTCCATGACTTCTAAAGTATCGCTTCACTCCAGGGCCCCAAGTCTTTCCGATACTATCCATACCACTGCAGGTTTCTCGATGGCAACAAATGTCTCCTTGACAGATAAGTCGATGATTCCTGCAATTACTCAGGTTGTTATCGGAGAATACTTATTCAAGTATTATCGTCGTTTAGGTCCATTGAGCTCAATATCTGACACTCGACATGAAAGATACTTCTGGGTGCATCCATACTCTATGACATTATATTGGTCTACTTCCAACCCAGTACTTGGCAATCCAGAAGATGTTAAAACTCGTGCAGCAGCAATCGTAAGCGTTGAAAGTGTTGAAGATAATAACCCGTTACCCCCAGGATTGTATCACAAGAGCATTGTGGTTCACTCGCAAAACAAGACTGTGAAATTTACCTGTGCTACTAGACAGCGTCATAATATTTGGTATAATGCGTTAAGGTATATGTTAAACCGTAATTTAGAGGAATTGTCCTTTGATACTGAAGAGACTTTTGATGAAGACAAGGAAGACTACAAATCATTACCCTCTAGAAGCTTAGATGCTGAAGATCAACAGTTCTTTGAACCTCATCAACATATACATGAAGATGATGAAGACCAGCAGCCACAACAACACCAACACCAACACACTTACCACCAACATGATGGTGCACATAATAGGAGAATTGCTTTGTATGATACAGGAGAAAGACAAGCGTTACCAAGAGCCCAATCCATGATCCTAAAAAATTCTACTTCAGGAGGACTTAAGAACTCTACATCAAATGGTAGATTAAGTTCAAGATTTAGTACACTGAGAGACAAAAGATGAAGGCAAGTTGCCACTTTAAGTTAAAAAAGTATAAGATATCGGAAGATAAAGAGTATAAGAATATTTATTGAGAAATCGTAGAGTGTTTTATTTCTGTAAGAGTTAGAGTTGGTCAACGTTATAAACTAGTAAAATTTCATAAAGGTAGCGTAGTAACTTTATACTTTCCCGGCTCACAACCATTGAATCTCACTACGACTTCTTAAATGTATTTCATTCCATTAAATTAGAAACACTTTCATTATACAACAACCTTGGATAATAAATTGATCCTCTGCTGGTTAATTCAACTCCGTGAAATTCAATCAGTAATCAACTTTGACCCAATATGAGACTAACTTTGATGAGTAGCTGGACATATTTCTCAATTTTCCATATATTTCTTTCTCGTGTTTAATGTTTTTTGATTTTTCAAAAAGGTGTTTATCATTTTTTTTTGTTTTTATTGATTTTCAATCCCATATAGTTCAACCTCTCTAATATTCAGTCAAGCTTATTTAGCAGCAAGCAACAGAGTAAATTCAACAATGTCAATCTCTCCGTCGTTATTGGTATCAGCTTCCTTGATCATTTGATCGACATCGGCGTCAGATAATTTCTCACCAATGGAGGTCAACACATGTCTCAATTCAGCAGCACTAATCTTTCCGTCACCATTTCTGTCGAAAACTTTAAAGGCTTCAGCAATTTCAGCCTCCAGGTCGGTATCCTTCATCTTTCTTGCCATCATGGTTAAAAATTCAGGAAAGTCAATGGTACCATCACTGTCGACATCGACTTCATTTATCATATCAGTTAATTCACTTTCGCTTGGGTTTTGACCAAGGGATCTCATCACTGTACCTAATTCCTTAGTGGTGATTTTTCCATCGCTGTCTTTGTCGAATAAAGAAAAAGCTTCTTTGAATTCTGCGATTTGTTGTTCTGATAACTTCTCAGCCTGGGTATTGTTAGTACTCATACTTGGATAGTCCTGGATATATATTAAAGAGAGAATGCAGGGTAACTATAATTGAACTCAATCAAACTGATTTAATCAAAGCTGATTAAAGCTGATTAAACCCGATCAAAACTGATCAAAACTGGTCTTTTTTATATGTCATGTCGACTCCAGAGCAACCTGAATGGGGCCAAATTTTTCGGATCGAATCTGCCGGCTAACCTGAGTTCTTCAGTACCTGGCCTTCCGTCCTCGAACAAATCCTTTCACCTATGTGTTACCCTGGTAGTCATATCTCCTTCACTCCATAAATATGTTCACATACCATTGTTAATATTAATAATTTCTATTTAAAGATGTGGTTCTGGTTTATAAATAGATCCATTAAGGCAAATGTGTTCAAAATTTGTTTTTTTTTGCTTTTTTGAAGGCTCATTTGTTCCTGAGAATCATGAGAACAAAACATTGATGTGTGCAGTATTTGCTACCCATTGTGCAGGGGTAGAAGTGCAGAGTATGACACAAAGCAGCACGATAGTAGAAACAGGCGAAAAATAATTGAGCAGGTCACTGGCGCAGCCCAAATTGTTAGGAAGCTGAACACGGTGCAACTGTTTGGGGTACTGAGTAAATGAAAGGGAGATATGGACTTTCAAGAGGTTCTTTTGGAGTTTCCTGATGAATGTAGCTACTTGTCGGGTCAATTATACTTTTTTTTTACTGTGGTGTTAGTTGCTGTCTAGTTTAGTACTCACATGTATTCTCGTATTCTCGTATTATTTTGTGCATAAATATATTTGGTCCCGAAATTGCAACACTCTCAGAATATTGTGTAGGTATTTCGTGCGTGTGTATTATCCATGATATAGTATATACTAGCATTTTTATTGAAATAGAGTACATATATCATTTCTTTGATGCCTACCTCTTCTTAGCTAGCCAATCCGGAACATGTTATAACCTAGAGAGATTACAGTCAATCGCAGCATTGGCAGAATACTGTACCATGTCTCATTTCATATCATATGAATAATTGTATTTACACTTATACTTATAATTACGTGTAATAATATTGTACTTATATCATAATATCGAGAACTTATATCACTTCTCTGGTACCCACTTCTGGAGACTATCTCTCCACAACCCTCTTGGACATTTGAGTTTTATCTGTCTGCCACCCCATTACTTCACGCCTGTTGATAGATTGTTGCACCAAAACCTTAAATTGTGATCTTCCTGCATGAATCATATCGATATAGATGAGTTGCATACAATGCCATTACCAGTAAGCTAAAATACCGCTCCTTCGAGCTTATTGATAACATATATAGCGTATGGTTACCAAGTATTAATATGACCCTGGACTTAATAGTAGTGTTCATATGTCTAGATCATTAATGGAAGCCATCGACGAAGAGGATTTGTCCGAGTTTACGCTGTCTATTCGATCTATGGATGACCAAACGTTTTCTCAGTTTGTTCAAAACAGTGTTGCAATTGCTTCGACTCCGAAAAATGAAAATAACGGTAGGCAAATATCTGAAGAAAGTATAAGATCCTCTGTCAGTCATGATCCTTTTGATGACGGTTTAGACAATGTGCTCATGAATATCAGAGTAGCTGAAGGTCACCCAAGTGAGAATGCAATCGGAGATAAGGATTCAGTTATAGACAGTATTGTAAATTGTGCCCAGGAAGTGCCTGTAGATACAGATGACGACGATGAAGATGCTAAAAGTACAAGTGAGACGGAAGAAAGAGATGAAGAAAACAAAATTGAAGGTGAAATGTCTCAAACTCTGTCTGCTGAGATAGTAATTGGTAAACCACACGGCTTTGGCGACTATGCAACATATTTCGGAAATAAAGCTGCTAAGCAGCAGAAGGCAGATCATGAATATATACTTTGGGAAAAGAAAAGGAGACAAGGGAAAGAATCGGTTCCGCAAATCCTTAAAGGCTGTATCATTCATGTGAATGGTCATACAGTACCTTCCATTAATGAAATTCACAGACTCGTAATTCTATACGGAGGAAAATTTATCAGCTACTTGAACAATAAGGGTGCTGCTACCCACATTATATGTGACAGACTTACACCGAGGAAAAGGATTCAATTCAAGAATTACAGGGTTGTCAAGGCTCAGTGGTTGGTTGACTCTATTGAGAAAGGTGAGATGCTAAAATGGGAAGATTATCGATTGATTGATAACGTAGAATATGGCCAGCAAAGATTAACATTGCAAAGAGAGAATCAAGTAGAGACAAGAGATGAAGGGAGTGCTTCATCTGATAGGAATGCTTTTCTTAAAGATAGCACGTTAGCTCAGAGTGACCAAAAATTGAATCTTGCATCCGAGAAAGAAGTAGTGAAGGGTGATGAAATCGAGGGTGATTTTAATGTCTTTCCTTCACATCAAGAGGAAGGAATTGCTGACGGTAATGAAATTGACGGCGTTTTGGATATTCTTCCTTCGATCCAGTCACAACAAGAGGAAGAGGAGGAAGCCAATTTAACTCAATCTGGTGAGCTCCATCTCGAACTGATGAATCAAGATGAGCCAGTTATGAAAAGAGGTATTGCTATGGATGCAAAGCATCCTGATTTCTTGAAGAACTTTTTTGCATATTCAAGATTGCACCATTTGAGTTCCTGGAAGGCTGATCTTAGGGCTCATTTTTTGAAGAAGATTTTGGAAGCACCATCACAAGAAAAGCCAAGAAGGAAGCATTCCGAAAAAGTTATAATGCATGCTGATTTTGATTGCTTTTTCGCTACAGCTTCAGCATTAGGAAGAAAGGATATAGATTTCGAGACTGTTCCATTAGCGGTTTCACACGGAGGTAAAACATCAGATGTGGCAAGCTGTAACTATGTTGCAAGAAGATATGGTGTCAAAAACGGTATGTGGATCTCGGAGGCTAAAAAGTTATGCCCAACGCTAGTAACTTTAAAGTATGACTTTGACTTGTATGAAAAGTTTTCTGGAATGTTGTACGACTATTTAATTGAATTGAATATATTCGATTCAATATTTCCCGTACTGATTGACGAAGTTTTGCTTGATTTGACCAGTTACGTTGAGGACCAGCAGAAAGAAGGCAAAAATAAAGCTGAAATTGTGGGAGATCTTGCTACCAACATGAGAAAGAAAATACATGAGCTCACTGAGTGCTCGATTAGTATTGGAACTTCAAAAAATGTACTTCTTGCCAAATTGTGCCTTCGTAGAGCAAAACCTGATGGACAATTTTATCTTGAAGATGGTATCGACGAGTTCTTGAAGGATATACCCGTCAGAGATTTACCGGGAATTGGACGAAGTCTTGTAGAAAAGTTAAAGGATGAAATTATACGAACAACCGATTCTTCCTTCACATCAACTCCCACCATATCTCATTTGAGGCAAATAGATGAAACTAGAATGAAAGTTTTATTTGGTGAAAAGACTGGTCCAAAGCTTTGGCAATACCTGAGAGGAATTGATAATACAAACATTGACATTAGAGAGAACAAGGACTCTCTCAAAAGGAAGTCTGTATCAGTCGATGTGAACTATGGAATCAGGTTTGACCATATTTCTCAAGTGGATAATTTCCTAATGGAATTATCAAAGGAGCTTTATAGGAGATTAATGCATTTGACAATGTGTGGATCGTCAGTTACTCTTCGGTTGGCTAGAAGAGCAGTGACGGCTCCAATAGACCCACCCAAGTATCTTGGAATGGGATACTGTAATTTTCTAAACAAATCATCGAAGCTTGGTGTGCCCACGAATGACTGGGGATTAATTGGAAGTGAATTGAAGTCTTTATATAGAATGTTGAATGTCCCGGTGTACGATCTTAGAGGTGTTTCCGTAACGTTGACTAATTTAGTCGACATTGAGGAGTTGAAGAAGAACAGGCAAAGGCAATTACCATTCAAACCACCTGTTACAATGATTATACCACTGGCAGAGACAAAGGTGGCAGAAGTAGGCACCAGTACGGAGAAACTCGTAATTGAGCCAATCATAGATCCTTTGGAAGTCGATTTAGATGTACTCGAAGCATTACCTTCGTCAATAAGAGCAGAAATCCAAGAAGAAATTAATCGTAGGGGTATGAAGATTCTAAAATCAGATTCGAAGCTTTCCGATTCACCAGCTCCATTTTCGAGAGATATTTCACCTCAGAAACTTCATAGCCCCACCAAATCATATATGCAACAACTTCTTCCTCTGTCTTTGGGTAAACCAGAGTATACACGAGTTTTTGAATCTCCAAAAAAATTATCACCATCAAAAAGAATTCGAAATCAGATTTCTTCACTGCCAACTAAAAAGCCTAAGCCTAATAAAAATAGGAGATCATCGGAGGACTCTAGTTTATATGATGAGTCTGTAATTAATGAATTACCATCCAGCGTGAGGAAAGAAGTTTTAAAGGATTTAGAGATCAAATTAAAATCCAAAAAGAAGAAGAAACTGCTAGAGAAATTTATTTTGACTCTGAATTGGATTATAGATCAAAAGAAGTGTTTAATACTACCGTCCCCTACTTTTCAAAACAAGTTTATGAGTCTAAAAGAGTTGCAACAATTATTGAGTGATTGGATAGAATCTTCCTTAGTTCAAGGTGGGCCGCATGTGGATGATGTTAATTTGATCTTAGACTACTTCGAGGAATTATTACAACAAGATAATCTCTTGCGATGTATGAATTTACTCAGACATGTTAAGGTTGTCGTTGAATGCAAAAGTATCATTTTTAGCAACGTAGAAAGAACAGAAGGTGAAGATTCCCAGCTCATCAAGGAAGGACTTGATGAATGGGCGAAAATAATTGAATCTTCTCTACGACCAATGATACAACGGTATTGTATTCAAAACGTCATTGAGGTTGAATATGACTTTATTTAATAAAACCAGCAATTGCCTGTTATTTGCCCTTTCAAAGGCTGGCCACTGGTTACTGGTGGCTTGTGTATTTTGCAACCTTTCGATAATACTGCATATGCGAAAATCGTTTGCCATATATGCTTCACATACATTTCTAATATATAAAAAGAGTAGCAGTTTTCTTGTGCTATGAACCAAAGGAAGACACGTAGGCAAGTAGGTATTACTTCTTCAGAGTATGTTAGTAAAATATGTGACTTACTTCCATCGAATGAAGGAAGGCAATCGATGATTTACTGGTTAATTCGGGCATATGGGATTGATTCTGCGTGTGAATATGTTATACCGATTGAAAGATCAACGCCTGCTGATCTTAAAAAATTCCATGACGCTAAATTTGTAGATGTATTACTAGAAAGAAGACCTAATGTAGATTCTGATGCTATTAATGCTGACGAATTGCTTCTTGGAAGAAACTTAAGGAGCTTTAAAGACAGCTCCAAAACTAGAAAGAGCGTAGGATCCATGGCAATTCAAAATATAAGAGATGCAATTGCACAAAAGGTATTTAACTCTGATACTGATGATTCTGATCCCGATTCCGATTCGGATTCAGATAATGATGAAGTTGGTATCAGCGAAGATGAAAAGCGCCAACAGCGGTATTCATCGCATACGCTTGTAAGTGCTTTAGACAAGTATCTCGATACATTTGGCTTGAAATACGACTGTGTTGTATTTCCATTTCTAAGTGATTATGTTCAATTGGTTGCTGGTTCAACAATTAGCACTGCAAATTATCTTATAAAAAATAGTAAACTCAAAGACGTAGAGACTCAATCAGTTGGAATAAACTGGTATGGGGGACGACATCATTGTCATAAGAGTAAGGCTGCTGGATTCTGCTACGTAAATGACATAGTACTTGGAATCAATACGTTGAGAACATTTTACCCTAGAGTGTTTTATTTAGATTTAGATTTGCACCATGGAGATGGAGTGGAAACTGCCTTTAAATTTTCCAGTAAAGTTGTAACCTGTAGCGTTCATAGGTTTGATGTCGGATTTTATCCTGGAAGCGGTTCTAAAACGGAGAAAGGAAAGTATTTAAATATTCCCACGAAGAAGGGCCTTAGTGACAAGGGACTAGAAAACATTATTAAAAGCATAATAGCCCCTATACTCAAGGACTTCTCACCCTCTGTGGTTGTACTACAATTGGGAAGTGATGGTTTAGCATTGGATGAACATAAAATGTGGAATTTCACGATTAGAGGATTTGCTAGAAATGTTATGACAATAGTAGACAGCCTAACATGTCCCATTATGATCCTAGGTGGTGGAGGCTACAATAATTCTGAGACTGCCAAATTTTGTACATATATGACAAATTCACTTTTGAATACTCCTGTCGCTGGTTTCGATGTTGATGAAGTCGAAAACGACTCAATACCTGAACATCCTTCCTTAGATGATTATGAAAAGGATGGATATAAATTTTGGACAAATGAAAATACTCTTGCGACCAAAATGGCTGATGAAAACGATGAGGAATATTTGAAAGAAATAGAGAATAGAGTAATAGCAGAATGGTTTGACTGAAATGCCTTGTACATATTTATATAACATGAAAAATCTATTTAAATGATTGTAAAAATTTTGAATAGTGGCCAAAAGCACACATACATTAATTGACCTTAGGGAAGAGCTTCGATAAGGAGTTGTCCCAGTTTTCATCCCATCTTAGATTACTTTCTGCCCTTGCACCCTTTTTGATCTTCTGAAGTAGTTCATGATCTGTGAATGCCTCAGTAAGGAGTCTAAAGATTTCTTGAGATTCAGATACTTCGCCCTTGGCATCGGCCCTTGTAATCAAACCATTTTCACCATCTTTTACCAACTCGCCAATTGCTGCAAATGAAAGGGAAATTACTGGTACACCGCAGCCAAAAAAGTCTACAATTTTCATAGGCAAGTCAATTCCTGACGATGAGGTGTGGAGTGATATGGCCAAATCTGCTGAGGCAAGGATTAGAGGATAATCCTCATAAGAAAGCCATGCACTTCTAATAATTACATTATCCAGGAAATTAAGAGTCTTAACCCGAGCAAGGAATGCTGATTTCAATGGACCCTTTCCAGTAACAATGAGCACAATTGGTGGTAACTTATCGGCAACACAAGTAGTGTCATAGTCTTTGAGAGCATCCAACAAAACGTTGAAATCCTCATCAGCTGTAAAACTCGTCGACGATACCAATATCCTGTACTTATCCAAATTTGGAATATCAGAGAAAACTTCGTGGTTTCTAACAATTTCAGACTTAGATAAATTCAACTGTTCTAGTGGAGCAAATGCTTCTGCAGGTCTATCATGCAACACGAAGATGTTGCGACCCTTCTTATGCAGAATGTCAAATTCATTAATGAGGAATTCCTTCATAGCGTTCGTTACGGTGATGTGATAATCAACATATTTGGCCAATATTCTCTCATAGCTCTTGAGTATTCTCACTAATGGATGCTTTTCATTGTCATACTTCAAGTTTAAGATGGAATAATTCAAGTTATGCCAATCAACTATGATTTTAGTGTTTAAGCGTAGAAGCTTTATATACAGTACTGCAAGTAGTAATATGGGAATGGATGGAGGGTTCTGGATCATAATGTAGTCACTCGAACCAGCAAATTCCCAAAGCAAATCTAACAACTGAAAGCATTGGAGGACAATCTTCTTAATAGCAAAGACTAAAAATGGTAAATTGGAAGAGTTCCTTATAGGTCTTATTTCTTTTAAATCTATGTTCACGTCGTCTAAGATGTCTTCCGCAGGTCTTGTTTCTAAGTATCCACATACAGTCACAAAATAATCCAATTTAGATAATGATCTAGCGTGGTAAGTCATTCGAGGAGAGTGGCCAATATCTCCAAGTACAAATAAAGTGATTATTTTCCTCTTCAGATCGAATTTTCTCTTTGGTGTAAAGTAAGGTAATACTATGTAAGCTAAAAATGGCAATGCGCAATAGAAGGCAATCAAGTAGTAGAGCCAAGGGCCAGCGTACCACCAGATATGGTCAAACCCTCTATATTCAATGAATGCCATAGTATCTAGTAGTGTTATATAAAGTAATTACCTGATAAAAATATACGAAATTGATACTTCTATATTAATTAATGGCCGACCTCCGAGAACAGGTGAATTTGTCAAGTACAAATATTCGGCTCGCTATGTAGCTCTGGTGGTTCCTGCATATAGACAAGCCAGAAGCAGATGCTAAGTAAGCTGGTGGTACAGGTAAGAGCTGTGGATGGGGCTCTGCGAGGGGCTATAATCAGATTAACGTAGCTGAGTAGCATAATAACTGGGAAAATATGCAAATATTTTGTGTATTTCTATATCTAGTTATTTGGGACTAAGCATCTCAGTTGGCATGCTGCTGCGATGGAGCCCAGGTAGAGTTATTTGGGAAGAGAGAAAAGCAAAAGCTTAGGATATAACTACAGAAGAGCAGTGAATAGCAGGAAATCCGATTTTTTGTATAGTTCTGAGTTGCCCAGGTTTGAAACCTAGGTACAATTCTTCTGCTCTCCGGACACAATCTCCGCCCAAACTGCTTACCCTAGCTGTAACTCTTTTGTCGCATACTCGTAAACTTTAAGCTTGAAAAACACATATAGCAGCACTGAAAAAACGAGTCAAGCTCGCGCTCAGAGTCAGATTCGGAGCGCTAGTGATCTAATTTTTCAGGGCTGCTTGCATGTGCGTCCCATAAAAAATAATGAATCATGGAGTAGACGCTAGATGACTCTCTAGACAGCCACTAGTATTCCTGAGTATGGAAAAGAGTATCGCTCAACTTCTCTCCGAGGAGCTCTCAGAGCTAGACTTGCTGTGATATTATTTTTTCCTTCTCGAAAAGCGACCTCGATGCTACTGCACTGCAGGGCTTAGCTTGTTCTCCACGTTTCACGCAAGCACTGAAAAATTTGATCCCACGTTCAAGCTGCTCACTTGATCCACAACGAGCTGGTTCTTCTTCTCGTTTCACTCTATCACCTCAACTGCACTTTTTCATTAGTTCCTCTAACCTAAAATCAACGCTAGGGCTATTTTTTTTTTCTTGCCCAGTATTAAACGTGCATACACTGTTTATTTTTAGTCCCTCCCCACCATCACCATCGCAAATTGAAGAGTCGCAACTAATTTTTCAAAAATTTTTCACATTTTTCAACGTAGTTGTAGGGACTCTTTTTCTTGGATAAAACTTCATTCTTTTGTAAAGAAAATCGTTGCTTCATAGTAGATTCGATAAAGATGTCCTCGCTCACTCACCCTACCATCAAAGACGGATGGTTCGCCGAAATTTCTGACACCATGTGGCCTGGTCAAGCTATGTCCATCAAGGTCAAAGAAGTGTTGCACGTTGAGCAATCTAAGTACCAAGATGTTTTAGTATTCAAGTCTGAAACCTACGGTAATGTTTTAGTTTTGGATGGCTGCATTCAAGTCACTGAACGTGACGAATTTGCCTACCAAGAAATGATCGCTCATTTGGCATTGAACTCCCACCCAAACCCAAAGAAGGCTCTTGTCATCGGTGGTGGTGATGGTGGTGTCTTGAGAGAAATCTTAAAGCACGAGTCCATTGAGGAAGCATGGCTTTGTGACATTGATGAAACTGTCATCAAGGTCTCGAAGAAGTATCTTCCAGAAATGTCCAAGTCGTATGAAGACCCAAGAGTCAAGGTTCACATTGGAGATGGTTTCAAGTTCTTAGCTGAGTACAAGAACCAGTTTGACGTTATCATTACTGATTCTTCTGATCCTGAAGGTCCAGCTGAAGTTCTTTTCCAAAAGCCATACTTCACATTATTGAAGAATGCCTTAACAGAAAAGGGTGTTATTACCACTCAAGCTGAAAATATCTATTTACACATGGATATCATCTCTCAATTGAAGAAGGACTGTAATGAAATCTTCCCAGTTGCTGAGTACGCTTACACTATGATCCCAACTTACCCATCTGGCTCTATTGGTTTCATGGTGTGTTCTAAAGATGCCAACGCCGAAGTTTCCAAGCCAATCAGATTTGACTGGACCGATGATTTCGTTCGTAAAAACTTGAAGTATTACAACGCAAAGATTCACGAAGCTTCCTTCGTCTTACCAACTTTTGCTGACGAAATTCTCAACAAAAAATCTGCTTGACTGACTGAGTAAATCGCCATTTAAGAGCGGAGAAATGTTAAAGTTATGGGAGAAGAGAATTAGTTGAGTTGACCTTGACTAAGTTCTGTTCGGTTTTGGTGGTACAAAGGTTTAGAATAGTATATAGAGAATTAATACAAGCAAAAGAAAAAAAAAAAAAAAAGGAAAAACGGAGAGGTAAGTGTAAGTTTAGAAGACCCCAAGTTCATGTGTTGATAATAGCGAGTCAGGTGTTTCTGCTTCTTGAGGAAGAAGCCATCTCCAAACTGTTTCCTATTCACCACTTTTTCTTTATATTTTTTTATATTTTTTCTCCTTTTTTCCTCCAAACTTCTTTCTTTAGTTTCGGTAATCAGGGAAAGTGATCTTTACCCATGCCTTGCCTTCACCGCTTCAGCTAATCGTGATGTCAAGTTCTTCTTCTGCATGGAACGGTCAAATTTGCAATTGCAGCAATATGCAAGTCGATTGCGCCCTGCATATAACAAAACGTATAGATGATCATCACTTTAAGTCCGATGATTATAAATTCCAACAGATGGCAAAGATATACTGCTTTATACGATATATTCACAATGGTGTTCGTTAGAGGTAACCTATCCGAGGAGCAAAGAGCGAAAATTGTATGTATAAGAAAATAACTTGCTTCTATCTTTAAGTGTTTTGTAATAAACAGTGACTAACTTGTACATAGGAAGCGAATAGGAAGAAAGCGATTGAAAGATTGGAACAAAGGAAGAATAACAGCAATCCCTCAAGCTCTAGCAGTAATGCTACTACAGTGTTGACCGGCCCGACTTCAAAATCTTCCGGAGTATCTACATCTTTACCAGCTTCTGTAGTACCGGCGAATAATAGGGCAGCACCACCAGCGCCTACCCCACAACCATTGAAGAGGCCAAGAATTGAGCTAACAGCCGAACAAAGGAAAAGGATTGAAGAAAACCGTCAAAAGGCACTTGAAATTCAAAAGAAGAAGGAATTAAATAATAGAAATGCTGCCAAATCCGTTTCAGAACCGATAGCGCCTTTTACAAATGTTCGACTTCAAAAGGAAACGTTGGATAACCATAACGGAAACACCAATAAAACTACAGCAAGTATACGACCTCATATAAAGATGAAGGACTATATTGAGTATGATTTCTCCACCATGAAGGATTCGCATGGTGGGTTTATTGATGTGGATGATAATTTAGTTGGATCTGGATCGTCTGATGCAACTTTACAGCTGTTAGAAGATTGGAGAGAAAGACAGAGAATAGCACAAGTTGTAAGAGAAGCACCTCCACCGATGGATATACGAAATGCACCAAAATGTTATGAGTGTGGATCTATTGAGATAGACCAGTATATCTATGACAATTTCAGAGAGATTAGGGTTTGTAGGCCGTGTGCCAAAAAAAATCCGGACAAGTATTCTCTACTTACCAAGACTGAATGTCGGGAAGATTATCTATTGACCGATCCAGAATTGAAAGATGTAGCCTTACTTCCCAGAGTTGAGAAGCCCAATCCTCATGGGTTCTCAAGAATGCAGCTATTTTTGAGGTACCAAGTGGAAAAGTATGCTTGGAAGAAGTGGGGGTCTGCCGAGAAGTTAGATGAGGAATGGGAAAAGCGTGAATCAGTAAGAATTCAAAGGAAGGAGAAGAAATATGAAGAAAAGTTGAAGGAGATGAGGAAAAGGACCAGAGCTGAAGAGTATACTAGGAAGTTGAGAAATGGTGAATCATTGGGCCATAGACATGTGCATGACTGGAGTGAGCCGATTACTGGGGTGGAAGTAGGCACATTGAGAAGAAGGTGTATTGATTGCGGATTGGAGACGGAAGAGCTATTATTGTGATTCTGCTTCAAGATTGAAGAGTGTGGTGACCTATGAAAATAGTTAAAGGTAGGAGAATGCAATTTTGATCGCCAGTAGGTATACCTTCCAACTATTTGGGTTCAGCTGACACTAAATGACAAGAGGTAAATGCCCTAGCCATCTTTGAAAGTTAATGAACTTCTCCTGAGTTCTTAATACTTCTTTCACATGGAACAGTATTCTGAAATATTATGAACCGCTCTTTCAAATCCATGATGTCCTTATTAAGCCTTGTAGCGCACCACATCTTGTTGGTACCAACCTCTTATACTTCTAGAAGTTTCGCAACCGTTCGCACTAATTATGCAACCATTTCATAGAGTGAAAACCTGTATATTAAAATGGTCCTGCATTCTCATGGAACACAATGGAACTTTTTTTTTTCAGTTTTTTTCCAATACTCGTCGAACTTTTTTGCAGCAGTCTCACGTTGATCGCAAGTATATAAACTACTGGTGCCCGCCACGAAGCATACAAAATTTAGAATTCCATTTTTCTCCACTTTAGCTTATTTAACTTATAAAATTAATATCCAAAATGTCTGAAAAAGTTGAAACTCATGAATTCACTGCTGAGATCACTCAGTTGATGTCTCTTATCATTAACACTGTCTATTCAAACAAGGAAATTTTCCTTAGAGAATTAATCTCTAATGCTTCAGATGCATTGGATAAGATTAGATACGAGGCTTTAGCTGATCCATCAAAGTTGGAAAGTGAACCAGAATTATTTATTAGATTAACTCCTCACAAGGACCAAAAGGTTTTGGAAATCAGAGATTCCGGTATTGGTATGACCAAGGCAGACTTGGTTAACAACTTGGGTACGATCGCCAAATCTGGAACTAAGGCCTTTATGGAAGCTTTATCTGCAGGTGCCGATGTTTCCATGATTGGTCAATTCGGTGTTGGTTTCTACTCCTTATTCTTAGTTGCTGACCACGTTCAAGTTATCTCCAAGAACAATGATGACGAACAATACATTTGGGAATCTAACGCTGGTGGAAAGTTCACAGTTACTTTAGATGAAACCAACCCAAAGATTGGCAGAGGTACTATCTTAAGATTATTCCTTAAGGATGATCAATTAGATTACTTGGAAGAAAAGAGAATTAAGGAAGTTGTCAAGAGACATTCTGAATTCGTCGCTTACCCAATTCAATTGGTTGTTACCAAGGAAGTTGAGAAGGAAGTTCCAGTTGAAGATGAAGAAAAGAAGGATGAAGAAGAATCTGATGACAAGAAGCCAAAGTTGGAAGAAGTTGAAGATGAAGAGAAGCCAGCTGAACCAAAGACCAAGAAAGTCACTGAAGAAGTTACTGAAACAGAAGAGTTAAACAAGACCAAACCTTTATGGACCAGAAACCCATCTGAAGTTACCAAGGAAGAATACAATGCTTTCTACAAGTCTATCTCCAACGATTGGGAAGACCCATTAGCTGTCAAGCACTTCTCAGTTGAAGGTCAATTGGAATTCAGAGCCATCTTATTTGTTCCACAAAGAGCTCCATTCGATGCTTTCGAATCAAAGAAGAAGAAGAACAACATCAAGCTTTACGTTAGACGTGTTTTCATTACCGATGAAGCTGAAGACTTGATCCCAGAATGGTTATCATTCGTTAGAGGTGTTGTAGACTCTGAAGATTTACCATTGAACTTATCCAGAGAAGTTTTACAACAAAACAAGATCTTGAAGGTCATTAAGAAGAACATCGTCAAGAAGATCATCGAAACTTTCAACGAAATTGCTGAAGATCACGATCAATTCGAAAAGTTCTACACCGCTTTCTCCAAGAACATCAAGTTGGGAATTCACGAAGATCAACAAAACAGAGCTGCTTTATCTAAGTTATTGAGATACTACTCTACCAAGTCTACCGAAGAATATACTTCTTTATCTGACTACGTCACCAGAATGCCAGAACACCAAAAGAACATTTACTACATCACTGGTGAGAGTATCAAGGCTGTTGAAAAGTCTCCATTCTTGGATGCATTAAAGGCTAAGAAGTTCGAAGTTTTATTCCTCGTTGACCCAATTGATGAATATGCTATGACTCAATTAAAGGAATTCGAAGACAAGAAGTTAGTTGACATTACTAAGGACTTCGATATCGAAGAAACTGAAGAAGAAAAGGCTGAAAGAGAAATCGAAATCAAGGAATTTGAACCATTAACTAAGGCCTTGAAGGAAGTTCTCGGTGATCAAGTTGAAAAGGTTGTTGTATCTCACAAGTTGGTTGATGCTCCAGCTGCTATCAGAACTGGTCAATTCGGTTGGTCTGCTAATATGGAAAGAATCATGAAGGCTCAAGCTTTAAGAGACACCACCATGTCATCTTACATGTCTTCTAAGAAGACTTTTGAAATTTCTCCAAAGTCCGCCATTATCAAGGAATTAAAGAAGAAGGTTGAAGCCGATGGTGCTGAAGACAAGACCGTTAAGGACTTGACTACCTTATTGTACGAAACTGCTTTGTTGACTTCTGGTTTCTCTTTAGAAGAACCAAGTTCATTTGCTGGTAGAATTAATAGATTAATCTCTTTAGGTTTAAACATTGACGAAGAAGAAGAAGAAGAAAAGGAAGCTGAAGGTACTACTACAGAAACAACTTCTGAACCAGCTGTTGAATCTGCTATGGAAGAAGTTGATTAAGGAGTTGGGAAAATAGGTTCACCTTCGGGTGCATGAAAAATCAAAGGAAACTTGTTTATAATTATTTAATATATGAGCATTCATAAGGAAAGATAAATTTGTAGGAGAAAACTAATTTATAAGAAATACTTTAGTAGATCAACAGTCATGCATTACTATTCTAAATTTACTTGTTTGAAACTAAACTCTTTTTGAGCCATACTATTGTATGGTGTTCAGCCGCGCAGATGGTTCCCACATTTACAAAGATTCTAAAGTGAGCCACCTTGGTCACGATTACAATAATTGCATACCATACTAGTGGTTACAGTACGTATTATGTCTTTGTGCATAGATTGCATGCTCCATCATCAGAGTTAAAGGAAGTAGGTGAAAGGGTTGTGCTTCGTTTTTAGCCTTTCTGTAATTAGATTTTAGACTCGCCAAGAATTTAAGTCAAGCTCAAGCCGTATCGTAATTGGAATGATTTAAACCTCCACCGTAGTTCAAAGTTTAACTGGAAGCCACCTAAAGCAGGCATAAGTTTACGGTGGTCAATATAAGATATGTTTATAATGCAAGGAGTTTGGATTATTATAAGTAAGATGTCAATACTCTTTATCTTGTCTGTGGCCAATCCAGTAATTGGAATATGAGATCAATTTTGAAATATATAAATGTCGTTGCCAGTATTGGAACAACAATTTTGATGTTTCTAGTAGTTCTAAGTGGAGTCAACCTGGTAGGGATAAACAAAGATCTCTACTGGTCAGAAGCGAGTCCAACTGATGAAAATTTGAGATGGACAAATTATGGAATTTGTGAAGTAAGCGAGTGGCTGCACAATGAGAACTGCTTACCAAATACAGTTGGATACCCGTACAGTCCATATTGGTCAATTGTGGGCTCCAGTTCCATGCCCGCGGATTTCGTAGTCCATGAAAGTCTTTACTATTACGTTTCAAGGTCAGCGTACTTCCTACTATTGGTAGGTTTAATATTCTGTGTATTCTCGCTTTTTTTTGTGATTTTAACAGCCTTAGTGGAGGAGAGAAAATGGTTATACTACTTATTTTTACAGGTAATCACTTATGGTATCTTGACTACGGTGACAGGTGCCATATTAATGACATACATTCACTCTCGTGGGTCAAAAGCGTTTGATAAAAGAGGTCATGGCATGTTAGGACTTAAATTGTTTGGAATCCTTTGGGGTGGTGTTCTTGGTTACTTGATATCGACAATTTTGAGCTATATAATAGTATTTACTAGAAAGAAGGAAAAGGAACATTTCCAGAAGGTTGATCACTTACTCCAATATAACAACTTGTACCAGGATGTGAATCCCAATGATCCGCTGTATATAACTCATAGTGACCCTGAAAGTATACAGAAAGGAAATCAACCAAATCCTTTTGCTGAAAACTTTGACACTAGAGGTGTTTACCATTAGCTAACACTTTAATTCTAACATTTTAATAATATGAATTATTTATATAATGGATATAATGTAATTTAAATCTATAAAAAAGTCGGCCTTAGTGAATGCTGTAGTAATTAATAAATTCACTTTCGAATAACATAACTTAGAGAACTTGTAATTTTTTATACTTATGATCAGCTCCCTCGACTTCAAAGGAATCTTTAGCTAATTCTTCAATCGTATTCAAAGTCACCTTAGCTTGCTCCCTCACTAACAAATCATTGTCAGTTGAGTAAATATATTCGAGTGCTTTCCAAACTTCAGCTCTATATTCCTCGGGGAACGGTAGACCGGGAGAGTTAGAAGTACCAATAATGAGATCATGAATAAGTACAATTGCTGCTCTTCTCATTACAGCTTCATCATTTGAAGTTTCAAGCTTCAAGATCCCCAAAGCACAGTCAAGAGCATTTCCGACGTTGTCAATCATCCCAAGAGGATTCACCATGCAACAAACACCAAGAATAGACATTGCAGAATTCCTGAGTCTGGTGTCAACTACTTCTTTATCATCAGAACGTCTAATAAGACTCAACGCACCCTCTACTACGATAGAAGCGGTCTTACCCACAAATAACTCGTTTGAAGCTTGAATGTATCGAAGCAATACCTCACCAATTCTCAACCTTTCATCTAGTTCATTTTCAGTACTCGTATACAACGAAACGTAAATTGGAATCACTTCTTTTTCGTTCCACTTAACAAGTTGTTCTAATCCCTTAATTACATTTAGGTATATGAATGGCTCTGGGTCTCTGAGTTGATTCAAATGTAATTCAACTACGAAATCCAAAGACACCACATCTTCACACTTTGCCTCTATTAAATTTCGTAAGATGTGTAGTCCATGAGCTCTTATAGGTACCAAAGGGTCATTCAAACTAGTTATGGCTAGTTTAAGCATTTTAACATTCTGTTCGTGAACCATAGATTTAGACAGCTTTGGAAGTGTATCTCCATCAACTAGATTCGTGATTCTCTCATAGAGAGATTGGGCAGCAGCTTTAGCAGAAGGAGAATCTATTGCTTTAAGTTTAGGTAAAATTTGTTTAAGGATATCGAAACAGCTCAAAGATAGTTCAGAAGTGGAAGTTTCCGATAAAATTGCTGATAATAATTGAAGTAGAATAGGGAGAGCAGCATTTGCTTCTTTTTGTTCAACTTCATCATCGCTATCTTCATCATCAGAATCAACATCCATTGGGTGTGCCTTTTCTTCTCTATCTTTGCTAAGGTATGTATCGACAATTTCCAACATTTCCAAAGGAGATCTACCCAAACTATCCTTAAATTTTTCTCCAATGCCTTCCAAGAGTCTCAAATCGATTAACATAAAGAATGGATTAAAATCTTTCTCCAATGGAATTGAATTATCGCCAGACACCTTTAACCACCTTTTAAAGATAGCCATAAATTCACTTTGGACATAAGATTCGTCTAGATCTGTCAATAGCTCAATATATAAAGGTATTGCAATGTCCAATGAATTTAAAAACGAGTTCATTTTTATTTCTTTGGAAGCAACAGGCGATTCACTTACTTCTCTTGGAGTGATTTCAACAAGTCCGTTCTTCCCCTTTGAAAATTCCCAGTTGTCACCTCCATCGCAAAGACAGTTTTTGGCAATCTTATCTAAGCTCTCCCGAGACTCACCGATTTGTTCTTGAATAATTGTAAAGTAAGATACAAGCACTCCTTTGACCACACTTAACGATTTACCATTTGTTTTCCTTATGAAAATGTAATAGGACCAAATCTGCAATAGAATTGGCTCGAATGTAGCCATCAAAAGTGTGGGCGAGGGATTGTTCTTGGTAAGCGAGATGAGTACATTAAGATTATTATTTACTTCCACTTCAGACACAGTGTAGGGTGGTACTTGTGGGTTAAATTTGTTCCATATTCTTTTTATCATAAAATCGATTACAATTTTATTGTTTCTATCCCACAACTTCTCGAGTGTATAACAAATGCAGCTATTCACTACTGGTTTGTTAATATTCACCAACAAGTCATAAGACTGGTTTCCAATACTAGTAAAGTACACAATGGTATTGATATCTTTAGGTTTAGTCAAGACAACATTTGCTACTTGGTCGAACTTTGAAATATCAACTTCTTCGTTTTCACGCAAACCAAGGACAAACTCACATAAAGTTAAAAGTCCATCTTTCCGTGGGGCATTAACGTGAAGCAATTGCAACTGTGAGGATACAAATGACTTCAAGTAAATTGGCGAAGGGGAGCTGAGCAATAGTGAAAACGTTTGATACAACTCAAAAGTATCAGGAATAGCTAGTACTGCTGGATATACTTTCAGGATGCGAGCTTTTGTTGGTGCAGATATCGAAGGAATCGTTAAAAGTGCTAAAGTTATAGCTAAGAAGTCAGAGAACCCCGTACCTCTTAGCAAAAGATCCTTGACAGATGATTTTGAAACTGAGGTGAAAATTTTATAAAACTCATCAAACATTAGATTAAGAAGGGGTTCTACTTCTCCTTTATCACACAATAAGACTTTAATATCGTCACTTCCACTATTTCCGGCAACCCCTCCTTTAGAAAAATCCTTTAATCTTCTCTTCTCTAGTGGGATTCCAATCGAATAGTTTTGCAATGCTGGATAAACTCCATGTATAATAATTAAATTGACTAATCTACTAAAAGTTCTTATATCATGTAGGGATATCGTTATTAACTGATCTTTTTCACCTTCTTCACCCTTCATATCCTTGGGGACGCTAAGGATTTGTATTTCGATCAAGTATTTCATAAGCTTCCTTACTAGTTCCAATCTTGTGGTCACATCTCCTATCCTCTTTTTAGTCTCTTCAAAGTTCAATTCTGATAAAGTGCAGCCCATTATCTTGGTCTCTAATTCGGTAAATAGTACGTCAATAGGCGAGCTGGACTTAATTCCAGGAACATTGAGCCCTTTCAGAGTACTATTCCTGTAAGATGTATCTTGAATACTGCTTGGATCAACTCGCACAGTAGATTTTTTGGTTGAAGTTGCAAATGGATTCTTCTTGGGAGGCTTTTGAGAGTTATCCACGGTTGGAGAAATAGCCTCTATAGGTTCATCTTCCAAAACCTCAATTTTGGGCGGCATTCTACTTTCTTACCTAAGAGTAGAGTGAACCGAATCATTCGTTTACTAAGCAACCTCTATTTCTTATAGAGATCCATATGTGGCTATATGCAGGCACGAAGAGAAGAGGTAAGTAAAGATGTAGTAGAAGCAAGTAATAAGTACCAGGAAGGGTGTTTTTCTTTTTTTAACTCGAAAATGTGTAGTATAGATTACATATCTAAAGTATGGCTAGTTGTTAATGGTATCAATAGTAATAGATCTGCTGGCACCAGAGGTGGGATAGTGATGCTGCACTTCTGGGTAGCTCCTGCATGTTGATTGCTGCATTTACCATAGAGACACATCGAGATTGAAGCAAGTTTCATATATTCCGATTTCAATTTTTGAGAAGCCCACTTCTCAACGGTTCAAATGGTAAATCTATATGCACTGTCACTCTTCTAAACGTCCCTAATGAAGCGAATCCATCTTATATCGATCCTTAATAAATACCACTAAGTTTCCTCTAGAGACTGCATGAAAAATTGTACATGCAGGACTTGATTGCGTAAATTTTCTTCTTCTTCTTCTCAAGCGAAGAGATGAAAGTAAGACTAGCATATCTGCTTTTCTAATTCATAGAAATAACTTTATATCGTTCCTGGGTGCATCAGTTACATAGGTATTTCTTAGCAGTTACATATTCTGCTCATATCGAATTAAGAATATATCTTCATAGTTTTTCGTACCGCCATTAAAAGTTTATCAATAAGTATTTGTTCGCGAGATGGCTACTGAATCACTCACCCAAGAAGAGATGGATTGCGTAATCCTTGACGCAAGAGAAGGAGATTTGGAGACTTTGACTGAAATTTTTACTGAGTTATCACCAAAGTTACTTCTTACAATCAAAGACGATATTACCTTATCAACCCCGATCCACATGGCCAGTGCCAATGGTCATTTCAAAGTTGTAGAATACTTACTTTCCATAGTACCTAAGGAAGATGCTATTAAATTAGCAAACTCTAAGAATGACGAAGGAAACACTCCATTGCACTGGGCTTCTTATGCAGGTCATTTAGACGTAGTAGAATTACTTGTAGGTACATATGAAGCAGATGCATTCTTGAAGAACAATAGTGGACATGATTCCATCTTCGAAGCCGAGAACAATAACCAAAGTGAAGTTGAAACTTGGTATTTGAAGAAATTTGCAATTGAAGACGGATACAATGAAAGCGACCTCAAAATCGAAGAAGGTGAGGATGGGAATACCAAGATCACCTACAAGCCTGGTAATGAGAGTAAAGAAGCAGATGACGCTGCTGCTGCTGCTGCCACTGCAGCTGCCACAGATGTTGTAGAGAAGGAAGGAAAGGAAACTGACGAAATAGAAAAGAAAACTGAAGATCTCTCCATCTGAGGATTGTAGATATGAAGATGGGGCCTGTAATAATAGAATAAAAAATGTTAAAGAAGGTAAATAATGTAGGTAGCGTACGACACGGTTTGACCGAACTATTTTTTTTTTCTTGCTGTTTGAATTTCTGTTTGCTATGTTACGTTGTCTATGAAAGGTGTTGAAGCTAGCTTGCACCTCTCCATAGAGCGCGATAGGGCCTGGGCCGTACCGTCTAGGGTGAGAGTAGAGCGTGAAAATGGTGAAACTAGTGGAACAGCGCGGAAAAACTCAGCGCGACAGCTCGTGAGAAAGAAGCTCTGACAAGCCTAAATGTAAGCACTTACTTTAACTAGATCTCTTTCCTGCTAGGACTGCTAGCTCAAAAGCACATACTCAGCTATCTATATCGTCGATCAGCGAAAAAGAATGCAATTAGAAATTCTACCTTCTTGGTATACATAATACATCGTTTCCCACCGATGAAGTGCTAGTAATGGCTGCAAATGTGTAAGTTGCGCGATCTGCAACCAACCAAGATCAGAGCAGAAAAAGCAAGTAACACTAGAGCAGTCCAAAAAGCAGCTCAATTTTCAGTACATTTTGTTCTTTTCGTCAATATCATTCACAAGATCTTCCTCTTATCAACATAATCCTTTCCACATCAGCATCTCCACATCCACATCCACATCCACATCTCTCCGCGCTTCCCTCTATCCTCTTCCTTCCCAGCTCTGCATGTTTCCTCGTCCCAGCTCCAGTGCCATACACATGTCTTGCGTGCAGGATTTGATACCCTAATATACCCTGCCTTTGCTCTGACTCAGCGTAATTTTGTTCCCGCGCCACTGATTTTTTTTTTTTCTTCACTTTGCCAATTTTTCAACTTTCATTAGTCAAAAGAAAAAACTTTCACCTCCAACCAGTTGTATCCAGTAAAACACTATATAAAACATCAAGTATGAGTGATTTAGGTTTTGATCCTACTTTGAAGAAGAAGAAGAAGTCTAAGAAGGTCGAAGGCGATCTCACGGCCGAATCTTCGGCTGCTGGGTCTCCAGCACCAGCCGGCGAGTTGGATGACATGTTCTCCGGATTAAAGAAGAAGAAGAAGTCTAAGAAGACCGCTGAAGAAGGAGCTAGCTCATCGGCTGCCGGCTCTCCAGCCCCTGAAGGTGCAGCAGATGACTTGTCTGCCTCCTTCGGTGACCTCGGATTAAAGAAGAAGAAGAAGAAGTCTACTAAGAGCTCAGACGTTACTGATTTCGAACAGCAATTGGAAAAGGCAGGAATTGAAGAAGGTGACGCCACCGCTGAAGGTGTTGACGCTGAAGAATCATCGCCAGCCAGCGAAGACCACGCTGGAAATGGAAGCTCAAGCGCAGGAGTATTGTCATATCCATCTTTGCTCTCTCGTTTCTTCACTATCCTTAAACAAAATAACCCTGAACTTGCCGGGGACAGATCTGGACCAAAGTTCAGAATCCCACCACCAGTGTGTCAGAGAGAAGGTTCCAAGAAGACTCTTTTCGCCAACGTTCAAGAAATCGCCGTAGTTCTCCAAAGATCTCCAGAACATCTTATACAATTCTTGTTTGCAGAATTGGGTACCTCTGGTTCCATTGATGGTGAAAAGAGATTGATCTTGAAGGGTAAGTTCCAGCCCAAGCAAATGGAGAGTGTGTTGAGAAGATATATCATCGAATATGTCACCTGTAAGACTTGTAAATCCATGAACACCGAGTTGAAGAGAGAATCTGCCAACAGATTGCATTTCTTGAGCTGTAAGGCTTGTGGAAGTACCAGATCTGTCCTGTCCATCAAGACAGGTTTCCAAGCTCAAATTGGAAGAAGAAAGAAGGCATAGTGAAAGCGTGGACGCGAGTGGAGGAAGAACAATATTGTCTCTACTTGTTACGAGCGTTTATCTATGCACTTGGTACTAAGACTAGCGGTACCCTCTAGAGTAGCAGACATTGGGGTTTCAATACAATACAGGATTTATGGGATACCCTTGCATCATAGATGAACGATATAACAGTAGCTTTTGACAGAGATGACAGATGACTCAAAAGAAAATGATGGAAAATCTGTGGGCGTGTATAATAAAGTATATATCTAGCATAGAAGAAATAACAAATAAAATAAAGAAGTAAATGAAGATAGGTGAGGCAAGAAGGCATTGTTGCAGGTCCCATGCAGAGGTCGATAGTCAGGAAGAGGTAGGAGGAGAAAGATGGGACTGGAAGCGGCACTAGAAGTGAGACATGCAACATTATTTAGTAGAAATGGAGGCCCAATCTCAGTGTAAAAGGAATGGGACCCAATTCCCTGTAAGCACATGTGTAGGACTTCGTATATTTAGAGATGAGTTTCGATGAAAGGGATAAAAGAAGAGAAGAACTTCACTTTACGTGCTTTTTGCAGATCAAGAAAATTAAGGTTTACTTGTTACATCTAGCCTATTATTAAAGTCCATATGCATCGCTATTTTGGCCTGGCATGGGTGAGATCAAACCTGGTAGAACCAATGTGAAGCACTTACATATAATGTTCCATTTATGAACTTGCTGTGCGCTCATTTAAGTGTTTCACACTCGAGCGAAAAATGATGGTTCTACTGTCACACAAGCTTATCCACAGTGAAAAGCAGTGAAAAGCAATGTATGTCTACATCAGGTCTCTGTTCTTTCATGGCTATAGTCTATAGGCTTTAATGAGCGCATCGCGCAGAAAATCAGTTCATGCCTCGTGCTCACAGCTACGATAAGGCTTGCTGGGATAAGTAGTTGTGCCAACTAAAGGTCGCTGTTCTATATGGTTTACAATATTACAGTTGTATGTCGCACATCGTATACATCTTTGTTTATGCTTGAAAGTGTTCATTATTATAAGTTGAATTAAAGTATCTAGAAGTGAAGGTATGCTAACTGGAAGGTGTAGGTGCGACAGCAATTTGTTTGGGCTGTTCCAGTTGAACCAGAACGCTCCGTGATCTTGGCGGAGGTGGAGTTGGTGTAGGAGTTGGGGTTGGTTGACCTGCAAGTGACATGGGTGTTATATTACGAGACCCACTGTTAGAGTCACCAGCAAAACTAGACACAGGTGTCATAGTTGGTGTGCCTGTTGGTGTTGGCGTAGCCAGACCGAAATCATGTCCTACACGCTGTGGTCTTTTTTTCTTTCCACTTATTTTTCTAACACCGGGACCAACTTCAGGGACCATAGGGCAGTCGTTCCAGCCTTCCATCGGACCCCCCATTTGATACTTAGCCAGCATACTTTACGTTCTTTTTGGATAACAGAAGGAACTATTTCCAACTTGAAGAAGAAAAGCACAAGAAAAAAAAAGATGTACATGTGTCAAACACTTTAGAGCATTGATGATTATTCGCGATCTACCTCATCCTGAGGGAGGGCGGATATCTACGTCAAAACTGCGTGATGCACCTAAATAATTTTTAATGACATGGCAGATACAGTAAAAAATAAAACAGGAGTTGGTGTCAATTACCTATAAGTATTTATTATAATAGTATGTGGTTAATGTGCATGTAAGATTATATAAGCTAAATAGAAATAAACTTGGTTCTAGAAATATACAGTATGCATAGTTGAAAGTGTAGCATCTTGGATAACTCCTCATAGTTGAAAAATTTCCTGGGTGGTGTATCATATCCTATATCATATTCGGCAGTTTTTGATTATATTCATGTCTTCTCAGCATAATGACGTTCTCTATTTCCCAAGACTGTCAGAGCTCTTTAGCATTAACACCCTTCGCACACTCTCATCACTTTTAAATAATTCTTGTGTAAATTGATACATATAACTTAGCTTCTCAGTAACTGAAGCGCATCTTCCAATATTTCATCGATAGTGGGCCTTTCACTACTTTTAAGCCTCAAGCACTTGCCAATTAAACTTTTTAAACCTTCACTATACTCACCGCTATTCGGTATGTTGTACTTGCATTGAGAAATTGCTAAGTTCAAATTGGCACCTTCATCAAGCTCGAGCTTTTCAAATGGTGAAAATCCGTACATACAAGCGTATAACACACAGCCTAAAGACCATATATCAGTCAGTTCGTCAATTGTCGATCCAGTGGCAACATCCAAAAGTTCTGGTGCCCTATATGGTAATGTACAATGTTCTTGGGCAAAGTCAGTCAAACTTAAAGCTTGCTGCCTAGACCTTACCTGTATGCGAGCCTTTGAGCAAGAGCCTAAATCCACTAAAACTGGGATTCCATCCGTTGATGGTAACATGACATTGGCCGGTTTCAAATCTCTATGTGCAAATGGTATCATTTCCAGCATTTCTCCTCCATTCATTGTGAACTCACCTTCGTCTTCTTCTCCTGCTGTCCCGGGTAGAAGCAAAGCGTCCTCTTCTTCTTCAACTCCTGTTCCATAAGTCTTGTATTTGTGCATAGCTTGCAACCCCCTACATATACCTATGAATATTCTTACTACTTCTTCTTCTGCCATACTTGTGTTGTTCAAAACATTTCTATTGATGATATCTTGCAATGACTGTTCAAAGTATGGCAATATTACGTAAATAGTCTTAGACCCGTCCAGCTCATCAACAACTGACTCGTCTATAGATTGTATAATGTATGGGGTTTTAGATGAAGTAAATCTATGGTAATTTCTTATCTCTTTCAACGCCATCTTGAAAGATTCATCTCCACCAAAGGGGCAACGTATCTTTTTTAATGCATATAATGAATTAGAGGATCCCTTGGAAACAAGATAAACGTACGAAAACCCTCCTTCCCCTAGTAATCTTATAATTTTGTATTTGGCATTATTGATTGTTACCGATGGAGAAGATAAGTTAGGAAAGCAAGGAAAGCATTTCGAAAATGTGTATAATAAAAGATCCATTGAGGTTTAGATTAGTTTCCGTTTCCTTTCTCTCTGCTTTTACTTGAAGAATGCAATCAAATCAGGAAGTGTTGCGCAGTCACTTAGCTGATCTACGTTTGTTATAAGTGGTAGCTTACACAACGGCAATGTGTTATCAGAATTGTAGATTTTCTTGTTTTTTTTGTATCTTTCGCACCATCGTGGCATGATTATAGAGAATGTGTATTCAATGCATAGAACGTGTATATATGCTGCAACCGAAAGATTCTGATTAGTGTCAATTATTTTTCATGAAAATTCTACCCTGGCATAAAGTAAGGTCAAATTGGCTGCTTTTACTTTAGTTAGTGAAATCTTAGCATATTATTGTGTTGCAGGGCTATTGGTAACCAGAGTTTTCAAAACATTCCTCAGTGGCATAGCAAACATTCCTTACCAACAGCAAGATGTTTTTCATTTTATCTTTGAATAAATATCCTTTGAGCCGATTTCTTTTACCTTTGACGCCTATTCTGTCGAGCTGCAAGTTGTAGGGAACCCACGTCTGTAAGGATCCAGAAAGTTCATTAATCCTGCATATATGTACTTTTTTACTACTTCACATTCTTCACAGTTTTAACGCTTTTAGTAAGTTTGTATACTTTCATATCCCAGGGTTAATCGTAGTAAATCAATAGCGCCATGGATGAAGCTGACACCCAGTCTCCTATTCTGTTTCAATCGGATAAACTTCAAAATATAGAGCTCCTCCGTGAGTTGCTAAATTTGCTTCATGATTTGCAGTCAGGTAAAAACCTGGTGAAGGACTTTGACAACCACGCTGGAAGTATTCGTCTTAAATTGTCCACAATAAAATTACAATTACTGCAAATTGAAAATATAAATCAAAGTTTAGAGCAACGAGAGCTAGAAATCAAAAAATTGGAGGAGAATAACAAGAGGAAGGTAGAATTTTTGAAAGGTTTGAAAAATTTTACTAGATATGATGAAATTAAGGACGAAGTAATGGCAGAATGAAGTTCATAAAACAAACAAAACAATGGGCATTAAAGGTTGAGCTGAATTAAAATGGGCAATTTTTTATGGAGAAAAAAAGAATTAGTGCATCGATGTCGTCTCTTGTGCGTAGTCGGATGGAATGACTGGGGGTAAGTGTGGAAATGGATCTGATGAAGTAGTTTATCGATGAAGTGAAGCAAGACTGCTTTAACTCACTAACGGCAAAATGTAAGAAGAAATGTAAGAATATATATTTAATGAAAAGATTTAATAAGGTGTATACGGCACTTGCTATATATGTAGGACAATTTTCTCTTTTAGAATCTATGGAAGTGGATTTTATGGAGCTACAGACAACATTGAGAGATGTACTTCTATCTATGAAACTTTAGCTTGGAATAGTGGAACTTGTGCCAAGGATAGTTAGCTCTTTGCTCAAGTACATAAGGATTTAAATATATCTTACTCACATATTTTGACTCGACCTTATAAGGACAGGTACATCATCTCGGCTCTGACAGTTAGGAAATATAAAGTATTTACTGAACAAAGTACGATGGTGGTGAAAAGAAATTGCACATCTAATTCACGTTTGATCAGAATACTTTTGAAGTGAGGCTTCAGGTAACAATATGTAGCTCAGAGGAAGCATTCCAAAATCTATCAATATCACACATCCGTTATCTTGAATGATTATTCCCCATAAATCTCAAATACACCGCAGGCTAACGGTGCTATAATATTCTCTACAAAAAGTTAACAGCCGTGTCAACTCGGGTAATTTTCAATGTTGGATGTATCGTCCAAATCGGGACGTAGCGCTGAAAATCAAGCTTTACATCTTGCTATTGTTCATAACTAAGTTGCAGAAGAAAATTGTGATAAGTGTCAGCTCTTTGGTGAAGATTTGGCGGAATTCCATAAGCAGAATTATATATTCGCTAAGTGGATTACATGATTCAGTTGAATTCCGTTTAGTTTTCGCAATATCTAAAAAAATGTGGGGAAGCCATTACAGGGTCCAACTGCGTTCGAAAAGCCAAAGTGTACTAAAATGTACTATTATCACGAATCTGAGTAAAAACATATGGAAGGACTTTCTATACACAGTCAAGGCTCTTTCCAAGAGTCTTATATGCAATTAGGTTACTTTCATCGTAATATTCTTTTCTCAGTTTTTGAACTGTTAGGCTTCTTATCTTGAAAACAATTTCTACGAGCGGCTTTCAAGGTTCTTCTCTAGTCATAACCGCTAACCTTAAATGGAAAATATAGATGCGGCTGATGAAATATCTGCAATGCTTATCTTACATAGTTTCCCTTGCCGCTGCTTATACGATGGCTGTGAAAATTGTTATATTCAGTGTACAAATAGTAAGCCGATGCTTCTTTTTTGTTAATTTCCATTCAAGCAACGACTGTAAGTGGAGCATTTTAATTTTTGACATCGGAATAAATTCCTGTTTGCCGTTTTTCGTGATCTGGTAGAAGCTCTCTGTACAGAGCAATCTCTCTGGTGAAGATCAAATTTATCTTTATCTTTAATTAAAGTCAGCTTGTTGATCTTCATCATTCAACAGTACATTGAATACAGTAATTTAATTTAAGTATCCACAGAATGGTGAACACTTCCTACGATGACGAGGATTTCATCCCAGGGACCGTGAATATATTCGATTCAAAATATGATGATGAAGACAGTTTTAATGGCCAACACGAAGTGAAAAGAGGGAAGAGGGGTGTTATTCTACTCCCTCAGCCTTCTGATTCTCCAAATGACCCCCTTAACTGGTCTTTTCTCAGAAAGTCATGGCACTTGGTATTAGTCTGCTTTATCACCGCACTTACCGGTGCTATTTCTATGGATGCCGCTTCGGCTGAATATGCAGTGAATGAATTATATGGGATTTCATACAAGTCCTTTAACACTGGTGCTGGGATCTTGTATCTTTTCATTGGCTGGTCCTGCATTTTCTTTGCACCTGCTTCGTCCTTATATGGTAGACGTATCACCTACATAATCTGCTTATTAGCTGGTTGCTTAGGAAGTCTATGGTTTGGACTTACCAAGAAAACGTCGGATTCTGTTTGTTCCCAAATCTTCGTTGGTATGAGTATGCTGTGTGCCGAAGCTCAGGTCCAACAGAGTATCAGTGATGTTTTCTTCCAGCATCAACTCGGAGAAGTATTGACTTTCTATATCTTAGCCATTTCGATTGGAACTTTCTTGGGGCCCTTAGTTGCCAACTACATCGGTGAAGGTCTAACTTTCAGATGGATCGGTTTTTGGGCAGCTATCATCTGTGGGGCTACTCTAATTGTTGTAATTTTCAGCTGTGAAGAAACAGTATTTGACAGAACGAAGTTCATACCAATAATCGAAGCTACTGCTTCTGATCTGTTATCAGATGCCAATCAACAAAAAGACCGCACAGTTGATAAGGACCCTCCAGAACTTTCTCCTGAAAACAAAAGACTGTGCATCACTAAGGAAGTAGATGTTAATACAGTCAGCTCTCCTAAGTTGATTGCAATGACTTCTGCAAATCCTGAAACCGCAGCACAAGAATTGGGTCACACTGTTACAGAGGACAAATGGTCTTACTGGAAGCGTGTAGCAATAATTACTCCCTCTTCATACCTTAAAGGTACTGGGTTCAAACAGTATATTTATAGATTCGTGATATATTTCAAGGTCTTCACTATTCCAGCAGTTTGGTTCAGTGGAATACTTTGGGGGTTACAGGATACATACTTGTCATTTTTCCTAACCACTCAATATGACTATTTCTCCGAAGACCCATGGCTCTACACTGAAAACGGAGTGGCAATTATGAATGTACCCACTTTGATCGGTGCGGTTATCGGTAGTATAATGTCAGGATTCATCTCAGATTATCACATTCTTTGGTTGGCAAAGCGAAATAACAGCATATACGAACCTGAGATGAGACTATGGCTCTTGTCGATTTCTTGGATTCTCTCACCTTTAGGTTTGATTATGTTTGGCGTAGGAGCAGCACGACAGTGGCCATGGCAAGTAATCTACGTCGGGTTAGGATTCATTGGCTTCGGCTGGGGCTCCATCGGAAATTCATCTATGTCTTATCTTATGGATTCATATCCCGAGATCGTTATCCAAGGAATGGTGGGTGTTTCCATCATTAACAATACCTTTGCATGTATCTTCACTTTCACCTGCAGTCAATGGCTCGCTGCATCAGGAACTCAAAACACTTTCATTGCATTATCAGTGATAGATTTTGTTACTATTGGCATGGCATTCCCAATGTTCTACTATGGTAAGATTTGCCGTAGGATGACCAAAGGTTTATACCTAAATTTAGTGGAGTTATCACAAGGTAACTGATCAGGTTTGATAGAGGTGCATATGCAGCTCTCACTAAGTTTCAACACATCAAGATTCTACATCAGTAGCGATACACCGTTAGCGAGGGCAAGCCTCCAGGGCGTTTATAGCGAATGAAATAAGCCGCATATTCAGTACTGGATCACGATAGTTCCCCATCTGTATGCCATTAGAACTATTTAATGCATGTATTCCCCACACAATCAAGAATGCTATACGTTTCCCGATATATGTCAAAAAGCTGTCAAATGGGGATTTTTTCTGGTGTACCTTCCAAATCGGGATGGCCGGTAACAGAATGCCGCGATTAAAAAATCTAAACCTTATCAATCCACCAGAATAGAGTTTTCATTTCATACTAAAGTAGTAGTCATACGCGTAGTTCTTTAGCGGATATTCTTAAGGAGTAACTGACTGGACCTTTTCTGTTGAGGGGGCTCTTAATAATATTCAAAAGAAAGTGCTTATTGTTCCTTTTCCCATCAAAGAACTTACCCTATGATAAGCATATTCCATACCAGTTCCTTAATCGATCAATAAGACATCGATAGACAATGTTCAATTTTGAAGGGCCCCATAGCTACTAATTTTCTTCAGTCTCTGGGATTTTTGGTGACTATCACATCAGCTACCCCCACTTTCTGTTAGTAGCTACTCAACATCTCGGACTATGAAAAAATATTTGTCTTATCTTTGACACATTTTTTTTTACGAGCGGCTCCGTATGTCATTTTCTGAGCCTACCCGCTAGCCCAGTAGGAAAGCAATGATGTTCGTTAAAAATATTTGGAGACATGCTTATCATGGTACTTATCGTATTGCTTATCAGCCACAACGAACTTTAATGGTGTCAGCCCTACAAAAGTTGAGACATTTCCCCATTTTATGTTGTGAAGTATTGGAATAATATTTCTCAAGGTTGAATAAATTATCGTCTCCCAAATAAAGGTTCCACTAACCTTGTTTTGTTATTTGAGAGTGAAGCATAGTATATTTTTGAAATAATTACTGCTCATTAAGTAGGTAGCTTTGCCTTTTACTAATTCAAGTAAATAAAGTGACGATTTTTTAGTCTTCCATCAAATTTAAATTCTAGTAAAAAATTTGCAATATGACAAACATTGCTTATGAAGATGAGGATTTCATCCCAGGAACAGTTAATATATTTGCTTCCAAATATGACACAGAGGTTGGTGAGTCAAGCACTAGGCATGAGTTGAAAAAGGACAAGAGTGGGGTCATTTTGCTCCCACAACCTTCTGATTCTCCAAACGACCCTCTCAACTGGTCCTCTTTCAGAAAGGGCTGGCACTTATTCTTGGTTTGTTTTATCACTGCACTCACAGCCGCTACCTCTAACGATGCTGCTTCGGCAGAAGATGCTATGAATGAAATATATGGGATTTCATATGACTCTTTCAACACAGGTGCAGGGATTTTGTTTATATTTATTGGTTGGTCCTGTATTTTCTTTGCGCCAGCTTCATCATTATATGGTAGACGTATCACCTACATCATCTGTTTGCTTGCTGGTTGTTTAGGTTGCGTCTGGTTTGGTGTCACTAAGAAAACTTCAGACTCCTTATTCTCACAAATTTTTGTTGGGATGAGTGAACTGTGTACTGAAGCTCAAGTTCAGCAGAGTATCAGTGATGTTTTCTTCCAGCATCAATTAGGTTCCACTTTGACCCTTTATATCTTATCTATTTCCATAGGTACTTTCTTGGGTCCTATAATAGCCAATTACATTGGTGAGGGTTTAAACTTTAGGTGGATTGGTTACTGGGGTGCTATCATTTGCGGTGGTACTTTAATCGTCGTGCTCTTTGCTTGCGAAGAAACTGTATTCGACAGAACCAGATACATTCCGATCATTCAAGGGGAAGCAAATCTGTCTTCAGACAAACACCGTGTCCAGAGTGAGGATAAAAAGGACAGTCAGGAGTTGGAAGTAATTGATGAAAAAAACGGATCTGATACCTATACAAGTGACAACAAAATTAAGCAGATCAGCTCGCCTAGATTGATGGCAATGACTTCGGCAAATCCTGAAACCGCAGCACAAGAATTGGGTCACACTGCCACAGAGGACAAATGGTCTTACTGGAAGCGTATAGCCATAATCACCCCATCTTCATACCTTAAAGGAACTGGATTCAAGCAATATATTTATAGATTCGTGATTTATTTCAAGGTATTCACTATCCCAGCTGTATGGTTCAGTGGATTGCTTTGGGGGTTACAGGATGCATATTTGTCCTTTTACCTTACTACTCAAGATGATTATTTCTCTGAGGATCCATGGGACTACTCCGAAAACGGTGTGGCCATCATGAACGTTCCTACCTTAATTGGTTCCATCATTGGTTGTATAGTTTCGGGTTATCTCTCAGATTACCACATTCTTTGGTTAGCAAAGAGAAACAACAATGTATATGAGCCAGAGATGAGATTGTGGCTTATGTGCATCTCCTGGATCCTCTCACCAGTTGGTTTGATCATGTTCGGTGTTGGAGCAGCAAGACAGTGGCCCTGGCAAGTAATCTATGTTGGCTTAGGATTTATTGGCTACGGTTGGGGTTCTGTCGGAGACACCGCCATGTCGTACCTTATGGATTCATACCCTGAGATCGTTATCCAAGGTATGGTAGGGGTTTCTATCATTAACAATACTTTGGCCTGTATATTCACATTCACTTGTAGTCAATGGCTTGAAGCTTCAGGAACCCAAAACACTTACATTGCATTAGCAGTAATCGACTTTGTCACCATCGGCTTGGCATTACCAATGTACTATTATGGTAAACCTTGCCGTAAGTGGACTAAAAAATTATACATAAACTTGGTCGAGTTATCACAAGGTACTTGATCGGTTTATATCGTAAGCATGTACCACACATACATGTTTACGAACACATAAAGACTCACTAGGTCACACACACACACACACACACACACACACACACACACACACACACACACACGATTTCTATTGATTAGGATTTAATAAAGAGGTAATTATTTAAAAATTGTAGGCACGAGTAAAAGTTTCAAGTTCCAATGAAGAGGTCAAATTGGAATTCCAAGCTCAACCGTAACGGCAATCCACATGAAATGCATTAAGCTTTCACTCAAGGTAGTAGTGTTGGATCTGGGCCCCCGAAACAGATAACGAATTGCAAAGAGACGAGAGTAAATCTCAATGGGTTAAAGCTCATTTCAAAGAGCACAAAGCTCACAGTTCTATCATTGTTATCAAAGCTAACTCATCCCTCCATCTCACACATTCTCTGGTCTCTAATCCACTATAAATCAAATGGTAGAGCTCTGAACCTTTGTGCAACCTCTTCCATAGGGTGCACAAAACCTGCAAAGAAGAGGCTCCCCTGCAGGACATCGCTTCCACGCACGGTAACGTCCAGATCACAGTCGTACGAAAAACAAACAGACTAAAAACAGATAACACACCACACTTGGCATCTTTCGAATCAATAGTTTCCTTTGAGTTTCATATCTCTTTGTCTATTAACTTATTAACTCTTTCACAGTTATGCCTATTGAAGCATTTTCGTCTCCCAGGGCAGCAGTTCCAAATGCGTTCTCGTTGATAAACCTGTATCCTGCATTAACCGTAGGGTTGACTATCTTCACTTTGTTCCTATTTATTATCGATTTACTGACTCAACACAGTTTAGGACATAAATTTGCCTTGTATCCAGGAGCCATATTCGAATTCGATTTAAATAGGTTATCGTTTTATTTGTTATTCCATACTGATTTCTTCCACTGGCTCTTTAATGTCATCGCCCTTTTCCAACCATTAGCTACTTACGAAAGAGCTCATGGAACAATTTATACTGGTGTGTTGCTTAACTTATTGACAGTCGTAGCTGGATTGCAATACTCGATCTTGGGGACATTCCTTGTTGGAAATCAAACTAAAATCATCGGATTATCTGGAATCGTATTTCTGTTACTTGCGTACACTGCATACAAAGAACATTTCACCACACCTGTTCTTTACACATTGAACTTTGGAAGTGGCAGAAGTGTGCAATTGCCAACCTTGTATTCACCATTTGTGTTGTTGGTGGCTTGTAGTATTTTATTACCTAACGGGTCATTTTTGGGACATTTGTGTGGTATTTCTGCAGGTTATTTATTGGGAATGGACTACCTTAAAATCTTATTCCCACCACATAAGGTAATTCTATTTATTGACAATAAGTGTGATAGAGCTATTAGGTTATTGGACGGTGTGGTCATCTTCGTTAGAGAAAGTGACGCAGTTAGCACCCGTAGTGTTGGATACGTACCTATCTTAAGCACCGATCTTGAATCTGCTGCATAAATTAAGGTGGGAAGAAAAATAAAAAAATTAAAAAATAATTAAAATAAAGAAATCAGCAAGAAAAATAATCTGATGTGTGGAACGGTTTCAGTTAAAAAAATATTAGCGTGCAATTGATAGACACTTTTTTGAAACAGATTGTAGACAAGGGTAGCATGGGTGTAGAGAGAGAGAGAGAGAGAGAGAGAGAGAGAGAGGAGGTGGGGAGGGACGGCATCTGGTATGTTTAGAATGTGTTGCACATAAGTTATGTTTCCCATATTGGACTAATATGCATCTGCATGCGTAGCGTGCATTCTACTATAACGAGTGAAAAATCATGTACAATGGTACCAAGAGCAGCTTTTCATTCGTGTCAAATCTGAAACATATTTGAAGTCCGAATGTTCTTTTATAAATAGGCTCGCCCGTCATCAATATGTTGAGAATTTATTTCATCCCCTCCATGGTAAAGTTAAGAATTTTTCATTCCACTTTGTTTATTCCATGCAGTTGCAAAATTCTACCGAGGTTATGCGTAGTATATCAAGCAGATGAAGGGCTGATGCCTAAATAAGAGGCACTAAAAAGAATTCCTTGGGTTGTCATTCCTTCTCCAACTTTACCAAGACTCATTTCTTTGTACTTACTCCCTACCACCCATCCCAAATTTCTTAAATTTTCCTTAATCGTTATTTTCTTTACTCTACGGTGGGGAGGGTATATTTCATTTTTCATGTGTCTTTTGTTTGCGTGCAGTACAAACTTCCCCACCAATCTCAAAATCGTACCTGTAGAAAGAAAATAAGCAAAAAAATTGTAGAAAGAAGCTCGAGACTGTAGAAACACCCTACGATTGTAAGGAAACAAGCAGGATGAATTATACGAACAATGTTACATCTGAAGATCGAAGTGGTGGTCGAATTGAGCTTGAAGATGAGCATAAGGAAACTCAAACTGTGAATGATACAAAGAGTAATGGTGTGGAGAGTCGGAAGAACCCTAAACACTCACTAAGTAAGAGAGGGTCTATATTGTTGCACAAGGCATTTGTGCGACTGAAAAGTAAAGATTCGGCTTCCAACTCGCTGAATGACGTTAGTAATTCGACCAGTGCTGCTAAAAGTAGTAACCGTGGGTCTACAAGCTCGCAGACTAAATACCAGTCCAAGGCTGAACCTGTGGAAGGAGGAAGGAAGAGAAGAGACTCTAAGAAAAGGAGAAAACCTATAGGAAGAAAAAATGAAATAAACCCCGTTTCTAATCACAGCAGTAGACAGCAGCATAAAGTAGAACCAGACTATTATGAAGAAAGTAAGGTAGCCAAGGACCTGGATGAAGGTGAAGAGAAGAGCCTTCCTCCTAAGCCTTCTTCTATTCCCTACAAGGGTAAGCTATTAAAGGTCAGAGACGGAAGAAAGGACAATTCGGATACAGAATATAATGAGCTCAGTGCTGCAGAAGGTAACGAAGGTGATGAAGAAGGCGTTAAGAGAAGCTCTCATGTGGGATCTTCCATAACATCATCAAAGAACCTATCTGTAAGAAGTCTAGAGAATGAAGACAAATTAGATAAGGAACTACCAGAGCATGATTTACACATTGAAAGTGAACCTTATAAGGCTCATGACGGGGAGGTTGAAGATGTAGAAGAACCACAAAAGAGAAATGAAGTGATAGATGAGATTGAAGATAAGGAGGAAGAATCAGATACTGGCGGGATTGTGCATCCATATTCTGGTCCCATTAAAAACCCTTCCAACGAAAACAGCCCTATAAAACTTAAGCAAGAAAAAGAGTTGCCCTTGATAAATGCCAGTATTGCTAAAGCACCCCCAAGTCCACGTAAGCAGTCAATATTAAGGCACAAGAATGGAAATGGCAACAAGAATGATTCTATTATCACTGATTTAAAGGGGAATCTTCGTACCATGGATCTCAATGCAGCTGAAAATGCTTTACTTGAGCCTAGCACTCAAATATCGCCTAGTTTGAACTTGGATGACAAGGTCTCCCTATTCCAGTACCATTCATCAAAGGTTTTGATATATGATGAACAACCTCAAAATCCAGATGCAGTTAATGTCGAGGATTCCAAAAAGGTCTCTGGAAGATTATTGGGTCATGGATTGTTCGAAATCTTTCAACTCCACAACGGAGACGTAACATACTTGTCCTGTGGTACTTCTTTTATATATCCATTACTTCCGAAGCTCAAGATCTTAAGAACAACGTTCAATACTTTTGTTCTACCATTGGTAAACCCAGAGAGATATTGGAAGATTTCCATTGGAACTGAAGACGACGATGAAGTTTTATCGAAATTGGAAAGAATCTTAAAAGAAAACGTGTGCTACAGGAATCTTTATCAAAAAGAAGAAAGCAAGAAGGATACCAACCCTTCAGAGAAACAGACTTCTGATGTTGATGATGCAGCAGGAGGAAGTGTGTTGACTCCAATAAGTAAAGGAGCTCCAACCTCTAGAATCGTTCATCCGCGGCGCATCGACAGTTTCAGTAAACACTATAAGAATGGTTTGGGAGCGGGAGATGTTGGAGGCACCCCTTTGAAGAATTCTGATGAAGACCAAGTAGTTAATGGAGGCTTTCTCTCTCACGAGATTCCCGACTCTCCACCATCTGCTCCTCTTTCCCCAGCTAGGCCTGATGATGTAGATCTCACCGGTTTTGATATCAATGACACACCGTCAAAGAGCGCAAGAAAGGATGGGACTTGGCTAATTGAGAGACAAACATCGGGAAATTCTTTTTCTACCGATGTAGCATGTTTAGATATGAACCTGGTCCTGGTTCTGGTTCCATTGGCAGCTCCCGTGGTAAATTCAGGGACTAGCTACTCTTCACGTCGTATTGAACTTCCTGTGCAGGCACAGAGCTATAATTCGACTAACATATTACAACCAAAACCTTTGAAGTCAGTCAATTCTTTCCATACCATCCAGCAATCAAATACTAATAATGATTTTGCGCCAGAAAATGACCATGGAAATGATTCGGACTCTTCAATGGATTCCCTAATCGAAGAATATGAGGAAAACCTATCATCAATACCTCACCTAAAGTCTCAGGCTACATCGAGACCTCCTTCACGTGCCCCATCTCGAGTCTCTACTAGTTATGGAAACAATGATAATTCAATTCACTACAGACGTCCAGCGTTGTTCCAAGGAAAAATTGACAGAGACGAAACAAACGATGACGCCGATGAAGAATTTCCGAGTACCTCATTATCGGAATACAATAGAATTCATAATGGAACAGGAAGATCCAGACGTTCTTCTAGGAGTGAAGTTGTTGATTGGGTTAATAGCAAAAGCGGTTCGCATACCATATCTGCAGGTGCAACAGGAGTAGTTGGTAATAATGGCCTTACTAAGTCGAGGTCTACCTATTCTATTGCAAGTTCGTATAGACAGGGACCTAATGGTGGTCAGGGTAATCTCAGTAATACATATAAGGAGATATACCGATCAATAACTCAAAGAAACCTTGCTCAAAAGTTAAATATGGATGATGATGCCAAATCTAGTAAATCTGCATACCCACATTCCTCTAGATCAAAGTATCCACCTTTATCAAGATCTGCATTCACTCCCGTTCTGCTTGGCTCAAGTAGGCCAGTGAATAGCGGGACTAGAAAATATACCAATAGCGTCGTGAGTGAGCGCCCAGCGTCTGTTGTTGGAGGAGGATTGACTTCCTCTGAGGTTTATAAAATGTTAAGCGTTAGTAAGTCCCATAACAACTTGAAGGAAGAATTAAAGAGACCAGCCAAGAGGGAAGCAGCTGCACTGAGTAGTGGGGGATTGGCGTCCAAGTTATTCGGATGGTGATGTCAAAACACTCGATCGGGAATCTAGCAACCCATCCTACTATACTGTATATATTTATTTAAAATGGAAAGCAATGGGTTGACATCATGTTAAAGAATTATTTATATATGTCTAAGTGCATTGATATCGTATTCAAATGTAGCAATTTAGGTTCCCTCGACCAAATCAACCTCTGCGTAGCATGGATCCAGCCGGCCATCTTAAGATTTGCTAATATGATTTGGGAGTACATGTATTACAAAGAACTACAAAAGATGTGAATCGACAAAATTTAAATATATACAAACTGTCAATATAAGGTTATCTATACAATAATATACAAATAACAGTCATAGATGGTCTTTTTTTGGGGGTGTTAGGGGGTTTTCGTTTTCGTCATCTCTTTACAATGCTGGTGGAGCGCCTGGAACTGGGTTACCGTTGGCGTCGATCAAACCTTGTTGCATCATCATCAATTGTTCATTACCGGCACTTTCAAATTGTAAACCTAATCCTAATCTACTAGCATTCTTGCTATGGTCGATTTCACCAGAGAACAAGATAGAGACAGTGGGGAGAACTCTCTTTTCCATGAAAACACCAACTTTACCGTTGGAGTCCAATTGACCTCTAAAGACAGATTGTCTGTATTCATATTTAGCACCAATGGTAGTTTGGCCCTCAACGACTGGTTCGAATCCAATTGGAGTACCCATTAATGAGTCAGTGATTGGCTTCATGGTGGCGGCGACTTGGGTTTCTAAACCGGCTTCAACTTTGTCGGTAACTCTTTGCCAGTATGAGGCGATTAAGGCACCTTGGGCTTGTAATTGGGCACTTGCAATCCAGTTACCAGCGTTGTATCTGGCAACGTAGGAAACAGCCAGGTCTGGTGGAGTAGCACCAGATTGCTTGCTGTACATAGCTTCGAGACCAACAGCGAAGTTCTTGGTCAAACTTTGTAAAAGGGAACCGACAGCAACACCAGAGAAGGCATTACCGGATTCCATGAACAAGGATGGGTTTAAAGTCTTCAAGTTGATGGAAAAGTCTGAAGCTTGGTAATCTTGTTCCAATTGGACCATAGATGGTTGACCGTTAGCTAATTGCAAAGTCAATTTGGAAATGTTGTGCTTGTCCCAACCATAGTTGACTCTACCGGAAAAAGAAAAGTCATTGTCGATGTTACCTTGAACGAAGTAGTCGTCAGTGGCGTATAAGGCAGAGAAGGCGTATGGTGGTAAGACTTGAGATCCAATGGATAATGTGTGACTGGTTTGGAAAGCTGGGGACATGGAGAAGGCCTTGTTCAAGTCTGCTCTTAACCCAGTAAAGAAGTATTGCAGCAAGAAAACATCACGGGAAACTTCCTTGTTTAAATTTTCAATTGTACCTGGGTTGGACAATCCTAATGACTTTCTGTGTTCACTGATTGAGTTGTAAGCATCGTTCAAGTATGAGAACACTGGGTTGGAGGACCACAATCCATTTGGCTTTGGAGCCTGGGGAGTTACAGCTGGCAAGGTTGAGATATCCAACTTGGATAAGTCAGCTATTGGAACAGGAGTGGTGTTTGACATGTTTATAGTTGATGATTAAGCAAGGGCCTGTCCTTCAGTTTTCACACTTCAGTTTTTTTTGGCTTTCGTTTTTTCTCGATTTTTTTTTCCGGTGAAAAATTTACTAAGAAATTTGTGCGAGGGTTTACGCTGGGAGTAGAGAACAAGTAGGAGAAGGTGGGTAAAATTGGGTACGGAGAAGTCGAACAAAGGGAGATGGCTGTTGGACTAGGTCGATGATTATGCCAGTTGAATGTTCAATTTTAGGGAGGGTGCTTGGACAGGTTTTTGTTGGCGTGCTCTGAAATATTTTATAGTGTGCTTGGGCTTTATGGGCGCTCCAGTGGCGAAACTGTCGTGACCTTCGTTTCCTGGTGAGCTTGTTGCGGAACACTGGGCGATTTAGGTGTGCAGCAATTTAAAGAGAATGTAGGTACTGTGTACTGCGCTCCTGTATATAGGGAAGCTTTCCACGCTCACTGGTGTTCTAGTGGTGGCTACAGTGCTGCAGACTAGGGTTGATGCTGGTGAGTGCAATGGGACTGTTGGGGAGAATGCACAGCCATGGCTACAACAGGTAGAGCAACTGGATGAATAGTGGCAGAATTTTCGAACTAGAATCAGAACTGTAGGATTACAAGTAAAGTGTTCGGAGTGGATCATCACTCGACTTACTTTCATATACATGCACACTTACAAGTATACATGCACCCCTACAAGTAAGAAAGATCACAGCAAGAACCTAGTGTTTAGATTTTTTTAACTTTTATACGTTAAAGACTGTTAATACTAATATTGTTCGACACATGGCGGCACATGGACACTACTTACCTTCACTGCTCTCTCTCTCTCTATCTCTCTCTGTCTCTCTGTCTCTGTCTCTGTCTCTGTCTCTGCTATCTATCCTGGACGTCTCCTGCACAGTGACGACATGGTATCACCTTACCTTCGACTTATCACACAAGATGAAAACGGCATACTCTCCATCCGTACACCCGCACACCGCTCTCGCTTTTAATTTTTCCTACCGCACCAACCCAGTCCGGGAAGTCTGCTGATGCTCCCCAGCTACCGGTGGTCTTACTACTCTCTCCCACAATTGAATTGGATAAATATCAAAGTTGCCGCTATATGCTTACTATTTCAAGGGTCAATTATCTCAATCAAAAGACTAGTATACTGTATTGATATATCCTGCACATTGTTTTGGAACTAGACACTTGAAGACTGACTTGTGTTAAGAATGACTACGTTCCCACTTATCAATGGAATAGCTTCGTACGAACTTAAAACTTCGGACTCCAACCTTTTCAAGGAAACCATACATTTCTATAACCAGCTCGTGGGTTTGGACCGTCAACTGTCCGGGGAACTGAAAGATGTAGTTTTCCTTGGATCTTCACTCTGTGACTTCAAGGTGAAGGTTGTACTCTCGCCTGATGCAAGATCTGCTGAAGAGTCCAATGATGAAAGACATCAAATCTCATTATTATGTAAAGGTAGTGACTGGAGACTGACCACCAGTTCTATTTCCTTGAAGGTTACTGACTTGAACTCATTGATAAGAGCTTTAAAAGAAAAGGGCTACTCGCTCCAAATTACCCCCAACGAATTATACCCTTATGAGGTGCACACTATTGATCCGTTGGGCACCATAGTCGGATTTACCACTGCAAGTAATCCAATGACTTTAATACCACCTGTAGCCAAATTGACTCCAGACACCATCGCTGCTACTTTGCAGCAACCTGGTATTACTCCTTCCCTTGCCGTCCCCATGTCTACCTCTGTTTCCACCGATACCACTTACTATGACGGATCTGATCAACCTGCCAGAAGAAATATCGCTGTCATGACCTCTGGTGGTGATGCTCCAGGTATGAACGCTAATGTACGAGCCATTGTGAGAGCTGCCATTTTCCGTGGTTGCAAGGCCTTTGCTGTTATGGAGGGGTACGAAGGACTCGTTCGTGGTGGCCCCCAATACATTAAGCAGATGCTGTGGCAGGATGTCAGAGGGTTCTTGAGTGAAGGTGGTACTAATATCGGTACTGCCAGATGCATGGCCTTCAAAGAGAGACCGGGACGTTTGAAGGGATGCAAACACTTGATTGAAGCTGGTATTGATGCATTGATTGTTTGTGGTGGTGATGGTTCTTTAACAGGTGCCGACTTGTTTAGATCTGAGTGGCCATCTTTGATTAAGGAACTTAGAGATACAAACGAAATCACTGCTGAGCAATATCAGCAGCATAAGCATTTGAACATTTGTGGAACTGTTGGATCCATTGATAATGATATGGCCACCACAGATGCCACCATTGGTGCCTATTCGTCATTGGCAAGAATTTGCCAGGCAATTGATTATATCGATGCCACTGCCAACTCTCATTCAAGAGCTTTCGTTGTGGAAGTTATGGGTAGACATTGTGGATGGCTTGCGTTGATGGCAGGTATTGCTACCAGTGCAGATTATATCTTAATCCCTGAAAAGCCCTCATCCACTCAAGATTGGAAAGCCCAAATGTGTGAAATTGTAGGCAAGCATAGATCCAAGGGTAAGAGAAAGACCATCGTCATTGTAGCTGAAGGTGCTATTACCTTAGACTTAGACCCAATCACCGCCAATGACGTCAAGGACGTACTTGTCGAAAAGTTAGGTCTCGACACGAGAGTTACCACTCTTGGTCATGTCCAAAGAGGTGGTACTGCTGTGGCGTACGATCGTGTTCTTGCCACATTGCAAGGTGTGGAAGCTGTGAAAGCTGTTTTGGACTGTACTCCTGATACTCCATCTCCACTTATTGCCATTCAAGAAAACAAGATCGTTAGGAAACCTCTTGTAGAGGCTGTTCGTATTACAAAGCAAGTTGCAACCGCTATTGAAAGCAAGGATTTCGTAAAAGCCATGAGCTTGAGAGATTCCGAATTCGTTGAACATTTAGGCAACTTCATTGCTATGAATTCTGCGAATCATAATGAGCCTACACTTCCTCCAGCTAAACGTAAGAAGATTGCAATTATGAACGTAGGGGCACCAGCTGGTGGAATGAATTCAGCTGTTTACTCAATGGCCACCTACTGTATGTCTCGTGGACACACGCCATATGCAATTCATAATGGTTTTGCCGGATTGGCACGTCATGAATCTGTTCGTCTGATTGATTGGCTCGCGATTGAAGGCTGGAATTCAATTGGTGGTTCCGAAATTGGTACAAACAGATCGACTCCAGAAGATACGGATATAGGTATGATTTCCTATTACTTTGAAAAGTATCAATTTGATGGATTAATTTTAGTTGGTGGTTTCGAAGCATTTATCTCCTTAGATCAATTGGAAAAGGCCAGATCAATCTACCCATCATTTAGGATCCCTATGGTATTGATTCCAGCCACAATCTCAAACAATGTTCCTGGTACTGAATATTCTCTTGGTTCAGACACATGTTTGAACTCACTCATGGATTATTGTGATGTCGTGAAACAGTCGGCTTCGTCCACAAGAGATAGAGCTTTCATCATTGAGGTTCAAGGTGGTAATTCGGGATACATTGCTACACACGCTGCACTTTGTTGTGGGGCACAAGCTTCATATGTACCTGAAGAAGGTATTTCACTTGATCAATTGGAACTGGATATCAGATCATTGAAGGAATCATTCTCTGTTGATCAAGGACTTTCTAAATCGGGTAAGCTTATTCTTAAATCTACAAACGCCTCAAAGGTTCTTACTACTCAAATTCTTGCTGATATAATCAAGCTTGAGCTGAATGGGATGTTCGACGCTAAGACTGCAATTCCTGGTCATGTCCAACAAGGTGGTCTTCCATCTCCAATAGATAGAACCAGGGCTGCCAGATTCACTGCTAAGGCAGTTGAATTTATCGAAAACAACTGCGATGTCATCGGTAAGTACAAGTTTGACCTTGACTTCCCTTACGGAGACAAAACTGTTTCTAAGACTGCTGCGGTTCTCGGTATCAAGCTGTCACATTTAAAGTTCACCTCAATTAGACAATTGTACGATTTTGAGACTTTATTGGGTAAGAGAATGCCCAAGAAGATTTCTTGGGAAAGCTCTAGGGACATTGCCGACCAATTGGTAGGTAGAACCAGAGTCATAAAACCAGAAGCTTGAAATTAAGACGAAGAGCCACGATCACATAAACAAAATATACATAGATAGAACACTAACGAAAAAATTAAAAAAACTAATACAAAATACAATGCAATATCAAAACTATTGGGAGGAAATGTAGTACTTACATACTCAGATCAATGTAGAGGCTATTTTCTATTGTGCTCTTCGACTGAGTACCTTAACAGATAACTTGCATAGCTAACATCGGTACACCAGAAGTTCCAATATGGAAGTGAAAAATGAAATCAGCACCAAAAGATTAAGAACAGTAAGAGTACAGCATTGAATGAAGCCAATATGGATAATAGATACTTGTATGATACATTTATTGCCAAGCTAACACGTAAGTATTGCCGGTAGATTTGAATTGGCCAATTTTCATAAGGTTGTTTTTCAGCCTTTCATTTATTCGTACTAATCTTTTTTAGAATTAGAAGTAAGTATTTCTAAAGCCAACGTTGATCAGCAACAACTTGACCAGATTAAGAAGGAATGTACAGAAATCCAGTCACATATTCAAGAAGAACTTCAGAAGCTCCAGAAATATGAAATCAAGCGGATCAATGAAAAATTGAGCCAATTATTTACAGTGATAAGTAGAATAGAAACTGGTTTGGGTAGTAGAGTATTTAGATTTGTAGGCGAGCCCATACCGAGAAACGCACTATCATTGAACAAAAGTAGCGAACAAGAGTTGCAACCGATAGATTTTAGTAGCAATAATACTAAACCCGAACTTGGTGATCTAAATGGTGTCAAGTATACCATACGGCAAGAGAGCTCCTTTATCAGTAATGTTGCAAATTGCATAGTAACAAGCTCCAAAGGACTTTCTCAAATTCATTTCAAATTCGGTCACAGCAATGTATTGTGGCTAGTTGCAAATGGGCCCGTCTTTATTGAAGAGTTGAAGAATCTGATAATAATTGTGGATTGTCATCAATTGAGAATGAGAAAGGTGGAGAATTGCCAAATCCATGGAACTGTAGCAAACAATAGATTTGTCATAGAGGAATGTAGAGAGTTGGTCGTAGTGACAGGAGAAGAAGATAGTGGCTTGTTTAGTGTAGATGATTTCTCAGACCCAAAAAGAACTGCGAGAGATCGGACAGGGAGCGTGAACATCAAGTTTGTTCGAGTCAAGAGCAATGGTGATTTGGCATTGGTGCTGATCACAGAAATACACGATGGTGAGTTAAGTAGAGCAGATAGAGGCAAATTGTCAAGTTTGTTGGCTGGAATAGAGTAAAGTGATGCATTGGTTAAAAAATTGATTCAAAGTTTCCCAGGGTTCAGACCCTTCATACAGCTTAAAAGAATGAAACGAACCATGGGAACTTGTAATTGAGTAGAGTGTGCAATTCCATATTGATTAGTGGTATTGAGGTGACACATTGGGCCAGTTCCATTCAATGAAACCTCGTACTTCCGCATATTTTTCATCTACATAGTACATGTGAAATTTTCAGGGAGAAATTTCAAGCCTGTTTAACCTAATTTCTACCAGATCCATATGTCCGTTCATATGTGCTTATATTCAGGCAAGGGGCCGAAACAATAAGAAAGTGGTGAGCGTTAAGCCTATGGAAAATACGAAAAAAGAGGAGATGATGAACCGAATATTAAGCATTCCCACGTTAACAAAGTAGTCCCGACACATCACCGGTGCTTCATCAGAGAAAATTATTAAGTAAGGGAATATAAATTTCTTGTTCATTGCTTATCTCTCTGTAGGGCGCCCTCCCTAGAGGTGAAACTATAGAATTTTACTTAAAGCTACTATTGTCTACTTGGCTTAAAGGCTAAACTTTGATGCGCAATTAGGAGTTACCAGAGATGCCGCCCCTCTTACGTCCCACCTTTTCACTGGTACTACGCTTAGAATTTCCAAATCACCCTGCGTTCATCCGACCCGGTTTCTCCTCCTTTGTTCTGTCTTCAGTACTACATGGTGTGTATATAAACGGCAGAGCTTCAATTTCGGTGCCAAATTTATTTTTTGTTACCCCACACACTCGGTAAAACAGTACGAAATATAAAGAAAATTCCTGAAATAGTTGAATTTCAACCATATACACCTTTTTTTTTCTCAATATCTTAACATTTTCGAGCTCCAATTGATTTGAGTGTAGATTGCCGCTGATTTGTCTTTGGTTACTTAACGTTTATTGTCTTTTTTTCCCTTCAGTTTTTGCTTTTACTTGCTACACAAAATGTCGGTTTTCTCCTTCGATTCAGAGTACCTCTTCGCTCCTAGCGATAAGAGTGGTGCACAATTGCTCGAGCAGTACATCCCTGTAGAAGATGAAATTTTGAGAAAGAAATTGGCAGATTCAGCGCCAATTCCGGGCACTGAAAGGGAAGGATATTCTGCTGTCTATAGAAATGCAGCATTCCCTAGGGTCCTTAAATCGGGGATCTCGCTGGATTTAAATACCTACGGTAAATTTTTCAACAGTACTGTCAGAAGCAAACCTGATAACCCATGTTTCGCTTCAAGAGAGTATGATTATGTCCAGAAAAAATCTGCTGATCACTACTCCACTCTTACGTATTCGGAAGTTAACACTAGGAAAAAGAACTTTGGTGCAGGATTGTTATACCTTTTAAGTAACTCCAACTTCTTGGAACCAGCCAAGTACAATTCACATCAAAAGATCGTTGACCATGTTAAAAATTACGGCACTTATGACAAGAACAATATGTCATTTATTTTGACCGTTTTTGCCCCAAATAGGATGGAATGGATGCTTACTGATATTATGTGCTGTGACTACTCTATTACCAATAGTTCCCTTTACGATACATTAGGCCCTGATGTATCAAAGTACATTTTAGAATTGACTGAATCCCCTGCTATTGTTCTTGATAAGCACAATATTAACACCATTTTGAATTTGAAGAGACAATTCCCAAAGGCTTTAGAGAATTTGATTTTGCTTATTTCCATGGACCCCTTGGATTTGGAAGGTAAGAACGAGTCTATATCGTTTGAAGATGTGCTGAATGTATCCGCCGCTAGAGAATTGGGTATCACCTTGATTGATTTGGATAGGGTTGAGAAAGTTGGAGAAATCTTCCCTCATAAAGAACTTCCTTCCACTCCGGAGTCCACCTATACCATCAGTTTCACTAGTGGTACAACAGGCTCTAAACCAAAGGGTGTAGTGTTGCTGCATGTTACTGCAGGTGCTGGTATTACATTTTTGCATCCTACTTTAGCCCCTCCAAAAAATGGTAAAGCATTTGCCTTTTTACCATTAGCTCATATTTATGAAAGACAAAACACTGCATATGCAATCAGTTTAGGGAGTCTTATTGGTTTCCCACAATTAGGAGGAACTCCATTGACTCTTATTGAAGACTTAAAGCTTTTCAAGCCTAATGTTTTAACAAACGTACCAAGAGTTTACACTAAATTCGAGGCTGCTATTAAATCTGCCACAATTGAACACCCAACAAGTTTGTTTACAAGAAGTTTATTCGATAAGATTTTGAATTCTAAAAAAGAACTTCAAAGTAAGCAAGATCATGACCCTGGTTATCACTTCGTTTACGATAAGATTTTCCTTCTGAAGATTAGAGCTAAGTTTGGATTCGATGATATGGTATTCTCAGTGTGTGGTTCTGCACCAATTTCCGTTTCAACCATTAAATTTTTGAAGGCAGCTTTAAATATTGGGTTTTCCCAAGGTTATGGATTAACTGAATCCTTTGCCGGGATGTCTGTTACTATTTCATTTGACAGTGACCCTGGTTCATGTGGATCTTGTGGTATTACCACTGAAATGAAGTTGAAGGAGTTACCTCAGATGGGATACCATGCAAATGACGAAGGTGGTCCTCGTGGTGAGCTTTTACTTAGAGGACCTCAAATATTTTCCCACTACTTCAAGAATGAAGAAGAAACCTCAAAGGCCTTTGATGAGGAAGGTTGGTTCCATACCGGAGATGTTGCTAAGTTTGATAGCAGAGGTAGAATTTACATCATCGATAGAGTTAAGAATTTCTTCAAATTAGCACAGGGTGAGTACGTCACTCCTGAAAAGGTTGAAAATGCCTACCTTTCTGCCAATCCTATTCTTACTCAATTGTATGCACATGGAGATTCTTTGAAACATTTCTTGGTTGGTATTTGTGGTGTTGATATTCCTTTAGCCCGTAAATTTTTGAAGGAAAACTGTCAGATTAAAATTCAGGAAGGCACCAATGAGGATGAAATTGTTGCACTTATCAATCAAAAGGAAAACAGGAAGTTAGCCTTGGCTTATGTTAATGAAATAGTCTCCAGAGAAGGGAAGCTTTCAGGCTTTGAAAAACTTCACAACCTTTATTTTGAAATTGAGCCATTAAGATTAGACAGGGACGTTATCACTCCTACTACAAAGTTGAAAAGACCAATTGCTCGTAAGTTCTTCGGTGAACAAATTGATGCAATGTATAAAGAAGGTAGCTTGATTGACAAAAACAAGTTGTAGAGAGTATATATGTACCGTGAGTAAACTATATAAATTATAAGCATGAAGTCTGTAGTTATGTAAATGTGTGTTCTTAGTATTCGGAGCTGAAGGTCTCCCATTGAAAGAGTGGCTTCTTCCACTGTATCTTCTAGTATACTTATTAAGGTATGGTCTGAGAGAGCATATTCTGCTACATTTCTGCTAGACTGCAATATTACATAATTTAATGACCATAGAACCCAATTATACATCAGCGATTTAACTATTTTACGCAAGATTTATTCACACGCGATAATCTGCTACGTGTAACTCCTCCCTTCTCGTACTGAGCTGAAGCTTAACCACACTGTCTGCTATTGAAGAGTAGCCATAGAGATGGCCATAGTGATAGCATGTGTCCTGTATAGGGTGTGTTTCTTATGTGCAGTACTAAATTTCAATTTTCAAGCTTTTTTTCCATAAACGAATTTTTTTATTTGTGGTGAAGAGACTATAGCTGACAGTAAACAACCACCAAACCCCCAATATGGTATGTATCACAGGAATTTGAACAGTCCGCAGTGCTCTCAGGATCATCTATGGAGAGGTTAGTTAAAAATAACCGCAATTAATTGATTCGTATCGAGAGATTCAAGGAACAAGGAGAGAACGAAATGTTCGTGAGGTCCAATGGTGTTTTAGAGTTGAAGCAATGGGTAGATTGATTTAGTATCACCACTCAGTCGCCAAACTTAAATTCTAATTCTTTGGCCCACGAAGAGCTTATGTAGTGAGACAGATGAGCAGTGAAGGGCGTTCACTCTTTTTCTACTTCGGAAGTTTACGAGTGATCGAGAGTTCCTTGGGCTCCTTTGGTAGTTGATATCGCGATATTGACCAACGTCCGTCGCCATCAAGAAGCGACACTGTACCGTACGCAAGCAAACATGATGCATTCAATGACAACAAATCTATTCGTTTACCGTGTGGAAAGAACTGAGTCTTTTTTTCACAGTTTCAAGATAAGATAATGTGCCCATATACTCAACTTCACTTTACTCTACTTTCCCGTACTTCTTCCTCATTGTCTATTCCAACTTTACTGGTATACTAACGCAACTTATAGAACATTAGTACAAAGCAACAGAGCAAGGATTTAGCAGGATTATCATTAATTGCTGCACATTCTCACATTACTGGATTAGGTTTAGATGACAATTTGAGGCCTAAAGAATCCGCCCAAGGAATGGTTGGGCAATTAAATGCAAGAAGGGCCGCTGGTGTTATATTGAAGATGGTTCAAGCAGGTAAAATTGCAGGTAGAGCTGTATTAATTGCTGGACCACCTTCCACTGGTAAGACAGCCATTGCCATGGGTTTATCACAATCTTTGGGTAATGACGTCCCATTTACTTGCATTGCTGGAAGTGAAGTTTTCTCATTGGAGTTGAGTAAAACCGAACTGTTGATGCAGAGCTTCAGAAAATCTATCGGAGTCAAGATTAAAGAAGAAACCGAAATCATTGAAGGTGAAGTGGTTGAAATCCAAATTGACAGATCTATTACTGGAGGTCACAAACAGGGGAAGTTGACAATAAAGACTACAGACATGGAAACAATATATGAATTGGGAAATAAGATGATTGAACTGTTGACCAAGGAAAAGATCTTGGCTGGTGACATTATTTCCATTGACAAGACCAACGGGAAGATCACCAAGTTGGGTAAATCATTCTCTCGTGCTCGTGACTACGATGCTATTGGATCAGATATCAAGTTTATTCAATGTCCAGAAGGTGAATTGCAAAAGAGAAAACAAGTTGAACATATCATATCTTTACATGAGATTGATGTAATTAACTCCAGACAGCAAGGGTTCTTAGCATTGTTTTCAGGTGATACTGGTGAAATTAGACTGGAAGTCAGAGACCAAATTAACATAAAGGTTGCAGAATGGAAAGAAGAGGGTAAGGCTGAAATTATCCCTGGTGTATTGTTCATCGATGAAGTACATATGTTGGATATTGAGTGCTTTTCCTTCATAAATAGGGCTTTAGAAGATGACTTCCTGCCAATTGTTGTGATGGCTACCAACCGTGGGATCCTGAAAACTCGTGGTACAGCATACAAGTCGCCACATGGTATTCCAATGGATTTGTTGGATAGACTGATTATAATTCACACGGCTCCATATAATGTTGATGAAATCAGAACTATATTGACCATTAGAAGCAATGAAGAAGAAGTGGAATTGAGCGGAGATGCTATTGCTTTGTTGACCAAAATTGGCCAAGAAACAAGCCTTAGATATGCTTCTAACTTGATTTCTGTTGCTCAACAAATCTCATTGAAGAGAAGAAGCAATATCATTGAATTACAAGATATTAAGAGGGGATACATGTTGTTCTTGGATCTGGATAGAAGTGTGCAGTACTTGGAAGAAAACAGTGGTCAATATATTGATGATAAGGGTACCTATTCCGTTAAGGCTGCCGCTGTTCCATCTACCACTTCTGATGCTGTCGCTGAACCAGTGGTTGGTGGAGACATCAAGGATGAAGTCAGCAACGGAGACAAAATGGAGATTGAGAACTAGATGTTTAGAGATAAAAAGAAAGACAAAAAAGAAGAATATAAAGGAAAGGAAAGTCGTCGACGAAACTAGTGGGACGAATGTCGAAGAATTTAACTCGTTGTGCTTTCTGTACGTTGTAAACTATATCATAAGTTAGATTATATAATTAAATCAGAAAATGAATAAAATAAAATAAGAACTAGCGGGTCCAAGCACTTGAACGCTTCAGGGGAGGATTGGCATAAACACTATAGGGGAGGATTTATATGGAGCAGGATATAGATGCAGTGAACATAGTTCCTACTATCTCAATCGCTACCCATATATCTACACAGCTCCCAACCTACATTCCTATAATCTGCTTCCAGGGAACTTACCTAGTCTATGTATTTGTTTGTTTTTATTCGAGTTAAATAGATTTCTTTTCATGTTTTATCGTCGGTAGCATGAAACGCATCGAGCGCATCCGAAGTACCAACCTTCTTTCCGATGAGTAGGAAGAGTGAGAGTGAGGTCATTTCATCCTTCCGTAGCTCCTTCTTTCCACTACTTCAACAACACTAACCCCTTAACCACTTCCCTTTGTATTCAAGATTAAAGCAATGATCATCCCGTACAATCCCAAGACTTCAGCGAAAATCAAAATCAAGACAATGCCGACAAACAACTTGGGTTGATGCATGAATTGTCTAACACCTTCATCACCTACAATCCCAATTGAGTAGCCCAGCGCTAAGCATGCAAAACCAACGGATAATCCACATGCTAAATGCATAAACCCATTGAAGAGTGAATAGTTTTGGTTGGGGGCCAAACCTCCAGCAATTAACACAGCAACTACGAGCCCATAAACCGACAAAATACCGGACATGACCACAGGGATCAAAGATTTCATGATCAATTGTGGTTGGAAAGTACCAATACCTGCAATACCGATACCAGACTTGGCGGTCCCAATGGCAGCTCCAGCGCATGACAAAATCATGGCGGCGGCACAACCAGCGAAGCCAAAAAATGGCGCAAAGTTGGGAGCCAATTCATCGGCAAGTGCTCTCTGTGAAATAGATTCAGACATTGATGCAAGTGGAATCTATTATATGAAGAGCGATTATGTTATACAATCTGATACTCCTTGGCGTTGTCCTTATGTGAAGCAGCTTCGTTTGTTAACGGGGGAGGAAAACTGAAGATTAAAAAAAATAGTTCGGGCTAGATTAAATTTCGGTAAGGGCCCGACCTTGTGTGTGCAGGATGTGATAATCTGTTTAGCGTAAAGATACTGCACGTAAGATGTTAGTCGAATGCAACAAGTCTAGGAACTGAAGATAATGAAGGGGACGCTACCTGCCCACTATAATCTCTCTATTTGTAAGACTTGAAGTCAAATGCGTCGAATGGGTGAATTTGGGTGTCCATGATAGCTTTCGTGCTGTCCAACCCAGCACAGCTGGAATATACTCTGCCCTCTTATCTCTTTCAGTGGTGAGTGCCATCAGAACTCTTAACTGAGTGAGGTTGGGCTCGTGCACGACTTTTCAGTACCTTTTGATTATAGGAACAAAAAAAACAAGAAACCAAACAGAAAATAAACATAAAACACCCTCAGCGTTACACATATCTTACTTGTAGAACACATCTCCCGGATACCCGGGCAAACAAAGCATGAACAACACAAACGATTATGAAAAACTTCAACTTTCGAAGCAAGATCTAAAATTTTTATATAGCCAAATATATTCGAAACTAAGCTACAGACTAAACTTGCATCTTCCAACTTCTAATAATGATCCCTTGAAGGAGAACGTAGTAAACATATTAGAAAAATATTTGTTGGAAGTATTCGATATGGCGCAAAATGCATTAATTGTGGATGGTGAGGAATTACACCTCGGTGAAATTGTAGACGAAAGTGTAAGTGCAACTAAATTGCGACAATCAAAATTAGCAGAGATTCTTCAAATCAATTCCGAAACCAAATCAATGTCACAAGATGAAGTGGAACCCTTTGACCAGGAGAAAAATTTAAACTTAAGAGAAATCTTACAAAATATTGAGCAGGAAACCATAAAAGTGACTGCCCTTAGAAGAGAATTGCCTAAGCTGGCAAAACTGGTGTACGATGATTTGGTTAGGAGAACTGATAGTGAGGTGACCAGTATTTTAGAAGAGCTAGATGGTGCAGATGAGATTAGTGCAAACGAGAGCAAAGCTGAAGACATAAATACCTCTGGAATAGATGCAAGCAGACTAGCCTCCATTCAAAACGACTACGAGGAAGCATTGACCCGGTTGGTTGAGTTGAAGAACGTACTCCCTGGACAGAGAGCTGAAATCGACAGGTTAGATGAAACTATTACTTTCCTAGAGGATCTCAATAAGAGCTCCTAAATCACCGCATTGAAATGCACCACGTCCTGTAGCTTTAATCCCCAGTCACCGGTCTCCAGTCTCCAGTTTCTGGTCTCCAGCCCCCAATCCCTTCTCT